CTCTCTCTCTCTCTCTCTCTCTCTCTCTCTCTCTCTCTCTCTCTCTCGTTCGCTGTGTTCCCATTTTGAGGGCGAAAGTTTTTCATCAGCAAATCTGCTACTTTCTTTAGTCGTATTTATGTTTTTGTTCCTGCCTCGCCCTTCCTTGCTTTCTGCTTCGTACTCGGAACGATTTCATTGGGTTTTATGTTCTTCGGTGTATGTGCGTCGTTTCTTTTTTTCTCGTTGTTGGTTTTTTTCTGGCCTTCGATCCGTGTCTGTTTCGCCTTGTTGCTTTTACTTGTGTCTTTACTCAATGACTCAGTTACCATTTCCCTTTCGAAATCGGCAAATATTCCACGGTGTATATGTTGTCTTTATTTTTATGTCATTTGAGCCAAATACACAATTCGCTATTTGCTTTTGTAATACATTCTCCAAATAAACTAAAATAAAATGTGTGTGTGTGTGTGTGTGTCTGTCTCTTGATAATCACAAGTGGCAAACGAACTTTTATTTTTTTGTTTTCGATGAGGTATTATATTGCGCTGGATTATTTGCTATGTTTTGCGAAGCGACTGCGGGCAAATCAGACCAATCATGAACCAAAACTTGGTATTTTTTGTTGTCTTCTTTAGTTTTTCTCTGTCTCTCTCACTCTCTTCAACTGTTTGCATGCGAGTCATTTGTGTGCTTAAAGAGTTGAGTCGAAAACTTTGTCGGGCATCATTTTTCACCTAATACCTCCATTCTTTTCCTACATGAATCATTTTTAGCACTACATGAAATGTAGAGCTACTAATCTGCTTTTTTTTCTAGGTCAAGTTTGACTACTCAAACAAATGTTGGTGAATTTGAATTATATGCTCATATTCTTTATTTGATTTAAAACCGGTGCACTAATGAAGATTTAATATACAGGGTGATTCATAATTCCATGCTAATCTCTCTACGACAGATTCCTTGGCTCATGAGGAGTAAAAATGTGTATGGACACTTTTGTGAATTCGGCCTCTAAACCAAAGATTTGGCCGCCGGCGCATTTTTGGCCGCGCCGCCGTGCTTCTACGCCAAAAGCCATTGTGAGCCCATTTTTGGACTAAATGCATGATTTTTGGCTCATTGGAAAGATATTGAGGCCCACTAGATCCTCCAATCCAAAAACGGTGAAAATGTTTGACTAAGGGGTTAAAATTAACCCATACCGGAAAGTATGGAAAACTGGTAAAAATAGTGAATTATTTCAAAATAATGCGTTATTAAGGTATCGTTTTTTCATCATAGATTGAAAGATCGTAAAATTTTAGGCCGGTATGCCCATTTTCAGAAACCGATTTTGCCGTTAACCCAAGAAAACTGCGACCTCAAGTTGTCATTAGTACCCATTTTTCGAAGGTCCCCAAATACCGGGGCATAACTCAGAAACTATGGGAGATATCGGTTTACTATCTATATAAAAATTGTAGAGGGCGTCAAAAGAAACAACTTTGATATGTTTACTTTATGAATTTCACCTGTAGATGGCGCTCGAAATCAAAATTTCTAATTTAGTAATTTTTACTAAAGTAACGGTATTTTTCGATTCAACACATCAGCCATACTTGTTGCTTTTGTCGCCCTCTACAACTTTTCTGAAGATAGCGAATCAATATCTTCCATAGTTTCTGGGTTATACCCCGGTATCTAATAACCTTCGAAAAATGGGTACTAATGACACCTTCGGGTCGCAGTTTTCTTGGGTTAACGGCAAAATCGGTTTCTAAAAATGGGCATACCGGCCTAAAATTTTACGATCTTTCGATCTGTGATGAAAAAACGATACCTTAATAACGCATTATTTTGAAATAATTCACTATTTTTACCAGTTTTCCATACTTTCCGGTATGGGTTAATTTTAACCCCTTAGTCAAACATTTTCACCGTTTTTGGATTGGAGGATCTAGTGGGCCTCAATATCTTTCCAATGAGCCAAAAATCATGCATTTATGTCCTAAAATGGGCTCACAATGGCTTTTGGCGTAGAAGCACCGCGGCGCGGCCAAAAATGCGCCGGCGGCCAAATCTTTGGTATAGAGGCCGAACTCGGAAAAGTGTCCACACACATTTTTACTCCTCATGAGCCAAGGAATCTGTCGTAGAGAGATTAGCATGGAATTATGAATCACCCTGTATAACACTTCATATATACACAAAAGAGTGACATACAATTTTTTTTATTTTTCCAAACTATATTTTATCATACATTTTATTTGTTTCTGGCATAACTTATAACTAATCCTTTCAATGAGTTTCGAATATATTGAATTTTCTGCGAATATGTAATAAATTAAAACTCAAGAACGCAGAGCGGAGCGTAGCGAAGCTCTGCGGTCTTGTTTCTTTCTCTTTCACACTAACCATGTCGACTAGAAATCGCGTTGCAAATACAAGTTTGGTTTCATTGAAATGGATTTTTGTACAATTAATTGTTGACAACTTTTTTCCAGCACGTCGCATGAAGAACGCCCTTTTCATCGCATTCATCTATTTGGTTGTTGGTTGTCAACTTTATATTCAATTTGGTGTGCATATATTTCGATTCTCGGAAAAAGTTGTAATCGAAAAATGAAGAAAGGCAAAAATACAAAAGTAAAATGTCGGTTGTTTATTTCGTGTCAATTGCTTTGACTTTGGCTGACATCGTGTACCTATTTACTCTCGCTCCCGCCCAACCTTTCGCCGCCAATCCGTACATGTAAAAGTGATACTTTTCATGTAATGCATAATGTGACTCTGTGTCGGTGTTTTCCAACCGAAATGTTACATTCTAATTATTTTTTGGCGTGCAGACGTATTTGTTTCACCACTTTCACGGTTTTTCTACGCCGTTCCCAGTGGCTGATAATTGACAATTTGTCATTTTCAATTCCAACTGGATGGGGTTGCTTTCGGGAATGAATCTGCTTGTGTCTCTGATTTATGTTCGTGCAACGTCAACACAAAAGAACGAACGGATCACATTGGAAATGATTGTGTCCTAGTTATGTTCAAATTACCATTTATTCAGACCGTATGGCGGTCAATCACATTTCCACTTATTTTTACTTTTAAAAGCAATCATTCGAATAATAATAATTCATTTTATGTGACACATTGACATTCAATAAATTACGACTTTGCACACTCATGTTATCGCCTGCCACTAAGCATTAACTCAATAAAAAAAAATATGTCAATTTCATATATGTTATGGTTTGTTGCAGGTAAGGAACTTACTCAACTGGACGTATCACAAAATCAACTGCAGAATGTGCCATCGAATGCGATCAAAAATCTTCATCATTTGCTGATACTGAACTTGAACCACAATCGCATCTCGCAAATACACAATCGTGCATTCGAAGGACTTGACACACTGGAAATACTGACTTTGTATGAGAATAAAATCAATGTCATCGAAGCGGAAGCGTTCCGTGGATTGGAAAAGTGAGTAGTGTTGCGTTTTTAAAAATGAAAGCGAAAAAAAGGCAAAGCAAAATAAAAATCGACATTCTCGACTCGACACATATTCAATTGGAAGTGGAAATTGATTGTTTGGCCAAGCGCATCGACCAAGCATGTCCGCGAGCTCTCCCAGCGAGCCAGCTCCTCAATATGTGAGCGCTCAGCTCAAAGAGAGTTGGCTCATTTATGTGGCGTTACCATAGGAAGAAATGTCAGAATATTTTCACTTTTTTTTTAAATATTAGCTGTCAACATTCTGACATTTCTTTGTATTGCAACGCCACTTAAATGAGCCAGCTCTCTATGAGCTGAGCGCTCATATATTGAGGAGCTGGCTCGCTGGGGGAGCTCGCGGACATGCTTGGCATCGACATTATTAATTATTTCATTGAATCGATTTTCGATTCGTATTGAACATCGAAATCCGATTATTTCTGCATTGCAATGGCACAATTTTTTTTCCGAATTCATTTTATACCATTTTTGTGCATTTCGTTCATACAAAAACCGATTCCAATTAAATATGTAGTTATTCGATTCTGGTAAAACGGCACTTCAATTACAGCTACATCAATTTAAAACAATTTTATTGCACAAATATAAGACGATTAATTTCGCACGTTACCGTTTTTTTCTTCCTCTTGCTATGTACGTGTGTATCTATGTGTCCGTAGAAAACTAAAGCGTTTGAACCTTGGTGGAAATGAATTGACATCGGTACCACAACGAGCACTATCCATTTTTGATAATCTCAAAAAGTTGGAAATTCAAGAGAACAAAATTCGTGTTATCAAAGAAGGTGATTTTGAAGGTGAGGTTTTTCAAATTCTGTACATTTATATTCCACTCCATACACACACATTCAGTACTCGAAATAAATTCGTTCATGTAAATCTCACACTAATCTTTAACACACATACGTACACATATTTGATTTTAAAACGAATAAAAAACTTCCTTTTTTTCCGATGCCAAATATTTGCTTGATTTCACTTTGTTGACCAATTGACTGGGCGATACCAATAACAATAACAACAACAACAATAACCAAAAAAGGATTGCGAAATTTGGATTCGTTGATTTTGGCACACAATCAGGTAAAAAATATGTTTATTATCTTATACTTACGTTATATAATTTTCGTCGTTTCTCATGTTCAAATACCGCAAACACACCAAAGTAGAAAACAGTCCTACTTTAGTTAGTTCAACAACGCAATGGCTGCGTACTGTTCCACTCTGATACAGAAAAGACTATTATACTTTTATTTTGCGTTTGAAATTCGCGAATATTAACACTACACAATATTCTAAATTTGGATGTTTAATTTTAAAAATCAGATCACCAAGGTTCCGGCCAACGTGTTCAGCCATTTGACTCTATTGAACTCTCTTGAACTGGAAGGTAACCAGATCACGTACGTGGATAAGGATGCGTTTGCTGGCTTAGAAGGTGAGTACATTTCAACGAAATGTTCATATATCGCTTCTTGTCTTTGTATGATTTTGCCCAGTGGCTTGTGAGAGTTGCCAATTGTCAATTGTTACGCCAAATATTTGACGTAGGAGGAAAAATCATCGTCATTCTTCTTTCTCACTGTCGGAAGTAAAAGAAATTCATCAAGAGAATAACAAACACAGAATCCAATTCTCTTGTTGACCGAATTACAGAGAACGTAGAAAAAGTGGCCAACGACGAATCAACAAAAGTGAATTGATAAGACATTCGCAAAATGTTTCGGAATAGACTTACGGATGAGTGGAAATAATTGATGTGAACGAAATGTTGAGGACTGGAATCAAGCCGCACGTTTACAATTAATTATTGCTATCCGCAATATATACTGCATCAAAGTCAGTCGTTGAGGCCGTCGCCGGCTGCCATTTTAGCAAACAATGTAAATAATTGATCATCATAGTCATCATAGACTTCGTATATTCGACGTTTTTTTTTCTCATATTCTTCTTGTGATTGAAGCATGTTTATTTGGCCAAGTGGTAGTATTTCCGGTGTCGGATCCACATACACCGTAGAAGAAAAATTTCTTGCTCACTTTTCAAATACAATAACAACAACTTTCATCTCTGTGGCAATTTTGAGTGCGACGCTGAACTTCCGCTTGCTTATCGAGAGTAGGATGGTAGGAGCTTCCGTTTGTGAATGCGTTCACATTCATTAAATGAATGAATTTATCGATGGGGGGGATTGTTGTAATTGTATTGCAACATCTTTATCATTAGTCGTGTCTAATTCAGATAGTGCGTATGTGCGTGTGGGAAGCAAGCATATCGAATACAAAATAGCGACTCGTTCATTCCTTTTCATTGCATGCATCTGTATTAATTGAATTGTTTGGCCAGTTATACCTTTCAGTTCGAGGCGTTGTATGTATATATTTATAGGCATAAACGAGCGGAGTACACCATTTAAGAGTTTTACTAATGCTAACCGAGCAAAGTATGACATGGCAATGCAGAATCAAAGTTTTGAGCATCATTTGTGGAACAAACCCCATTGTGTCTTTCCACTCATACCGTTGTCGCCGTGAGAATATGAGCATTAGCTCAGGTGGCTTTGAGGGATTTGCCTGCGACGACAAGGGATCAAGAAAAACATTTTATTAGCCAATTGTGACGATGAAATGCAAAAAAGTCCGCACAAATATTGCCACTTTTACACCTTTACTCGTGGACATTCATACCTTTTTGGGGTGCTGTTCTACACGTTGCCATCAGAACAATATTTATTACAATTTATTTACGTTTTTTTTCGGATCGATTCGAATGTTCGCGCAGAATGGCTTTTTGCTTGTGAAAATTCGTGTAAAATTGCCTCCAGGTGTACGACATTCTATTTTGTGTTGACATGAGTTAATCGGTAATAAGCTTCTATAACACTTGCATCCCAATTTTAGCACAAAATCCACGGCAAACAGAGAAAGGAAAACATGGTATTTACTTTTCGAAGATTTTCAAATGTGCACAACCATTTCGAAATTATATTTACCTGCATAAAAAAATACGACAAGAGTGTAAGTCATGAGGCCGATATATGAAAACGGTTGTGGTTTGGTTGTGATTCAGTTGTTTAAGATGATTTTCTCCTGGAAACGATGGAACTAGACTTTCAATTCAAATAAAATGACAACCGATTTCTGTCAAGCAATCCGATTAAATGACATTTTGGTTTTCGATGATTTTCATTTGTTTGATTTTTTGAAAGATACAATTTTCGAAGATCATGCGACATTTTTTCGAGATTCCATAAAAAAATCTGTGGCCAATCATCAGGCTAATGATATCATTAATATAACGATTTTGGCTCTTTTGTAGACATTTAATCTGTGTTTTCTATTCTTGAATGCTATTTTTCATTGGCTTATTACAATATATCCTTCTGTTCGGATTTCTTTTTGGAGCGTACAAACACGGAACTATTTTGTAGTGATTTATAATACAAATCGAACAAGAGCGCCAGAAGCGCTATCATGTAGAGACAATGGAATCTCGCACCTTTACTTCTCTCGTTCGATTTGAATTTTGAATAAATGAAAAAAATCCATATAGTGCTCGAGCGCCTTCAGCGCTCTCGTGCGCCCTCAAATCGTTTGCGCTCTGGTGCATTGCACCACTCCGCTCCTGGTAAAAAAAAGTCCCTGTCGCCAATGATGAATTTTGGGCGGAAATGAAATTTGTTTATTACGTCAAACAAACATTCATGTTTGTTCATTTGTTTTATTCGCTAAATCAATACAAAAATTCCATTTGCCAAATATGTTTAATTCCAATCAAGCGCTCCATTTTATTGATTTGAATTGGATGTGGTGACTTATGTTTGCTTGTTGTTATTTTGACCCGATTGCTTCAATTTCACTCTAGTTCACAGCCATTTTCGTTACTAATTGCATTTATTTAGAGAAATAAGCATAGTCTTGATACTTGGATGCATGGTAAAATGTCAATCGATTGAAATGAAACCAAATTTGGTTGATTACGTGTAAATTGTCATGCAAAATTTCCAAATATTCGACAGGCACCGTCATTTGCACAACATTATCATTGTTAATAAAGACATTAACGAATGACGACGGCATGCTCGTTTGCGTCCACTGAAATATCGTATACGCTTAAACCGCAAATTTATGAATATTTACAAGAAGGTTGCTTGGTGTATGTAAAACGATTGTCGTGTGTTTTCGGTTAGTGCCTATAACAACACAATCTAAAACCCATTCTTTTATTGTTTCACCAAAAATGATGTTCTCGTTGTTAAATAGAATGTTTTGTCGCTGTTGTGAAGTGAAAAATGGAAGCACTCACATGGAGAGAGAGGAGGAAAGAGATTGAGAGGAAAATCGATTCAAATTTTTTCCATATCCATGAGTTGAGACATATCTGTTGCGCGAAGTTTCGCTGCTCTTGCTGTCGTTCATCAGCATTGTTTCGCACTCGATTGTTGAACGGAATAATACAAAACCATGAAATTGATATGAAAAGTTTGGTTTTTAACGTCCCGCTTGCACATTCTGCTGTTGAACCGAATCAATGGCAGAACCGCAACGCCGTTTACCGGAGACCTCACCAAGTGGAGAGTGAAAGAGAGAGAGAGAGAGAGAGAGGGAGTAGGAGTGAGATAGAGAGCATAAACCTAACGTGAACACATAGTTTGCATATAGTTTTAGCTTAAATAGTTATGACTTGGGTTAAGTGCGTTGTGCGTTCTCTCCCTCTGTGTTTGTGTCTGCGTATGCAGATGGCTCTCCCTTTTTGGAGCAATTGCCATATTTCATCATTTTCGTCGCTATCCACCACAGGTTCATCCACCGCACACACTGCTCGTTCTATCTGCTCGGCGAGCAATGCTCGCTAGTCATTTGCCACGCGATATATTTTTTCCCCTCTCTTCATTTTATTTCCACATTACATTATTCATGCAAACGATGCATATTCGCGCGCAATTTATGCAAAAAAAAAAATGAATGTGCTTCGAACAAAAAAAAAAAACACACACACACACGCTCGCACTAAATCATTCAGTTCTACTATAGTTCTCTTCGAACATTTCAATGATTGATTTTTGCATGTGTGTGTATGTGTGCGCTACGAAATGGCGAACAAACTTCGAACAACCATATTTTATTGTTTGCACTTTTAAAGGGGGCATTAAACGCGTGTATGTACTAATAAAACATTTAAATATAAAATATGACAGGTGAGAGAGTAATATAGAACGGGGAAGAGATGCTTGCGTTGTATCTACTTCCCTTTATGTGCTTCCATTTTTGTTGTTGTAATTTGCCTCGCTGAATTGTAATTGAAAAATCACCCTTTTCCCTCGCTCGCTTGCTTTCTGTTCATTTTCATCGGAAAAATTCATTCGATATATTGCCGAGAGGTAGAAAAATGGTCGCACTTTTTGTTCGACACCGAATGAAATTCACGATGTTTAATTTATGGTAAACAACATAATCCAATGTGGATTTTTTTTTCTCGGAAAGTCATCAATCAAATTGATTCAATTTTTTTGCCATACCTCTATGAAATATTCACACGGAATCCTTTCGCCCATTTGACCATTCATCGACACATAAAATGCATTTTTGAATCATTTTCATGCAAATAACCAATTTATAGCGGGACCTGCTGATTGGCTGATGTTTTCAGAACAACCAGTTTTCGAAGGGCTAAGGTTTACCTGAATGTTATGGTGCTCAAATTTCGAGGCCAATTTCATTTTGAAGCGGCAACAAACAGATGTTTTTTTCATAGCAATTCACCGGATTTAACTGTCTCTGAATTCACATTGCCGTCCTCGCCATGTCACATCGATGGGCAAACGTATCTGATACATGTGATTTAAGCTCTGAAATGCGATTTAAATTCCTCTTGACTTTGGCAATATAAATGAAACAGCTCCATCCACATAAAAATAGATTATGTTCTTCATTATATTCTACGTTGATTTTAATATCATGTTGTTGTGTCATTTCCCTTTACGCAAACACACACGTTTATCTTTACCAAGCAGTCTACGGTTGAGATACGTGATTTCGAAACAAATCAACCAAAACAATGTGCATATTCTATGCGAATTTTTCTCCCATTCAGTTCAATGTTCGTTCACATTCTACCCGTTCCAATGAATTAAATCGGCACATACATAACTTTAACAATATCCTTTAACTTTTTAATGAACCTCAATGAATTCCCAGAGTTGCTCTCTTTTGGCTCATAAACATAAGAGAAGAAGAAGAGAGGTAGAGAAGATACAGAATCAAGTGAATGCTCATCTCGAAAATAGTTTTGCCATTTCAAAAGGTGTTATGGCTGGCTGAGAATGTATACAGGTTTTGTACAGTTGTTCTGTAACAATAGCATGTGAAATTTCATCCGAAATGTGCATATCTTAAAGTCATTCTGGAAAAATGGGCCCATCAAGGAGGTGAAAAAAACTTGTTCTATGCTAACATTCAAAGTTATGAAGAATAATCTCTTTGATTTAAACGTTGCAGAAACGGAGATTTAATGCCACATGCCTAACGATATGGTTGGCAAAAGAATTTCGTTTAACGATGCTTCAGCGCGACATTTAATTTGATGTTCAAGCGGACTTTTTCGATGCCGAATGATAACGAAAAAGAAAGAAAAACATACTCTCGTGTGCATCCCTTACTGTGCGCATTGAGTATTCGGTTGGTCGAATGGTTGAAAATCCAATCTAATAACAACGAGAAGAGTTCAACGCGAAGGGCTTGCGACGAACAAATATATGTGAAACATTTCCAAATATATTCAAATACGTCAAATATTTCAAATTTTTCGCATATTTAAAAATTGAGAGGAATATTTCAAACAGAAATAGTCACAACAATATCGGGTAATACCAAAAAAAAACGTCAAAAATGTAGCTGAAATATGCCTGGAATATATCAAATATTCCAAATATTTGAAATATGACGGAATATGACTGAAATATAGAAATATATGAAAATATTGCCGTATTTCAGGCGTCGCAAGCCCTTTGGTTCAACGCACAAAACTTTCGCGATAAATTACTACGCGTCTGTCGTATCATGTTGTGGGCTCACAGGACGAACATTTGATTTCGATTAGGTGTCTCATGATCGTGGTATTTTCAAAGTTGTTGAATTTTCTTTCTCTTTTCTCGGGGCTTTTACTCTCTCTCTCTCCCTCTCTCCCTCTCCCTCTCTCCTTCTCTCTCTTGTTCTTGCTCTTTTCATATTTATGCGCCAAAAAAAAACTTTTGTTTCGATCTCTGTTTTTCTATGGTTATCATCGTTGATTGCGGAAGATATTTTTATGGTTGGGCCTACGTACAAAAAAGCGGAAAATCTTGGAATTATTTCAAAGTACTTATGTATTTTTGTCTGCATGTCACAGAGTCATGAGAACGATATCCAAGTTAAAATATTGGCGTTATCTGTACAAAAACCGACAAAGTAAAAGAAAAGATTGTGTCGTGTATTCAAATTCATCGACCAGTAGAAATTTTCCCGACCTCGGTCGTTGTGGCGAAACATTTTGTGCGCATTTTTTACACTGACTTAAGCTCAAAGAATTTGCTACTTTGTGTTTGTATGCGTGAACAAAATACTTGCCAAAGCAAAACTGGCAAAATCAAAAGACTCTCACACTCACTCTCTTGAAAAACAACTTGATTTTGATGGAAATCAAATGGGCTCCGAAAAATTAACGATGTTTATTCGGTTGACTGAATGAATTACAGAAAATCTTCAGTATCTTCGTTTGGGCGATAATAATATCCATCAAATACCGGGCGATGCATTACGACCTCTACATCGATTGCGACACTTGGACTTGCGTTCGAACAATATTACCGTCATTCCGGAGGACGCGTTTAGCGGTTACGGTGATTCGATAACCTTCCTGAATCTACAAAAGAATGGGTAAGTTTGTCTTCCTTTTTTGAAATTGCCTCATTTGTGTTGCGGACACAACTAAGTGTTGAAAGGTCGAAATTAACACGAACACACTCTTTGTTTGGGTATAGGATTTCGGTATTGCCGGCTTCAGCATTTGAGAATTTAAACTCACTGGAAACGTTGAACATTCAAAACAACAAATTGACACGAATACCCGAAGAAGTGATGGAACCAATTATCGATACGCTGCGAGTTGTCGACATTGTCGGTAAGTACCTACATTTGAAGGGTGATTTTTGCGCAATCCATTTGTATTTCTCTTTGCAATGAAAACCAAAACAAAATTGTTGCAAAATTCAAAACACACTTCTTTTTTTTTTCTTCTCCCATCGACGTAAATGTGTACATCCATAGATAATCCATTGGTTTGTTCGTGCGAGCTGATCTGGTTCCCCGAACTTTTACAATCGCTTAAAGACCGTGACGACGAAATGACACAGAAAAAGCGTCCAATGTGCTTGATGCCAAATGAACACCGTGAATACTTTGTGCAATCAATGCCGTTGGAGCGAATGAACTGTGTGGGCAAACGTTTGGTGAATTCACAATTGAATAGCGCTGCAAATACCAATCGATACCAACTAATGATATTGTTAAACTTACTATCAATGATTTCACTATATTTTTGAGCGGATTGATGAATACGACAGTACTAAACAACTAGAACTAAAACAAAAGACACATACACACAAACAAACAAAAATCCAACCAAATTTATACAAAAAAAACCATGTTTGAATCATAGACACACTCATACACAGCGAACAGAATGTTGTAGGCAAAATTACCGAACCGATTTTCCGGGAAACACAAAATGATTTTAAATTTGAAGTAGCTTGGTCAGACACTTCGAAAATAATTTACAGAATGCTTTGATCCGAACGATATGAGTCAAATGTGCGGGAACCAAATACACAGAAACATGCGGGAAATCAAGCGTAAAAGTAATTTGCCAACGAAGTGTACGTAATGAAGTGTTTTTTACATTATTTAAAAAAGGGAAACATTGCAGTGCAGTACTGGCAGTGCTAGTGTTTTTGACATGCTTTTTCATAATTCGCCCCCCCCCCCATCGTTCGACTTCTGTTGTGGTTTTCTTCTTATCAAATAAATATTTTACGTTGCAAACTTTTGAGCTATATTCGGTATAAATGGGCATTTCTATTGCGAATTCATACGTTTTTTCATGATCAGAGATGTTAGCCATCGGCTAAATGTTTCCATCTAATCACTTTCAAGTACTTTGAAGCAACAATTTTTTTTCCTTTCATTACGATCGTTTTCCAATTGGAATTTTTGTCCCCCATCCCAGAAGCCACAGATTTTTACAACAACAACAAAACACTATGAAGTGAAAACATAAAAATGCAACAGCAAACATTTTCATTACAAATTTATTTGTTGATATTTTATTTGCAAAAGCTTTTGTTCTTGCTCATTTTTACTTTTTTTCTGCTGCAGTGATCAACTGACACAATTTATCGTTACAAATATCGTTTTCGACCTCTGTTTGAACTACATGATTTCACATAATTTAAATTGAAACGAACAAAATGAATTGGGTGTGTTTCAATTTTCCAATCTTTCAATCGGATGTTTGAATAAATAAAAAAGCAATTGGCGCATATTTTTTTTTGTTTAAATTAGAAGAGAGAGAGAGAGAGAGAGGGAGAGAGAAAAACAACTATGGAAAATTGATGCTATCAATGTGTTCGATGATAGCTTCAATTTTCGGCCAAATCAATTCTCAACTTTTCAATTGAATTAATATTTTCTCGTCAATCTTTCTTTCTCATCTTCTTTCCCTCTTCACATAGATTTTTTTTTCACAATTTTTTATCTAATAAAAAAATAGCTCGTATATTAACGTGTGCATAAAAGACACAATAAAAGAAATATTTTTAAACGTTTACATTTAACAAAAAAAAACACACAATTTTAATCATCTATCTAAATGTATATTTGAATCTTCGTTAAAATTCAGTGGATATTTTACCTTTATAATCGATCATTAGCATTTAATAAAGAGAAAGTGAAGAGCGTGATTGAACGCAATGTGCGCTGTTATTGACATGAGAAAACACGCGCGGCAGCGACATCATCAACTAATTTTCGAAATGGAGTATTTTCATTAATTTTCCTAACCAAAAAAAAAAAAACAGAGAGCAAAGCAAAACCAAACAATTCTCAATGTGAAATGTAATGATATTTAAATTTTAAGCCAAATGGATATTTAACTAGCAGCAAACAGCAACCAATTTGCGTAAACATAGTACGATTTTTTTTTCTGTCAATTCTCTTGCCCATTCTATTCCAACCAATCAATATATTTCTCTACAAAGAGACATTTAAAACTTAACCACTTGAAATTAAATTCAACAATCTATGTGTACGTCTTGCCATTTAACGTTTTTATTTTAAACTTTCTCGACCGAAAAAAAAAGTTTCTAGATATGTATTTAAATTTTCTCACATGCTAAACCAAAATTAAATAAAATTTAAAAAAAAACTCCTCACATAAATCCAACATATGACGAGCGACGGAGCCACCGCATTCGGTTGAGTTTGGATTTGACATTTTGCATGTGGTATGAGCCAAGGCGACGTGTAGTCACTTGCCCGTTTCTCATTTTCCTTCCCGCTTCACAAAGTGAGCAAAAAAAATTCCTTTTGATCTTCTTACTCAAATACATGAGCGATTTGAAATTGTTGAGCGCGCTGTCAGTGTTTGTGCTAATTTGTCGTGTCAATCACATGCTACTGTTGTACTCCATTCTGATTTCGAATAGAAACGGCACAGTCACACACGAGCACAGCAGTGTGTAAATGCCAATTAGATGTTGAGAATTCATCTGTTTGAGAAATTGTTTTTAGCATTTGATTGAGCGTCAAATTGACACCAACAACTTTGGCAACAGAATCACTGGCAGCACCAACCGAACATCACCATAACCGTCACCTTTCGACGAACGGAATCAAGAACAATGCGACGATAGAAAGAGAGACAACCACCGACTAGATGGAGAAAAAAAAAACCACAACAAAAGATGTGTGGACGGTATAAGTTATTTGTTATCAAAGTCAGAGATGATAGCACATAATTTATATGCACACAAGTTATGATATTCTTCCCGCTCTTCTACCGACGATTCGTTTCGAAAAACCAGATGATGAACACGGGAGAAAAAAAAAGCACAAAGAAGAAGCAAAAAATTGAATCCAAACACATGCACACACAGGAAAGTGAAACAGTCGACAAACACACGAGCAACATTGGAAATCACATCCAGACATATTGGATTTTTCTACACCAAGCTCTGCTTGCTTGCACGTTAGCTCGTTTGTTCTGCTTTCTCGCTCGGCTCCGCCTCCGAATATGTCATATGATGAGAATTTATGGGGATAAAATAGAATCTATGAAATGTGTTTCAGTTTCATTTAATACAATTTGTGATTACATTAGTCTAATTGTTGAAAATATCGCGTGTGTAAACATAAAAAACGACAAGATTCTAACGAAAAACAAACCAAAGAAGAAGAAGAAGAGGAATACGAAATAAAATTCAAATGAATGAATGAAAGAAATGGAAGAAAAACTGTTTTTCGTTGGCTTAAAATTGATTGCAATTTATATTACTCTGTGTCATGTAAACATAATTACTATAACCATTGACTACTTTTTCTCTCTAAAACGGTTTAACTCTCGTTTCTTTTCTCCCGATTTTCAACTACACTGAATTTTCAGTGTCAATGCACGAATCTTGACTCGATAAAAGAGACCAACGAAAAAATAAAAACTAAGCCAATATTCAAGACATGAATAACACAGCAACACAACAAATTACATTTTTTTTCTCACTGGTATACTTTTCTTTATGCTAGATCCACAAGTACTTTCTTTGTCTGTCTGTCTGTTTTGTTCCCTTTTTCCTGATTTTGCACATCATTGTATGTTTTTCTTTACTTTTTTCTCTTCATTTTGTAAGTTGCGCAGATTTTTTGTTCTTTCTCAATTCAAAACCACAATATAGTGTGAGCACAATCTCGTGCGCGATTTATTAAAAAAGGTGTTTGTTGGCTGAATGATGAAAAAAGCCTTTTTGAGCATTTTTCAGCGAAATCCTTTTCGCCAGAAAAAAAAATAAATAAATTGAAGTATTCACCGTCGCTTTTTTCATGCCATTCAGCACGTTTAAATCGCCGAAATTGAATCCATTTAACGGAATATACAGAAAAAGAAGAAAAAAAACCGTAGGGCAACCACTCAGAAACCAAAAAAAAAAACTCGTAAATATCGTAACGTAATCATCATGAAACTCAAAAATTATACTTGTTAAATATAGATATATGAATAAAGAGAGGAGCCCCTCTGATACAATATTTACCAGAAAATGATATATATAACAAATATAAAATAGATCCAATAACAACAACTACAACCACAAAATGAACATAACAATCAACAAGAACAGCAACCCGAAATTAATGTTAAACACACATTTGTAATTGTGAGACTCTTAAAGTATATCTCGTGAATAGAAATCATATCGCAGCTGAAAGCTAAACAAAAACACATGATAATCGAAAGATTAACCAAAATGAATATTCAGCAAAACATAGTAAATAGACTAATAATAATGTTTTCGTTGTAATATCCAGATTCTAAGCCATGAACAAGACGCAGAAGAAGCAAATATCAGCAAATCAAATAATAGTCATACATATTTTTCTCACTTTCAATTTTGCAAAATCTAAATGTTTTAATGTTGATGAGAGACCGAAAGGAAGAAGAAAAAAATCAACAAAAATCTACATGTAAATTCGTTCCAATGAAGTTATTAATTTTTATTCTTGTAAAGATGCAACAATCTAACCAAACAAAAACCAACTATATATTCTGTATATTTTTCAAAAAAAAAAATTGATTTTTTCTTTCTTCTAAGGATCAAATGTTGTTTGCTATTCCAGACAAGGTGGGCAAACAACATTCAGTGGAGTAGGTTATGGATGTATGGAGTAGGTTAGCTGTGAAATCAAACCAAACAAGATGGAACAAGAAAACCAACTACCGATTTTTGAATATTAGAAAAACGAGCCGAAATGTTTAGTGAAAAAGTGTAAATGTTTTTGAATAAGTAAATTCAAAATTGTGCGTGAAAATGATTGTATCATCGTGATTGTATCAAAAATCTATGTACTATAGTGATAATGAGAGATGTCCAAATTGATCCCAGACCACATATGTGGTGGATAACCGCAAAATTTCCTAATTTTGTTAACAATTTTTCGTTTTCGGTTTAAAATTTGGAGCGGTTTAGGTGTTTTATGCGGTGATGACCCATTGTAGTAAGCATAGATCAGAAGATAAGTGACTTGCAAAAACAAAATAAATGATTGATTAATTAGAAAAGAAACGAAATGGACTAAAAAGAATTTGAAACTCTTCAATTTAACATATCAAATATATCAAAATACATATCCAAAAATGAATAACCTTTAGTGATTGAAAATGAATTTGACACTCGATTTTTTTAGTCTCTTTTATGTTGTGACATTTGTACGCGCCACAAACACAAACAAAAAGCATTTATTCAAATTAAATGATATATCCACATGACATATCAATTGTGTTATCGCTTAGCGCCTTTCTTAATACGGAAACCATAGAATTCAGTAGCCATAACGACCGTCTAATCGGATGGAAAGAGGGCGTGGGTGCGTGTGTGTGTGTGTGTGTCTGTGTTTGAGGGAAAACACTGATTTTTATCTCTTACTTGACATGAGTCAACCGTTCGCGGTTGTCTACAAAGAAATTACACACCGCAAGATATATCAACACAAGAATTTCGATCATTTTACCACAAACACACACACACACACACATACACATATCATGGATGCTTTTATTTCACGTTCTATTCTAAATAAATGTACAAATGTTCGAGAACAATCTTGAACATTTCAACCGTTTGAATGAAATGAATAGTGTTGACGCTCCTCAGTTGGGGTTGTTAGTCACGAAAAGCAAAAAACAAAAAAAAAACAAGAAGATTATGAAACAATTATAATACGCATTTAAAATGTTTGTTTTCTAATGATTTATTTTTTAAAAATACAAGGAACCAGCAAATCTAAACATATCAAATATACTCGTTTATTGAAATTAAACTAATTCGTATTACATATCACATATCACTTAGAATATTGATGTCGATGAGGTTCTTCTACGAAGACCTGTAAAAGAGTTCACTTCCAATTTTATAACGGCGCTTGTGTATGTAACGAGGCTAACTTTCGGTGATTTTTTTTTTTTCAAGCGAAAAGAATGAGAGAAATTACGTTAAAAAAAAAACACGAAAATGGTTACCTTTTTCACCAATCGAATTGTCCAAGTGAAATTCTGAAGGGAAAAAAACAACCAAAACATTGATGCAGCTCTTCAAATCACATGGGAAATTACTTATGTTCAAATGTGTATTCGACTCAAAATTCCACATTCGGAAATGTATTTGGCTAATTCTCTCACATCATTTTCGTCGAAATTGGTTGAATCAACATTTTCCATTATCTATTCGAATGCTGAATTAAATGCTTGCGAGAGCAAGGAATTTGGTGCGAATTCATTTGGATCATATGAAATTGGTTGCGATGAAATGAGAATTCAGCGATTACATTTGAATCTCGTTTTGAATGCCAACGGGTGAGAGAGAGAGAGAGAGAGAGGGAGAAACCATCTGTAGTGTAAATCACATTGTAACCTCGTGTCAGAAAAAAACCATGTTCATTTTCGCTTGAAATTCGGCATGTCTAGGCTGAAGCCATGCAATGCGCAGAATGGCATTTTCTCGGTATAACAGCAAGCAAACGGAGATAAGAGTGTGGCGATGCCCCATGAGATATGAACGATAGAGAGAGAGAGAGGGAGAGAGAGTGATTCAATGAGAGAAACGAAGAAAGAATGAAAAACACACACCCGTTTTGTCACCCGTTGAGTACATTTATAACGTACGAGCTTTGTACATACACACCACCGCATGTGCACCATCATCTAATTTCAAATCGTCGGCGAATCCGATAAATTCCCAGAGATACAAGCAGAATAAAATGTAATACACATACAACGAGAGACTGGGTTTTATTGCTCTTTCATCGTGTCGATTGTTCCAATCACTTGAATTTTCGACTTCGAATATCAAACTTAATAAATAAAATCCAGTGTGAACGGTGTGTCGTCGTGGCGGATGCCGAACAACAAACGCGGAAAATTTAATCAAACGAAAAACAACAGACATAAAGTGAATTACGACGATGGCAGTGGTGGTGGCGGCACTGGTCGTAGATATTTCTATCGGTTAATTTGAATGAAGACGATTCGTTGAACGAGCGAGCGGGTGACGGCAACTACCAAACGCACGCCTATTTAATTTATGTCGTCTGACTTTGATATGGAAACGAGATAAATCTGTACGTACATTGAATGTATAACAAAAGCAGACTGAAAAAACCATCAAGTTTTAGGTATGCTTTTGTAAGATCGCGTTTTAGTGAATACGACCGCTTTTTTTGCCCTGTTTTGTCGCTAGAATTCTGCGATTTCTCTCTCTCTCTCCCTCTCTCTCTCTTTGTGCACAAATCGTTTCAAGCGAAATCATCAGCGCAACTTTTCCATCAACCCGATATCAGGAAGTTGAATGCGAAGATAGTTGTTCATTATTCAAGACTTTTCACTTGATTATTATGAGCTGGCGCTTCTCGCAAATATACTTGTTACAGAAGATTTTGCATTCGATACGAAAATTATGCGCACAGTGATGCATTTTGTGCGGAAAACAGCAAAACCTCATTTTTCCCATTACACTACTATGACGTGTCATAATTTTCAAGTGATTCCCTCAATGTCGTCCTGTCATGCTGTGCACAAATCATACCGTCGAATATTAATCGTGAAAATATCGTGCACGATAATGAAATCGGCAAACAGCCAAATATTGATATGAATTATGAACATTTATTACAGACATTTCGATTCACATTTTAAAATGAAATTGCTGCAATGCGCGCATTTGATTGAGTTACATCCTGCACTAATTAAATATTACCTATTTATTCGCGAATGAATGCATTTTCAGTTGGTTGTGCGTGTATATTGCACCAATACACACGGTATGTACTACGGGAAAATGTTCCACTAAATGTGCAAACGAAGTTAATCAAATTGGAATAGCGAAACAAGTGAACTGAACGTCAGCGCTCGCGATTCGTTTAGTCAAAAATAATTTGCAACATTTTGAATAATTGATGTGAAACACATAAGCGAAACCGCAACCAAATGCCAGAAAACAAAAACTCGATACCACAACATGGACGATCACTATTGCGACCCGATGAAATCACACCTTTGTTGAAGTGGAAAAAATAGTGGAAACGAATAAAAAAAGATGTTTTTACATAAATTGTCGCGCGGTTTCCTATCAATTGTCGATCGATTTCAATCATCCAGGCCATTAGCAAATGTGAGCGATAGATTAAGCATTGAAACGTTGTGAAAATAGTTGGTGAAATAAAAGGATTTGCTGGTCACATAGTTGGTAAAATTAATAAATACTTTCGGGGCATAGGCACCGTTTGAAGGTATCGCTACATACACTAGCAACGGAAACAAAAAAAAACCGTTAATATCACGCTATTTGAATAAAGTGCGTTTTTCTCTTCAACCTGAAGAGTCTAAATTGCGAGAGAAAAAAAACACGCAAAAACACAAATTTCTAAACCAAAAACTATTAACAAACAAAACATATATCACAATCATATCAGTAACTACGTTTTTTTTTAGATGTACCCTAAGATAAGGCCGATCATTGTTCGATCAAAACTAATTTGTCAAACTACCAATTGCGTAACAAACAACCAAAAATTATTAAACAAGAACATTTGTATAATTCCATACGAGAGAGTGAAAGAAAGATACAGAAAATGAAATCAATTTAAACTATATAAGCTATAAATGTATTTGAATTAAAGAAATTTGAAGAAGAAAAAAACAAATCTAGTTGTACAACTACAGTGTAACAGATCAACAAATACATATCCTTTTATGAATTTACGATTAGATGCGTATATTAGCAAAATGAATGGAAATTAAGAAGCAACCGATTTTATCCGCATGAAAAAGCAACACAAACACCTCCATTTCGCGCATTTTCATCACTTTAAATATAAACAATCCGCTATTTATTGAAAGACAAAGTCAACATTGAATTAGCTTAGAACGGTATAAATGAGATAAAAACCAAACAAATTGCACATATATCCAACAGCAACAACAGCAAACAAGTGCATCAATATATTTGCATGCTCACGATTAGAAAGGTGGGCATATTATTATACATCATATTTTGCGGCTGTATCGCCCAAATACACACTATTGCTCCCATATACAACAACAAGCAAGTACCCATACATATCAATTTTCAATGCATAAACACAACAACCCAAGGAAAACGTGTTTTTAAATGTAATTGATTTTTTTCTGATTTTTTATAAGAAAATTTATTGGACATATAATTATTAAATAAACAGTTAGAAAAGCGTTTGAAAATTTCCAAATTTATCAAGAAAAATTATAGTCGTAACTAAATTGGTGCCGATTACTTGGTGCCGCTCGTCATGTGTGTGTGTGTGTCAAATCTGAAGCATTAGCTCAGTTTGACCGATGGTAACATCACAATTGGCCCATCACACATTGAAATACAAACGAAAAAGAAAAAAAAATATGGAAAAAATGTGTAAAACTTTCAATTTTTTCTAAAGTGTTATATATTTAAAGAAGAAAAAAAAACTTTCTGAAATAATTAGAAATGAACGCAGACCGTGAAAATTGAAAGAATTTTTCTTTTGTGAAATTGAATTAATCTCTGCAGTCATATACTTCAAATCGCATATTCGAACAAATTACTTATTTTGTTTGGTATTCCAATTTTGATTTCCTTTTCCAAGTCTAAAAGTTTTCTTTTCCTTTTGTTTCGTGTCATTTTCAATTAATTTATCACAAAGTACGATTTTATCAAATGAGACAAGAAAAAAAATGAATTCAACGCTTTTTAATGTCTAGAATAAATCCTCTGGTTAGGTGTAATATTCATTTATTTCGTTGAGACTGTGTGATCGGTTTACGCTTTGGTCCGTTCAATTCCAATTTTGGACTATTCTGCACGTGGTTTTGGACTCACACTTTTCATTTCGAAACCAATTTTTCGTTTCTTTCCTTTTTTTCCCAATCTTCGCACACAAAATACATTATATGCATCTATATATTTTAACAAACATGAGATATTAATTTAAGGACAAATGAAAAAAATAAACAACATCGTCAGTTTTGTTAATGTTTCGCGTTAAACAAATTTCACTTCATTTGACAAAAATACATATTACAATAGTTACACTAAATAAATTCTGTCGAATATATACATGTGAACATTTCTATGCCCAAGCAATCAAACTCAAAACCAAGAAAATATTCATGTATATCGAATCACACAAACCCAAACGAAAATGGATATATTATTTTAAAACTGAAAAAAAATAACCAAAAATGGAAAAATTCTGTAATATTTATAGGGTTATTGGAAATACTCTTTGAAACTCAAATAAAAAAAATGAAATGATTACCAAAAAAATGTAAAAAAACGCTGCGAAAAATCAATTCATGTTTTATTTCAACATTTTTTCAACTATAATAAAAGATTTTGAGTTTTTCAAGCGATGGGTAAGTAAAATTGAAGGAGTTCAAAATTGAAAAAAAAATTGTTCAACTTTTGGAAGTAAAAAAATTCATGTTTATTTTCTTATGTAAGAATTAAACCTATATGTAAAATCCATCTTTTCATTTTCAATTGAGACTACCCAAAATATTTATTCATTTTGAATGTGCACACATGTGATAACATACATTTTTTGGTAACACTTTGTTGAGAATGACCGAAATTTGCTTTTCTGTGCTCAATTCACACTTGCAAAGATATTAAATTAATTCGAATTTATGCTGAGCGTCTATTTGTCGTAAAACTCCCTTTAGAAAATCTACATCTTCAATGGCTTTTTCAAGATCAATTAAATTTATTAATTTCCCATCGGTATATAAACCGGTGTCACTTCTTTGAAACACACAAGATAATGAGGAGATATCTTCAGCACCAGCTAATCTTCGATTTATAAAATATGGTTTGATAGCATTCAATGAAATCGCTCTCCAGAATTTGCCCGATTCTCAACCGGTATCCTTGTGACTATTGCCTAATTTATTTATTTATTTGTCTCTCTTAAAACTGTCGACAAATTGAATTAATGATGAAGAACTAAAAATAGGAATTTTATATTTATTCTTCTTTATAATTATTATTCATTTAAAAAGAAAAAGACAATGACAAAACAGACTTTAGGAGAAAAGTGGAATTTTATTTTTCATTACAATTTTTTTTTTTAAAGAAAACATCAATATGTGTAATAATCCATGTCCATTTTAGGGTCGAAACGTTAATTTGAGCCAACCACCTCCCATGACTTGGTGTTTGCGATATGTATCTTTTTCTTGCTGGACAATTTTCGATTTCACGGAATCATCCAAGTTTTCAAAGTTTCTCGGATAGGCAGTCAATGTTAACCTCTTGAGAGATTGACTCTGTGAGAACAAATTGAGGATAAGATCCGAAGTTATAGACACCGAATTACATCGACAAATTTTAATGCTCATTTCTTCAACACTAGTGAGCACAGTGTTTAGTTGAAATAGATTATCGATTCCATCCATTACTCCGTCCAACGTTATTGATTTTAAGCATTCATTCGCAGCTATAAAATCAAAAACACACGATTCTATTGTGTCCTTGAGGTGTAAGGAGCATGTGAAGCGTTCAAGTTTGCTAAATGTAAACGGAATATTTATAAGTTTGGGATACGAATTAAATTGAAAATCGATGACATTGTCGAAATGATATGATCGAAAATTTTCATCAATATTCATATCCAAATTTAAGCGCCGTAGCATTGGCAGATTTTCATTCAAACCCTGAAAAATGATATCGCTGTATTTGAAGAGTCCGTGTATTGATTGTGTATTCTCAATACGTAGTTTCAAATCTTCTATTTGTGGATTGAGTTTTAAAAGTTCTTTGATTTCGTTTTCTTCATAATTTAAACCTAAGCTTTGAATATTTTTCCGTGCTTCAATATGAAAAATTTTCACGTTTGGGATGCAAATGAGATTGGATTCTCTCCAACTCAAATGCAATTCTATAGATTTTAAATTTGGGAAATTGCTGAATGACACTTCACATAAAGGATAATAATAATAAAATGCGATGTTTTCCAAATTTATGAATGAGGTTTGGATTTCTTTGAATAAAAACTTTGGCGGTGAGTCCAGTCCAAGTCGTCTTATGGATTTTGAACAATATTTTTCCACATAACTCTCAATGTGAAATACTAAGGCAGCTGTAGTCTTGTTGTATTCATATCCATAAGCACCAATGCGATGTACTAATCGCAAAACTATGTGCGAAGTGACATGTCCAAAATTCCTTAAAAATTTTAATGTCCACACAGGATTCCACAAACAGATATCTTGTTCTCCGTTTGGACTACTGTAAAACATAGAAGAAAAAAAATGATTATATCATCATTTAAAAAAAATTGCAAAGAATTTATTCGCCAGAATTTATGTACCCGCGTTCACGTAATAAAAACAATGTTCCTTTGCCGTATTTTCGTTTGTAGACATCGCAAGCTGCTGCATGTAGTGTTTTACTCGTTTCCGCTACCCTTAGTAGATCTGGCCATTCTAAATACTCGAAAATCAATATCTTAACATCATCATTAACGCTTGTGAGGTTCAATGGTTCTGGAACACTGGATAAATTGTAGTCTCCTGTATGTGAGTTTGAACATGCGATGGATTCCATTTTTATGCTGATTTTTTCAACCGGGGAATGAAAGAACAAGTCTTAAAATACTTGATACTTTTACGAAACAAAATCTCGATTTAACACAATTGTTATTTGAACTGGAATTTAAGCAGATGTGCTACTTCTTACTCACACTAGACGTATGTTGAGGCTTTGCTTTCATATTGTTTTATTTTGCTTGACATTTCGTTCTCTGTTTGTGTTGGTACGTGTAGATGTGCATGTATATGTACTGTACATATATGACTAAAATCACGCATGAGTCTTACATGATTTACGTTATTTGAATGAAGCACTCGTCCGTTATTCAAATGCGAAGCATTTAATATTTTCATTTTGTATTTAAAAAACGAATCTTTGATTGGAAAAACAACAGTATAAAACTTGTATTTATTGATCAGAAACTTTAGTTAAGCGAAAATTGAAGATTTTATGTTTGGCAAGTATTCGTGTTTTGAATTATCCTATCCTTTAAATCTCAGGCATCTCGAACAACTTCTCAAAGACTTCACATCTGTTGAAGAAAAAAATTGATTCGAATTGAATTAGCGAAATTTAAATTCAAATTTGCGATAACAATCAGACATACTCTCGTTTTGCAGCTTGCCAAGTCTCACCAAAAGTAAACAAACCGTGTCCTTTAACTAGAACGCTGTATGAATGTTGGCGGTCTTTGAAAGCGTTCTCCATGGATTTGAGAAGTTCATCATCAGAGAAATGGTCATCTATGACAGGCAGTTGTATCTCATCCGTATTGCCACCTTGAACTCGACGATTAATTCCCTGTAAATCACAAAATGGGAACAGAATTATTGTTTTATTGATTGTGTAAGTTCCAATTGACAAGGTGAAATATTGAAAAGAAAATAACCTGAGTGTGATGACTTTTTACCCAGGTATGTACACCGTTTGAAGTAGTTTCAGCAAATCGGATGGCATTTATCGAGTGAGTATGAACAACGGCTGTGACATTTTGCATCCCGGGCGGCAGATCAAACTTTCCGGCACAAACACTGAAGTAATTCGGAAACCAAAACGACATTAATGTGATGTTGAATGAGGTTAAATTTCGAACATAACTTACTCCATCGTTTCATCCGTGCTCATGGTTTTTTTCTGCACATCTTGGCGTTTCGGTAGACTTGAAGTGATTGACGATGGCAAATAGTAAATATGCGAACTGAAAATGTATTCAATTTTTCTTTTATCAATACTCATTCTGATTGATGTGAAATGTGTGATTGAAATTACTCGTTTCGAATTGATAAACCGCCACCATTGGCATCAATCCATCTGCGCATTCGAAATTCTTTGAATGTTTCAAACACAATGGTTTTTGGCTTCTAAATAAAAAAAAAGACAACAATTGAATCAATTTTATTGAACTACAAAACAAAATCCACTTTTTCACTTGGTAAATAACACTTACAAGTGCAGATAATTGATTCATTTTTTTTTTTCGAAACAAGAAAGGCTTATAAAATGCAATGTTAATGCTAACGCAAATTTTCTTTCACTGAAACATGTGCCGAAACTAAAATGTAACCGGCTTTTTTCCAATAGGGATACTGCACAAAAGAGTTCATATTTGAATTCATGTGTCAAAAGTTTGACAGTACCATAATTCCTGCTGCAAATGTCAATTTTTGAAAGCGGCATTTAATTTACGACCAATTAAAAATAAAATAAATTTTTTTTTCTTTGATTTGTATTTTATTGTGTAATGATTATCTACGGACTAAAGTCACAGTCATCACAGAGGGTCATGTAAGCTCTCTCTTTGAGATTCTTCCTTCTTCTTTTTCTCATTTTTATCGGAGACGTAATTTGATCACAGCAGCGGCAGCAGCGATTCCAATCAGTCCAATGCCCGCGAATGTTTTGAACTTGTGGTACAGCTGCTGACGGAATGTGTTTTTCTTCAACAAAATGCCAATTACACTTTGACAGATGTTTAGTGGTGGCGTAACGGCTAGAGTGGCTTCAATCTAAGGAATTCATGAAAAATTCGTTATTTTTTTGTTTTGAAAAGGGAAAAAAGAAAAAAATACCTTTTGCATAGTTTGCAGAAGCTGTAGTGCATTTCGGCGCAAAATGGCAAGTTCTTGGTTGATTTGTTTGCGCAAAACCAGCGATTCGTCGGTGGAGTCTTCAATATCAACGAATAAATCATGTTGTTCGACAAATTTTAGGGCCGCTCTGATGACAATCATCTGTTTCAGACAATTCGAATAGATCTCGAAATATTGCTGAATATTAGCTTCCATTTTTGGAACAGGCATCGCATTTCTGGACCAAGCCTTATCGTGGAATCGTAGCAAACCAAGCAGTATACGCTTTCGCTGGTATGGAAATTCGATGCCAATTTCACGCAATCGCTCATCGGTGATGGTCAAAAATTCCGGCAAACCAACAAAAGACTTGTAGAATTTGTATTCAACTTCTTCAGCTCGCATGCCGTGCAACATTGTGTAAATATCTGGTGAATATGGCGGGCTATGGTGGAGAAATTAATTCATGTTAGGTATTAAAATCAATTGTAAGAAGAAAAAAATAGCATTTTTTTTTTCATAGAAAACCGAAAAAGAGAAAAAATGTCACAATCAATGTAAAATGTCATTATTTTCGAAAACCATTATTTTTTAAAACGAAAACCACTCACATTTCCTTTTCGGGAAACGCAGTCGGTATGAGATCCTTGTATGTTTGATACGAGTGAAAACTGATGGGTACACATTCGATTACTGGATCGGGTGGGAATAAAGCAACGATATCATCGAACCCTTTTTCCATTGCCAATCTCTTTGGTGTATTATGAAAAACGTCTTCGGCATCGATCAAAGCGCCAGCTTCAATGAGAATTTTCGTCGCATCATATCGATTATCGTTGACTGCATAAAACAATGCGGTTCTTCCATCATTGTCGCACGCCTCCAAAATAGCTCGATTGTTCAACAGCAATTGAATCACCGAAACAAATCCGTGCGCTGCAGCGTACATCAATGGTGTTTCACGTCGTAAATTGATTTTGTTCACCATTGCCTGGCGTTGTATCAACCATTCGCAAATTTGCAGTAATTTCGATTCTTCCTCCGTCGCATTTTCGGCATCATCTCCATACAAATTTATCTTGCCACAGCACGCTAATATCAACGCTGTCATATCATTGGAATTTGCATTCGGATCAGCGTCCAAATCGAACAATAAGTATTTCACGAGATCCAGTTGACGTTCTTGGCACGCAAGCATCAACGGTGTCCAATTGTATGTGTGAATCGGTTCATTTACATCAAGGTGCTTTGCCTGCCAAATTGATCGAAACTCATCGACGTCCCCCTTGCAAATGGCATCGAACAACCGAGTTGGTGTGTCATCTGCTTGTCTGATCAGTGGCACATATCCATGATTTCGAATTCGTCGTCCATCCTTGAGGATTCGAAAAAAATGACGACAAATTTCTTTTGTAAAAAAAATTATCGATCAACAAAAAGTAAACGTATTTCACAACGACGTACCTCGTCGATTTCGTTGTCAAAAATCAAAGAACCATCCGAGAAATCGGAATCAGAGTCATAAAATTCGGGCGGTCTCGGGCTCATAGTCATTTGAGGTTATGTTTGATGCTTCACGAAAATACTTGTTGCTAAATAAACTGGGGATACAAGAGGTTTTTCAGTGTGAAATTAATGAAATTTTGCAAATGAAAATGTTCCGACTATTGATAAACAAGTAACCAACCCGAAAAATGTCTGTAAGGGAATGACAAAATTTTGATGTGAAAAAAAACATTAGCGATATCAACAGAACGAATGTGTTTGACATTTGATGACATTCCAGTTTTGGTACACAATAGTGTCACAAACACAGCCCAGTTGCCGTGTAAACGAGACCGTAAACAAAACGAAAACAGTCTGCAACACGAATGGAATTGAAGTGTGTTACGTTCGGGTGTGCTTGAGAAAGAGAGTCCGTAAACAGTAATGAAACGAAAATAGACCAATCGAGATACAGAAATAAACACACAGACGCACAGTGAGCGAAAGAGACGAATCCAAAATAAAAGTTATATAGCTCAGAATGTGTTCGGCGCGAATTTTGCCCTAGTTTTTTTTCTTCGCTTTTACATTCGATTGTGTGTGAATTAAATGAATAATAATTGTTGTTTTGTGTCAGTTTATATATCGACTAAAGTGCTCCCGTTTGGATTTTGATCTGAAACCGAAAGCAACCAATAAATCAGAGCGGATAAGAGTTGTAAAAGGTGTGTGATTCAGCGAGCGAGCAAACGATGAACATCGAACCAAGTTCAAAAACTGTAAACATTGTCACATTTCTTTCTTCATGTGTATTTCAAACGTGTAATAAGTGAAAAGACATTCTTAAATGAAAGTCATTAAATGACCATCAATTTGCATACTCATTCAAAGATCGAAAGTGGTTTTGTTTCAAAAATCTATCGAAACAGTTAATCAGCTTGATTTTGAAGCCAAGCGATTCGTCTGGGAAAAACCGTTTAATAAATCGAGAAAATAAAACGTTATGCTAATGCCAGGATACGAAAAATTGTAAAAAATCATCCAAAAACAAACCAAATGAGGGAATGAGTTAAAAAGAAGCAATAGACAGAACGAGAGAAATTTAAAAAAAAGAAACAGAGAAAAAAACACGATAATCGAGCAATTGAAAAAAATCTCCTTGCGCCGATGACGTCGGTCCGACTAGTGTGGTGTAATTGTGACGACGGTGCCATTGTATTTGTGGATTCGTGTGCATGCCATGTCCAGTAATCATGATAAAAAATGTTGAATTCATTGAAATAACACGATTGATTTATAGTTTGCTAACGACAATTGCTCGGTAAGGAAAATAGAATAGTCACGCTCATTTCAGAGACGACAACAACAACAAAAACGAAAACGTGCGCTCAGCAAAATTTTAGAACTTTTAACCCGATGAATTTTAATAGAGAATAGAACGTAGCCAACGAGCATAACGAAACAAACCAGGACAAAAACTAAACACAACGAATACGTTTTTTGTCTGATTTTCATCATTTGATTCAACGATTACAGCATCTACTCTTACGGAACAAGTGTCGACGTTTCAGTCGGTTCTGTGAAGTTCACTTGGCAACTCCACAATTTTTCTTCTTCTACCGAATTGGATAAGCTAAAGGCGATTTTTTTTTTTGGTAGTTGTACAAATCCTTTAGTGTTGGTGTTAAGTTAGGTGTTTTCTTTGTACCTCTTTGTCGATGTGTAGTGGACAGTTAACTATTTAGTAACGAACGTGAAGCCGGTGTGGATCTAATGTTTTGGAATTTAAGTTTAAAATTGCGCTAAAGGCTTACCTGTAAATTTTGACCATAAAATTGACGTTCGTCTCCTCATTACCAAAACGTGATCAGCTGATCGATCATTTGCCATCACCAGTTGATCGAATAGATAAATATTATTTCCATTTGATTTTATTCCTAAATCCAATCCAATACAAAATACAAAAAAGAAAAGGATTCCACATCCAAATCCGTGAAAACAAGAAAGTATGAGCGCAACTGACACTGAATTGGCCCAAGTCCAACCGTCCGCACCACGGTAATTCTTTTTTCCCTATAATATTTGCCGTTATATTAAGTTTATCATTTTGCATTTCGTTCATATCGATCATTGTGCATCATTTCTGTTTCATTAAGCAATTATCATTCCGTTTTTATCGATGTGCACTTTGTATCCTATCTCGACTCTTGAGACATTCGTATTTCACGTCAACTGTCGTATGCTTCTTATTTTTTTCATTCGATTTCATTTACATTCAGCAAATTGGGAAATTTTGCCAAGTCAGTGTTTTGTGTTTGTGGTCGTGTGTGAATGTCTATAGTATAGACTCTATATATCAAGTCTTGGTATAATATCGAAAATACTTTGCGAATGAATCACACATGGTGAATGTGTGAACAGTTCAAAAATGTAACACAAAAGTCAGTCATTAGATACTTCAAGTCGTGTCATCGTTAGATAGCAAAAAATCATGTGAATTTCATCCATTCTTCGGCTTGGATTGACAATCTCGAATGTTTATCGTCCCAAACTGAACGTGGTGAATGTTCGAGATGTGTTGCTCATCTTTCGCCCCGACAAAATGCTCAATTCTCATATGTAAGCCGATTGTGTGTATGCCAGAATTTGTGCTTGATATTGTGAAATATTTGCCAAAAATGTGTGCGTTGTCAGAATATTGTGCGCTGTATCTGATTGTTTTCAATTTTCTTCGAATTGGTTTTATTTTCATCACATAAACGTGTGTGTCTTCTCGCTCTCTCAATCCCTCTCTCGTTCTTTCTTACTCTCGCCATTGCTTTCTCTCTCACTCTCTCTCTCTCTCTCTCTCTCTGGGCATTTTTACTCTTGCTTGTGAAACAATAACAATGTGTATCGTACATGCGCGTGTTTCATGTCAACAACTGTATGTGCTTGTTGTTTTTTCTTCATCTCTATAAAAGAGTTTGGTGTATGTGTGTGTGTGTATCTACGTTTCAAAACGTAAACATGCGATTAGTTTCGGTAATTTCAAAACAAAAACAGTACTATTGCACTTGATTCGAACTATTTCAAAGCAATACATACGCATGACTATACCGTGTCCATTATCAAGTTTAGCCTAGATCAACGTGTGTTTGTTTTCTTTTTTTTTTGTTGCACATTTTGCACATTTGCCTCGTTTTCATTTCTCTTGCCATTTTTTTTTCTTCTTCTCTTTTTTGTGAAATTACAGACAAGTGTATGCGTGTGTTTGTAACACACATGTGCTCCGCATTCTCGAACACACTTTTTTTTTCTCACTTGCAATCGTTTAGTTTCAATCTCTTTTTTTCGCACAGCTGATAGAAAACTAGTACACAATTTTATTGCTATTTGTATGGCCAATTGATGTGAATGAGAAACAATCGATCGGGAAACTACTCAGGTGAAAGAAGGAAAGAAAGAAATAGGCAAATTGAAACGAAAGAGAAAAAAAAAACAAAAACCAATGATAAAAAAAACCCTCGCTTGTATCCAGCTAAGTGTTTTTCTTCTGCCAACTATTGCGATGGTTGAAATCAAAAGTTATAAATTATTGATAATCTTTGAGAGATGCGTGCATCAATTGAACGATTAATGACCTTAGCCACACAAATATTGCTACGATGTATGGAAAGTGGGAATTTCGCATTTCGTTTTTGCCGCTTCTTCTTCTTCTTCTTCTTCTCCTATTTAACTCTCATAATAACCGTTTGGCAAGAAAAAACAACAACAATGGAACGCACAAACAACATCCACTCGAAAAGATCAAAAACAAGTTCGGTACACGTGCGCTAGTGCCATTTCAAGTTGTAAAGAAAAAACACAGCACAACTTCTGCAAACAGCTGATTATCGAAAATTAAATGCGACGAAAAAAATCGAGCGCGTATTTCGATGATTGATGGTGTGTATTTCTTGTTGTGTGTTCAGTTCATCGTCACCTTGGTCACACCTCCAACGTTCAGGGGCCGCATATTGTTTATCATAACGTCATGTTGTTGTTTTTTTTTTATCATCTTGTTTTTTCCTGCGCTCGAAATGTATGCAAATTCGTCGGATACATTCCGGAATGGTATTTCAAGAAGATATGGCCCCATGTCTATGACCAATGTGGCGTTGCACAACAATCGAACCACCGCAATAAATTGAACTCAATTGAAATCAAATGCGATAAAATCATTCAAGTTGCGTTGCTAGCAAAACAAAAGGCATTTGTGGTCTGAATGCAAGAGAGCAAGTGGCTTGTTTACACCGACTGTACGGAGACAAATGTGTTGGAAAGAATGCGAATGAGGAAATGAACGATTAGCTATTGTTTGAATCCACTCAAGCCATACAATGTTGCATGAAATTTGAACTTATGCAACGCAAAAAAAGAATGCTATCGGCGAGTAGTAGGCTGTGTGGCGGCTCCACAAATGCCATTTGTGAAGCAAATTCGCGTGCATAACCTCAGCTTGCATGTGGTGGATTGAATTGTATATTGCGTCACAACTGTTTGATTGTAGCAAATGGTTGTAAGTGCGAGCGTGTGTGTTTGTGTGTTGCAACGTGCTCATCGCTATATGGAGCCAACGCTGATAAAAATGAATATTTGAATCGTGCCCCTGAAGTGGTGCTCTCGTATTCGTCGAGCTACAAAAACATCTAATAAACACACTCGCACACAATGCCACATTTAGAGTTGGCAGCGTGACTCTGTCTCTCCCTCCGCGTGTGTTGGTAGTGGGTTTATTGCATGGGCCTATTTGCGTCGCTGATGAAAAAAAAAATGATTTAAATAGTTGTTTATCATAACGAGAAAGGAGAATAACAAGCGCTGTTGTGCACGATAAATTTTTGTCGAATTTAAAAACCAACAAATACATCTCATTCACAGAGACTGTCAACAACACACGCGGCCAATGAATTTTCTTGTTTTTCGTTCGATGTTTGGCTCGAACTTGCGCGCGCCTCAGCCAATCGCATTAATTCGGCCAAAGACAACTTCAAGCCGATCATTTACTTTTAGTTATTTAAAAGTTACATTGGCCGTGCACCCGATCAGTTCCTAGTCAAACTCAACCAGCGATACAAGCACTCTTAACTCTCTCTCTGTGATCTCTCCGTTTTTGTGTGTGTAGAAGAGATAAAGAACAATGTTGATTGAAATCAAGGAAGACATTCTCCCGAAAGAAAAAAGAAACAAAAATTGAACAGAAAAACTGTTTTCGAATGCTGGCCAATTGATACAATTATAAAAGTATTTTTAGTGTGATACAAATTAACCGAAAGTTTAATTGAATTTGTCAACACTTTCTCATTTTGCGATTAGTTGAGTTTGATTGTATGTGAATTCAGCAGGATCGAGAGTGCTGCGCATATACCATTCAGTGTTGCCTTTAAAAAATATTTGTTTTGATTTATTTATATAAAAAGTGAGAGAGAGAGAGAGAGAGAGAGAGTGAGAGAAAGAAAGAAAGAAAGAACCAATCAAACGGTATTGAAATTGAGTCATACGTGTTCAGTGTGAAGTGAATAAGAAAAAGTCGTACGACTTTTTTTGTGCTTCCGTGTTGTTGTTTATACATCGCTAGAAAGAAATAAAAAACTCACGAAGAAAAAAACAAATCGCACACACGATCCACAACGCTAATTGTTGTTGCAACGATCTCATCGTCCTATTACACACGCTCACATTGAATTTCGAACAAGAACATTAGTCCGTCGTATTGTTTGTGGTGAATACACGACATATTGGGAAGTGGTTATTAGTTGTTGTTGTCTTCTAATTTTTTGCAAGTGGCGCACATCATTCAATTTCATAATAAATTGCAGACGACACTAAAACAAACGAGAATAGATTTTCTTTTATTGAAACCAAAAAATAAAATAAAATAAATAAACTAAATAGCATCGATCTGAATATAATCTATTCAAAACGACTCGAATTTTCCGGAATACACATTTAAAGCATCTTTCTTTTGTTGCGTTCAGCGGATTTCTGTGCTGGTTAAATTGGACATCAAGCGCATCATCTGAAGGAATGCTTCGTGCAGCTGAAAAGAAGATACTTTCATGTGAGTATTTCATTGTCTCTTCTTCTGGAGAATTTTAAATGATTGATTTACTTGAAAATGTGTTAATGAATGGGCATTTGATAATTAGTTTAAAACCAATTGAAAATACTTCCTGTTCCATCGATTGAATTAGTGAAGAAAAATAATAATTTAATCCAATTGAATTGTTTACAGTTTTGAAAACGCCATACAGAGGCTGGTATGTAGATATCGGTCCGACTGTTGGTGAGGCTGACAAAATATGGACCGTTTCAATGCGACCAGAGCTCCGAAATACGCCAATTGTTCTGCTGCACGGCATGGGCGCTGGCGTTGCATTTTGGGTACTAAATTTGGATTCACTTGCCAGAGATCGACCAGTCTATGCCATTGATATATTAGGTAAATATGCATGTTGTTAAAAATAAACAAAACAATCGAAAACATTTCAATGTAGAAATAGTTTATTCATACAAGAAAAATAATGCGTTTCATTTATCGAATGTAGGTTTTGGTAGAAGTTCAAGGCCAACATTCTCGTCCGATGCAATGATCGCGGAGAAACAACTCGTGAGGTCGATCGAAGAGTGGCGACGCGAGATGAAAATCAAAAATATGATCTTATTGGGTCATTCGATGGGCGGATTTCTAGCAACTAGTTACACAATTTCATATCCAGACAGGTAATTAAAATGCCATTGATATTGAACTTGCCCTTGAGTCAAAACCAACTTCGATTTTTGTGCTTTCGGTTGACAGAGTGAAACATTTAATACTAGCCGATCCATGGGGTTTCCCAGAACGACCAAACGAAATTGCCGCACCACTGTGGGTTCGGGCCATTGCCAAAGTATATGGGAATGTTAATCCACTGTGGATTCTTCGAGCAGGTACGAATATCATTGTTTCTGAGTGCCAAGAAAAAACACTTTGAAAATTAAAATTGTTGAACATTATTTTTGAAGAGATGCAATTATTTGTTTAATAAATATGAACAGAGACAATAAATAATAAAGTAAACAATTGAAAAAGGCGCAATTAGTATTATTCAACAGAGTGACAATTTTAAATTTTCAATTAAAAATAAGAAACTTAATCGATTTTTCTTTGACGCAGCTGGATCATATGGCCAATGGGTAGTACAAAAAACGAGACCAGACATTCTTCGCAAATTTCAAGAGGTCGTTGAACATCACAATACTGGCGATGAAAATCTAATGGCTCAATATATTCATCAGTGTAATGCTCAAAGTCCAACGTGAGTATCATCCCAAATTCAATTTGATTGACGTTGTAAATAAACAATTTCTCTAACACTATGATAGCTATGATAAACATGACTTTCGTTTAAATTTCAATGAATAACGTTTTAAATGTTGTCGTTTTGCAGGGGAGAGAGCGCATTCCATGCAATGATGTCAGGTTTTGGGTGGGCCAAAAATCCGATGCTCAACCGAATACACGAACTACGTTCAGACAAACCAATTACATTGCTTTATGGATCACGATCTTGGATCGATAAATCATCATGGGATCTAGTGAAACAAGCGCGTTCATCGAGTATTGTAAATACGCAAGTGAGTTGAAATATTGACAGTCAAATTGCATACTCATTTAATCCGATGATCGTACCGGTTCATTTTGGGTTTTGTTTGAATTTCCGTTATTATTTTCATTAAATTTTGGATTGTGTTTGTCTTAGGTTATATCTGGAGCTGGCCACCATATATTTGCCGATAAGCCAGAGGTTTTTAACGAGTATGTGAATTCTGCATGCCGATTCAGTGATGAAATCCCAGATTCTAATGCTGGTAAGTGTTCTTTATTTTTTGCAATATGAAAAAAATCTTTTCAAAAATTCGGTCCATTTTAAACAAATTTTGAGTGAAACATTTTTAAAATAATTTTTTTTTCTTCATTTAATTTTCAGCAATCGACGATGTAGAGAATGATTGTGAAATAACCGCATCCAAAGAGGATACAAATGGTTTTGCGAAAATTCCAAAATTAATTGAAGCGAACGAAGTTCCGATTTTGGACAGTAATATTCTGATAAAATGAGCACAAAGACGATATGATCATTTGTTACTTGGTTGAATCCAGATCAAAGAAGGGTGCGTTCATCATTTTTCTTTTGTTCCTAAGGAGATTTAACAGCGCCGCTCATCGTCATTTATGTCCTCGGAAGGTGACACCGTATCATACTCAATGTCAACGCACCAACATCCAAAATCACAAATACACAAATAGTATTCCTTGTTTGTCATTTTCATATACATTAGGTGTATATACATTTGAAGAATAGAATTATTATGAATTAAACAGAAATATTTGAACATAAATGACATCGGCTGACTGTTGAGATACTTTCGATACAGAGTTGAGATCAGCTCACACGCACATAATACTCTCGTAAGTGGTCACAGCAAAATGTTCTTTTCCTTCGTTTTGAGATGTGCTGTTATTTCGACTTGTTTACGCAATTTTTTTTCTCTGTAAATTCTAAATGCAGCTACAGTAAGCTTGCCATGTAAACAAGTCGATAATTAGTTTAGAGAATTCACACAAAATGTTTTTTTTTAACAATATTTTATTGGAGAAAAAACAATATTTAATTATTTATACACTCTCTCTTGTCACAATAGTGCAAATGATGAATATGATGAAAAATTACACAAAATTGTGATTTAAATTTAGATACAAAAATTGTACGGCAACAATTAAATTAGGATCAATGAAACTGTAAATAAAATGCAATGTAAAAATGCTGAAAATTAAAAGAAATTGATATTCGATTTTATTTCGCGGTTTATTTGGGTCAATGGATTGAAAGGATGGATCTTTTACACTTTATAATTTTTTTTTCCATCATCACGCTTTTAATTTTTATGTAACAAACACTTGTAAAAGGGATGCTTTGTTAAAACATTTTCAATGCCTTCGTTTAGGATTTTCTGGTCTAAAGTATTCGATGCTCGGGCCATTTCTTCAATTCCTTGGCGATGTTTTGCGTCTTGTTCCAACTTGTATGCCTGCAGAATATCCACAAAAAGAAGAAAAATCACATATTTGTATATAAGTTCAATTCCCTAATATTCAAAGAAAATTTTCCTCTCAATGAAAATATAAAATCAAATTTTAGCTTCAAGAATCCGCTTACCGCTTCCATATTTTTGAATTCAATTTGTCGTTGAAGATCCTGTTGGAATTGAAGTTTATTCTGAGCCTTTCGGGCAGCCATCATTTTTTCATATTCGGCATTAAGTCTCTGACTTTCTTCTAGCGATCGAACATCTTTTTGTTTTTCCTTGATTTTTTCAGTCTGCTTTTCTTTCAATTTTTTGAAATATTCGTTCTGTTTCGATGATTTTATTCATCATTAGAATGAATTTCGGTCCAGAAAAAAAATTATGCGAAAAAAAGTAAAAAAAAAAACAAATCTGTATAAATACAACTGTAACAATACTGTGTGTACAAACCCGCAATTCCGTATTGAGTAATTGCTTCCGTTCGTGTCGCTTCATTTCGGCATCAGCCTCGAATTCTTCATTAATAAGGCTTACATGTCTCAAATCAATTTTTTCGGCTTCGATTTCCTTTTTATCAGCTCTTGTTCGGCTCAAATAATCGGCAAAATTCAAATTTTCCACATTTTGCTTTCTTCTCGCGTATTCAGCTTCGGCAGCTTCCTTTTCCATTTGTTGCCGATTTTCTTCAGCTACTATTTTACCGTATTCAATTTCTCTCTGCCGATGGTACTCTTCATTCTTCTTGCGTTCTTCAATTTGACGCTGTAAAAATGCATAAAAATTTTCAATCTCATCTGTGAACTCAATTGATTTACAAGAAAATCTTTAAATCCTTTAAATTACCTTGAGAAATTCTTTTTGCGACTGAATTTCTTGTTGTTTGACCATTTTAAGTTCTTCTTCTCGCCGTTTTACGGCTTCGTCTGTTCGCTCGAGTGACTTTCGTTCAATTTCTTTTTCGGCTTCCTTCCTCTTTCGTTTTTCAATTTTACGCTCCAATTCTTTTTGCAATTCAATTCGTGACTGCCAATTTGTCTGCTGTTTAATGACATTCTCAGCTTCGGCTTCTTTTTGCATCTAATTAAAGAAAGTTCCGTTAAAGTCACAGAAAATTTGTAAAAAGAAAATATTTTCAATTCAACAAATTAAATGCTGAACAATTATCTGAGTCGTTAACTAACTTCTTCGATTTGTATGCGTCTTGCTTCTTGAATCTGTGCATTTTCTTCAGCTTCAGCTGATTCTTGCTCCAATTTCAACCGTTGGATTTGCTCATTACGGCTCTGTTCGCATTCCTCCAATAGTTTTTTGGACAATTCTAAACGGAATGCTTCGGAATTTCGTCTAAGGATCAATCAAAAATATAAATTGATCATCAAACCAATGGTAATGAGAAAATGTCACTTGAATCGAAACAGTTACTCACACATGTTGTTGGATTTGCTTATGTTCAACGAATTTCTGTCGATCCAGTTCGCGTTGAATTTTCAATCTGTCCAAGTTTTCGATTTGTGTTCGGACCTCTTGTTCACGCAGCATATTGTATTTGTTGTGAATTTCTTGTTGATATCCCAGAGTTTCGTTCGCTGTTTGAATGTGCAGTCTGTGTGGAATGCGAAAATTTTGAGTAAAAAAATTGGAAAATACAAAAAACAACGGCATGTACCGACCGATTGCGTTTTTCATGCAAATCGATTTGCATTTCACGTTCAGCCGCCTTTACCTGTACTCAAACAACAACAAAAAAAACAACCATTGATTCGATTTAAAGTTATTATCTATTTCCACGAAATCAGTTACCATTTCCATGACTTGTTGGTGGGTCGGCTGGCGAGGAGCGTCCGCGTCGAAAAGGTATTTTGATTTTGAACTATTTGACTTCATTTTCAACCAATGCAATCGCGATTACAGCAATTCTATCAATTTTCAGAGAAATTTGCAATGAAATCCTATGCAGAAGAAAAAATAAGTTGACAGAAGTTTTGTTTTTCTTCGGTTTGCTTTGATTGAATTGTTTATTGATAAAACGCAGCAAGTTGCCATATCATGCGAATATAGATATAGTTTTTGCGCATGGTTACTAAACGAAAAACAAACATTGGAATTCTCTGTCGTTAGAAGAATAAACTTTATTTATTCTTATCAATTTCTTGCTTAAAGAAATTATGGGCAAATTACGACCTATAGCTAAAATATGGATTTTATAGTGGTCTTTGTGTAAGACAGCCCAAAATATGCTCTGCGAACAAACTATATATGGGGAACATTTTACAGGATTCAAACAGTTTAGATGCCAAACTTTTCGATTCATAGGTGATTTTGCTGCAACCATTTCTAACACGAAATTTATTGATATCAATTGATGATATATTTTGAGGAAAAGAATCGTTCGAAAAAAAGTAAAATGAGATTCATGAGCGAAAAAAAAAATACTTCACATTGGTACGGTAATGTGTTCTTGGAACTTTGGTCATTAGTATTTGTTTACATTCCTTCTGTTTCTTTTGTTTTCCGTTGGTATCTCCAACATTAGCCAAAGGTGAATAAATTTTAATGATGTGATCTAGTACAAAAATATTCCTTAAGGATGACAATGAATCTCGACAAATTCCAGAAAATCATACAAAAGCAAATCATGATAGTATGCGATGCATCAAATAGTAATTCAATGCATTTCAAGTTGCTTTTGCAAAAAAAAACTTTCAAATATCCTTAATTTTCCAAAACTCATGGAAAATCGCTTAGTTGTCATGGTTTTATCAAATATGACCATCTCGGATTCATCGAGAGTCCTCAGGATTATTTTTGTACTAGATCTGAATACAATCGACATATTCTAGTATTTCTAACGCCAAAGGATCATTAGGCAAAAGTGTCCTAATTACTTTTATGTGCCTTTAAATTCGGACACCAATCATTCGAGCATAACAGTTTTTAGTCAAGTGTTGAAGAGATAACATCAAATAACTGGACGTTTAAGCAAGTTAAAGTGAATTTAAAACTAAAATTGAAAATGGTTTCCGATGAAAAATTGAAACAAATTGGTCAAGAAATACTTACTATTTGTGGTATTTATTTCATTACTATCATTGTTGCCATACCACTATCTTACTTATTTATTGAAATTTTACCTGGTACGTATAGAAGAGTTTTTTCAATTGATTGTAGAATTAGTTTTTTTTCATCGTTTTCTCTAAATTCATTTATGCAGATTTTTCTGACGAAAAAGTCGTGATGTGCACGAAATTTATAAACTCACCGGCACTGACTGAGGACTTTCGAATCAATGAAATAAATCAAACGAGCAAGTCAATGATTGTAGATGCAGATTTTAGTCTATGTACACATGTCATTTGCTCCGACACATACATGCAATCAACGAAAGGTAACGACTTGAATTTTGAAAACTGGACAAAATTGGACACAATTGGGAATTTTCTAATGAATTTTGGTTCAAATCAATAAATTTTAGATTCTGAATGGACGGAAGATCAACAAAAACAATACGAAGAGTGTGTAAATCTACGTACAACCCATCCACATTTAAAAGTAATTTCAATCGACCAATCTCAGAGTATTCTAAACTAAAATATGATTTGATCTAACATATAATCGTCTATTAACGGGATTCTTACAGGTTTTGTACAGCGTTAAATATTCTCCAAACGAGTACTACGAAATGGCGGGTGATTTGAAGAAGCGACGTGCATTTATTACAAGAGTATTTAACATAGTTTCTGGCAATAATTTTGATGGATTGAATTTGATTTGGCAGCACTCCAGTGAAAGGTCGGACATAATTTGTTAATATTGATGAAAAAAAATTAATTTCTTTATTATTAGTTCCATTTTCCAAAGCCAAATTCGTGAGTATGCTTCAACAATTTTCGTTTTTCTCTTTAATTTCAGCTATCCGATGGATGCGAATATGTTGCTTGATGAAAATATTCCGTCGTTGGTAAAGGAACTGAAGCATACATTTAAATTGAACGACCTAATGTTTTTCGGTACATTTGCCAAGCGAATCGTGGCAGTACTTCCGAAAAATATGTTGACCGGCACAACTGAATGGCGTGGAGATGTTCAACTTTTAAAAGTGTACGATATGGTGTCCATTTCAAATGACGTCGACTATGTGGTAATTGAGTCATTTCATACGGATGAAATTGAACATTTGATCAAACTGGATGTACCGTCCGATAAATTAATACTAAAAATACCACTTTTGCGATCCCAAATTGTGAATGAAACCGAGACACTCATTCCAATTAAAACGGAATATATAGAGAGCACCATAAAATCTGCCACGGGGCTCTGTTTTCCGCAAATTGGTGGTGCTTTAGTTGATGTTTTATTTGGAAATTCCAATGAAACCGAACTGCAGACAATAACCAGAACATTAGATTACCGTAGACATCCTTACGCTGTAAATTGGATTTTTATGAGCTTCTATGATATCAAAAAAGATCATATTGAAACAAATAAAAAGAACACATTAGAGGTGTCAGAATTAGGCGAAGAAAAAAAGAGCATCATAGGAAACGTGTACAAATACATAGCCTAATGGGATTATGGATAGGATTTTTTTCCGGCATTTTTATACTACTTCTATGATGAAATTTAAGATTGCCGTATTTTGAGAGTTCATTCATAGACACTTTTATTCATACTGCATCACTTCATAATCGAAAATACAACAATTGTGCATTTTAATTTGTATTTTCATTAACAACCACACTAATTGCCAAATGTATTTTGAATTAATAAAATAAATATATAAAAAAATATAAAATACGCCTGATTTGAATCATAATTTTCCGTTAAAAAACAGGAGTTTCATCGAAACTAAAGAAGAAAAAAAAGTTTCTTTCGTCTTAAAAAAGAAACAAAAAAATGAAGAAATGCAAATCAAATTTAACAAATCGTCATGAAAAAATGTCACATTTTATTCCATTCTGTTCCACCTTAACAAAATAATTGGCTTATTCTAATTTTAGTTGCAAATTACAAAACTATAAATGCATCATTCAGTGTGCATTAAGTGCAGTGAGGTGTAGAATGACTGTCCCGATCGAATCGAAAAAAAATAAACGAATTTGGTTCTACACTAAAAAATGTCCAATAATTTGAGAATCACGCAAAGAAACGAGACAATCAATCGGTACCTCACCGTACTTTTTTCCATGAAATTTCAATCATATTTTTTGAATTTCAGTCTTTTTCTACATGATCTCGTTTCATTGGTTTCATTATTCCTAATATGATCTCTTATTTTCATTGACTGGCATATTTCACGTTTTGAAGGAGTTTTCATTTTAGTTTTCTCATTCAAATAAATTAACTCAACAAAACTGACAGTTGTTTCTCCTTCGATCTATCGTTATGATTTAGAATATGTTCATTGTTCATAATGTCATTTTTTCTTCTATGTAAATAATTCACTTTAATTTCTTTCCCTTGTTGTGCTACAACTCATTATTAACAATAATGGATTTTTAACTCTAGAGTATGATTCGCTTTTGGTATCGGCAAAATTCTTCCACCCATCGATTAGAATTATTCATTGATTTGTATTATTACTAATTGCGGTGTTTTTGTCATATTCGGATTGTTTCATACAACCGTCATATTTAAAGTTCATTTTTTTTTTTACAGAAAAGTTCAATCATTTTTACTTTTTTATGGTCATAACTATGCAAAGAAACTATTTCATATAATCAAAAATAGTTGGTCTGGTAAAGTTCTTATACTTATTTAGCTATTCTTATTTCAATACGTGCTTTATACTTTTTTTATACATTTCTCTTTTACACGTGAAAAAATGGTTGTTGTTTTTTATCAATATTCAATCAGTATTCAACAAATTTCAACAGTTAAGCTTCAATTAAGTATCAAATTTTGCATTCAATTTTTTTCGATGTCTCTGTGTCATCAATTAAATTACGCGCTAATGTCTAGTAACTGGTACCCGTTGATTCCTAGAGGTATCGTCGATTGATTCGTTTGTTTGGTGAAATCAGCGTCGAATCACCGTAAATTGGCGACGCACTGTTGTGCAAAATGCTGCTTGTTTGACTGGTGTTACTGCCGAAACTTTGGTCTGAAAGCAAAAAATGTGATTGAATTAATTTCACTCTTGACTCACCAATAACAAATCAATTATTTGAAAGAATTTCTAAACTAGTTTGCTTCAATTACCCGGATATAACGGTTGTCGAATACCACTTGGCGATGAAATTCTTGATGATGATAAGTTTGTTATTGGCATTTGTTTACGGGGTGATTTCTGGAACGGTGAATTATCTGAAGAAAGAAATGAGAAGACATTTTTTTTCAAATTCTTCCATTGAACCAGTGTTCGTTTGTTTTCAGCCTAAAATTAAATATGACTAAACTAACATGAATTTTGTGTTGATTGTTTTTTGTTTCTAAGTAAATTTATGGTGATCGGCGTCGTAGATTAGCAAGACGTTGTTCGAGATCATCCATAATTTTGGATGTGGGAGGTTGATAAGATGTGTCAATCGATTGATCGTTATTTAAATCTTGGATACAACTATTGATTTCATTTTGGAATACATCAAAGTTGTCTTGCTCGCCCAGTGATGTGACTTGTTGCAGTAGTTGCTGAAGTTCATCGGAATCTTGTGCGCTCGACCGACCGGCAAAATCATCCTTCAACTGTGCCAATATTGGTGAGAAACGAGCGCTTAACATTTGATAGTGTTGCGATTCTTTGTGCTTTCGAACAGCGGTTTCAGCATGGATTCGGGCACGCTCAACATCTCCATCTTTGTAACAATTCTTTGCCTTGGTTTTTGCAAGTCGCTCCGCTGTTTCACATTTCTTTGATTTACGATGCAACGATTTCATCATCAGTTGAACCTCAACGAGACGGTCTACGATTGTTTTGATTTATCAATTATTTTTCTATTCGTACACTTGATTCGATCGAATTGGCAATTTTTAAATTTTTTTTTCTCTTTCAACACTCCCACGAGATTTGTATGAGTTAGGATGGTATTGGCCAAAATGTGAGTATTTTGATTGAGAGAGGTAACGATTGAAATTGATAGAATTGTCATGGGAAATAGAAGATTTTTTCATTTTTGAAGCGATAGGAAAGAGACTCTTCGCGCTAAATAGCCTTGGCTCTCATAATAACCTTTTAAAATTGATTTTTTTTCCATTAACATCAAGTAAACTTTATGAATTGAAATCCAAAAAGTCTTTCTATTTTCCATGAATGTCATCAATATCAATCCCCTGTCTCAAGCTTAATCAATCTGCTGATTTTTATCAATCCTTATTTGTACTCACCTTCGACTCGTGCTGAACTTGATGAAAAGCAGTAAATGAATGCTAAAAAAAATGTACAATATTATTAGTTGAATCGTTCATTCAGTGCTCGAAAAACATGTGCTGAAAACAAAAACCTACCCCAAATGGTGGCTGCCAGAATGATGAGCATCGAAACGATGAGTCCAAGATTGGAGATGACGTTGTACGCAATGGCTGTGAAGCTCTGGAACGGTTGATTCAGGCATTTTGCAGCAATTCTGAGTGATTGAACGGGAACCTGAACGGTTTGCATGGTCAGCGGTGAGTTGACAATGATGTAAGCCGTTTCATCCAATGGGATATTTTTCAAAATTTTGATTTTATACTGGTTCGAATTTTTGGCTTTGGTCGATGTGATTTCGAATGCGCTCGGATCGGACGATGTCACTTGAACGCGTTGCAGAATGCGTTCGATGCCGGTAACGGTAAGAGTTTGTTGATCGATTTGTTCGAGTATCAACTCAAGTGGATTAACACTGATTGCTGGCATCATTTTAATAATTGTGGCGGTCGAAATGCCATTCACCAATGTGGCCACCAATTCAAATTGAAGATCGTCACCTTGTACCAAATTGATTAAATCGGAGAGTGTGACTTTTGGTTTCAATTCGATTTCGCACGCATATGATCCAAACTGTTTGTCAAATGTGGACGTAACACTGAGCAATTCGATTACTTTGGCCGCGTTGTTCTGAGCGGTATCGAGCAATTTAAGCGTGCAAGTGAAGAATTTCTCACGGAACGAGTCCAACGATGCCAAGCAAGTGGTGGTATTCTTGGAAATTAAATTGGAGAGCTTATCGATTTGCAAGTGATTTTTGATGATCAAATTGGCTTTGTAGTTCTTTCCATTGAAAACATCGTTAATCTGATAGAATTCAATTGTGTCAGCCTCGCGAACCTCCAGATCATACTTGATGAATCCATACAGCTCACCGCCATTTGTAACGGTCACTTGTTCACCGAACTTTGAACTTTGGCGGCTGCCACGTGCCAAACCGATGCCCGTGGATTTGTCGACCCGCAATACCGTTTCGTCAGACGATGTCCAATCACCGACCGACACCAATGGTGAATCGAAGCAAATGATATCGCCGACCGAGAAGATTTTCTTTGTTGGGAATTTACCAGTAGATTTTGATACCGACAATTTTACAAAGTCTTCGTTGTATTTCACACCGGCAGCATTTTTCAATGAAACTGACAGCATGTTCGATGTTTGACGTGGCAAATTCAATGAAACAGTGAAATTGTTACCGAAATTCACTTCAATGCCGTCTTGAGTGGCAAGCTTTGGTACGAGGATTGATGTGTCTTGAATACCGTGCGAAAATTCATTGCCCAAATTGTCATGCAATGACACTTTCAAAATGATATTCATGCCACTCGGAATCTTTGTTTCAAGCTGCTTCAACTTGAACGACGGTGCATGCAATGTGGCCAACACATAGTGGATATTCTTCGTTTCGATTGGAATTGACAGCGTTTGATCGTCAGATGTTGCCTGGAATCGGAATGAATTGTATAAGTGTTAAATTAACTTTTTAACGATATGTTCAATTGAAATTGGTTTTTTTTTCGTTTTCTCTTCTATTCATTTTTTTAATGTTCATTCTTTTCAACTTTTCCCAACCAATTAAATTTTTATCTGCAAAATGTTACTCACAATAACAAGATCGCGTCCAATGTGATCAGTTGTTCGCAAAATGCCATCAGCCGATACTTTCAAACCGCCAATCATTTCTTCAGCCAAATGGAATCGTGCGTCCGGTAAATTGGCTTTGAGATTGATTTGTGATCTTGGTGGAACGATGATTGCATCGGTCGTAATGCGTCTGGGCAATTCAAGTTCCAGCAATTTGAATACGGTGATTTCAACGAAACACGAATGTGATCCAGTTGAAGTGGTGAATTCAGCTTGAACTTTCGCTGTACCCGGATTGAGTGCCTTCAATCGAACCGAAATTGAATCTTGCTCATCATACTCAATGCCCGCCTCGGAGAAAATGCCGTTGATTTCGATGACATCCGGTTGATTTGTGTGCCAACGTACCTTTGACGTTAATGTTCCTGAGAATGGAAATCAGTCAATTGTTGGTTTTATCGAAAAGGTTGAGAGTTAAATTAGAAAATTAGTAAAGTTTGAACAGGAAAAATTGAAAAATCGAATCAATACAGTTCAATGTAAAGGTATTGAAATCAAGTTCTAACCAACTTACCCAAAATTAGCGGTGAAATATTCGGTACACCCCAAATCGAAGCTGGTAAAATGGTCCCAGATCGTACGCGTCTCAATGGCGTTAGAATCTTGACTTTATTTAACGGAACGACATTAATTTCAACTTGATCTTCCGAGTAGACAATTTTCTGTGAATTCACTGGATTGATTCCAATACATTGGCCGATTATAATCGTTTTACCCAATCGCTGACCTTTTGCCATACTCAAGTCCATCGCTAAAATTTGAATTTAAAAATGACCATAAATTAAAGAGTAAATAAAGTAATGACAAAGTCGAACCAAAAATAAGTAAACGAGTGGAAAATTATTCATTTTTACAAAGATGAAACTGCAATTTATCTACTTACACACAATATTTTCTTGTTCAACGGAATAGATGACGTTAACATCTGGATGTGGTCCTCCATGGGCTTCAATTTGAATGGATGATCCGATGACGATGGTCGAGTTTCGTGGAAGCAATCGCAATGGTGGGAAAACCTATCGAAAAATAATAATCACATAATTCACAGTTCAATCAAGGATGTGTTGACCCATGTCCATATTGGGTCCATATATAAATTTCATATCAAAAACAAACAAAGCAGCCAACAAAGTGACTAATACTAATTTTCTTTGCGATATCAAATAAGAAAGCATACATTATCAATTTACTTTTCGATAAGATAGTATTTTCCTAGGGGGAAAAATCATTTTTTTCATCTTTTATATCCGCACGCATCAAGTAATAACTTAGAAATTCAATGGTATGCATGTAAATCCGAAAAATCCATGTATATTCAACAATATTCATCGTGAACGACAAATGAATATTACTGAATATACATAGATATGCCAAATTTACGTGTATACGTATGAAAAATAAAAATAATAGTGGATCAATCCTTCAACCGTAAATTTGATTGATTTTGTTAGATAACGGTGAATATTGGAACATTTTTTGACATTACAGTCTAATGAATATTATTAAATATACATAGATATTTGAGATTGACGTGCATACCAGTAAATTTGTGCAGATTGTGTCGTCAAAAAATGTTCCAATATTCATCGTTATCCACCAAAAACCTTCAAAAGTGGTTCAAATTTTCGGTTGAAGGTTTGATTCACTATTATTTTTATTTTTTCAGAGTTATTTGCGTTCTGCAAAATCGCGTGAAGCCCCTAGGTATTTTCAAAGCATTTTTCAGAGTGTGTGTACTATGGAATGGTACTATGATTAAAAAAAATCGGATACTAAACCCGTAAATACATTCATTGTGATTCAAAGCACTCCAGTTCTTTCGAACGGATTCGCCGAATAGTGTGCGTCCTATGCTGTAAGAATAGTCTCTTTCGACTTTTCAGCAGCCACTGACACGACGTAGAACTAAGTTCTATAATGGTATTATTTTTACTGAGCAACTCACTCCCCAAATATATATGGAAGCCGCAATGCTAATATACTTTTCTTTGTGAATTCGTCGCCTTGCGAATTATAAGAATCAGCCAAAATGAAAAATCTAGAAGGCCAGCTAGTGTGTGTGTTTGAGCGCGGTAGCTAGCTGTTACGTTCATATATAGATATCTCACTCTAACAAGAAAGACGAACGAAGCGACAGCACACCAATACACAAGTGATCGTGTGCGATGTGTGACTGTAGTGATTTAGCTTGAATCATATCTGTTGTAAACAACAGAAGCACATTTTATGGTTTATGTTTGTGAAAAATATTTTTTCACTCACAAAGTCAAAGAAATAAATCCATTTTTCTATTTTGAAATTAAATTTATCAAACGGAGAAAATAAAAAAAGGGTTTCATACGGAAAAAATGCGGTTGATTCATTCGTACGGCTTTTGTGTCGCTGCCGAGATTCATGTCGCTACAGCTGGTGGCCTACAAGTGATGCACCAAAATCATAGAAAAATTATTACAACACACATAATTACATGGTTCTCATGGCTTTCATTGTGATTCGATGACAATTTACTTTTCTTTTTTTTTCGTCCGTTAGCTTTAATCATCGTGTGACACAAACCACAATACACTAAGATTTGCTTATCATATATGTCAAGAATTTTGTCAAAGTGACGCATACTACTATGTGAGTACAGAGTACACTCAGAGTGGTGATCGCGTGCAATACGTACTACAATTGAATGAAACAGTTCACTTTTGGCGGCTGACAGTTTTGGCGGTGTCGTACAATGTCCGAAAATTTGGATTTGGTGGTGAAAAATATTGTGTTCGTTGGTGATGGGGCTGTCGGCAAGACGAGCCTTTTGTATGCATACAGTAATCAAGGTGAATTCCGTATATCATACGTGCCAACGATGTGAGTGAGAGAAAAGAAAAGTGAAAACAATTTCGAATTGAGTGAAATAATCGGTTTCATGTTGTTGTTTTCTTTTTTTCAGCTATGATCGCGATGAAACCGAGCTCACACTGGACAATGTGAAACATTTGGTGAAATTGCATGATACAGCCGGCCAAGAGGATTATGAACGATTAAGACAATTCGTTTACAAAGAAGTAAGTTGAAGATGGATGTTCACGATTTAAAATGTCCGTATTTAGTTGTCAGTCGAACATATTTGCATAAAATTGTTCAAGGCCGATTGTTTTGTTCTATGTTACAGCATCGTCGATCGAACGTCATTTTCCAATATCGCCATCAAATGGTATCCTGAACTGAAGCCGTATAAAAAGCCTATCGTGCTTGTTGGTATGTCTGTTTTATTTCCCCCAATTTTCAACAACAAAATATCAAGATAAGAGAACCGGCACTGTTTTTACTCTCTTTATGATGATAGTCACGGTATCATTATTCGTTCAAATGATATCAATTTTATATCATTTCTTTTTTTTGGACACTCACTCATTGGACTATGACTAATTCACTGGGTTTTAATTCTGTTTATTTTCTTTTGTTCTGTTTGGGTTTTTCTTTGTGGTTCTTTTTAGGTACGAAGACAGATTTAACCGTTGGAATAAACCTTGTGCAAGTGGATGAGGGTGAAAAATTACAGCGAAAAATAAATGCTAATCAATTTCTCGAATGTTCAGCGAAAAACAATGACAACATCAATGAGGTCATTTATGAAGCGATTCGAGCTGCTGTGGCTGGACCATTAGATCCACCCAAAATAGGATGTTTTAAAACATTGCGAAAATTTGTGTGCTATCACAATGACGATTTCTAATAACTCAGAAACAAACAAAAAAACAAATTAAAATAAAAAATCACTTACTTGAATTGGATATGATGGACTTGAAACTGATTTCTCGCCACTTCCCGATGTAATGGTCAACTTTGTTTCACCCAACTCGGCGCCAGTAATAAAGTAACGAATTTCACCTGTGTTCAAATTTGACAGATGGCCTAGTTCAATGTTGAACACATTCGGATTCCAAATTTGCTCGCGCAATTCATAAATCTTCAAATTTTTATAATCCAGTGCCAATGGATTTTCAAGCGAATCATACAATTTCACAATTGCTTCAATGGTCTTTGTTTTTTCCACACGATCAGCAACCTGAAATTTGAACAATTTTTTTTTTCGGTTTAGGAATGTAACAAAAAAAATCAGCATATTAATTAATATTTTGACTATAATCAAAAATAAAACTGCTAGAGAAAAACGACTATAAAAAAAATCGAAAAATTGAAAATAAATTCGAAAAAAAAAATTTTAAGCAAAAGTATTTGATTTTGTCTAAGTTTCACAACTTAAATCGCAATAAAAATGTGTACAAACCTGAACTTCAATGCGACCAATTGACACAATGGACACAGTCAATCGTGACGGGTCGGTTTGTAGGCATCGGTCCACTATATCAATTTCCACTTGTCCGATGCGAAGTGGTTCAATGACAATTTGACGACGTTCGTTATCGATGACAGCATTCAGAATACCCGGTTCGTTTACTTTAAGCTCATAAAATCCGCTGCCTTGAAGCAATTGGACATGTTGTTCGTGGTTTGGTGCAAGGAATATCGACACGCTATCAAATGGCAATAGAGTGCTGTTCACCGCCAAAAAGTTGAGTTCATTTTCAATTACTGGCTTATACAGATTGCCATCATCCGGTTTGCCACTTTGTGGAATTCCAAATTCGGGATGCTCAGCATAAATTGATTCGTCATACAAAATGGCTTGATTGTAACTGTCAACCGATGCTTTGATTTTGAAAGCATTGTGTACCTCTGGAAGTACTGTCGTTAGGAAATCACGTTTTGGTACTTTAACGCCGGCTATGATGTCTTCTTCGCTCTTACGCTCGTACACGATATCATAGTTGAGTCGATTGTCGTCGGCTTGCAAGAATTGCCATGACAGCACAAGCGATGAAATGTTCTGCAATTTACGATTCTGAGCGTCCAGCACATCGATGGTGATATCAAGCTGGTTGTCATTTTGTCGAACGTGCATCAGGGAATTTTTCACTTTGAGCGGACAACCTTGACGCAGTTTTTCGGTGGTGTACAAACTGATGAATCGTGGCTTCACACAATTCACATTTGTTTCGAATTTCGAAACATATGGAACATGGTTGTTGGACGATAGTGCATTGTAAATGTCAAAAGTTAAAACCGTTGATCCGACCTTTCGGCAAAGTACATTCAGGATATGCTTATCAGCAGAGTAACTGTTTGTAATCGGCGTAACAGTGGCAATTGACTCATCGATGCGTACATTCTTCACGAGTTCACCGTCAATGTTAAACACTTTTTGCGGTCCATTCTGATAAATAACATTTCGCGAAGCGCCAATCGGAAGTACGACCTCGTTCGAAAGTGGATTCAAAATGTCCAATTTCTCAAAGACCAATAAACTGACTTCGGCGCGCAGTACACGGTCGAAAACGGTGTAGCTAACTGTGAAATGTGAACTGCCCAAACCGTGCGATTGCAAAGCCACCAAATGACAAGCCGATGGATGCAACTGTTCTCCGGCTGGCAATTGAGCGCTGTCATCCTTGTGGAAAATCTCCTCCGACATATCATACTCGAAATGTAAATTGTCACATGATGTTAGTGACACCAATTTACCTTCGTGCTCAGCATACAAAGCCACATGCAAATAGACATAATCCTTTAGTGTCGTTTCAAAATTGTATCGAACAATTTCCAATTTGGTTGGTGGCATAAAGAAAATGTCAGCCGTTTTGGAGATTTTCAGATTTCGTTGGAGTGCCACTTTGATTTGAGCAAAGTCAACCAAGTTTTTATCGTTACGATCATAGCTGCTAGCGACTTGGTTACCGGTTCGAGTTTCGGCCAAACCATTTTGATTGATGCCAATCAAATTACCATTCAAGCTAGACCACGAGTACAGACCATCTCCCCCCTTTGCTTTGTAGTGAATCTTCTGGCGACGAAGATGATTCGGATCGTAGGGTAGATACACGATCGATGGATTCAATTCCAATTTATCGAATACTTGCAATTCGGCTGTCGCTTTTAACTTTTCAAATGATCCAAGTACGGCACTTTTACCGGTATTAATTGCCTCGCCGAATATTTGCGATCCGTTAACTGTACGCGACAATGGTGAAAAGATGCTTTGGTCAAATTGTGATTCGATACCATACTCATCGCCCAAAGTAATCAATTGATTGTCATGCGTGTATAAGTTGATCGAAATTGCATGCTGTTCGCCTTTTACAGTCAACCAATTGTAGTATGGCAATAAATTCAAGGTTATTTTATCCGCACGGCAAACTGTGAGTGTCGCCTGAATCGATGGAATTGAATCGGATTCAACTAGATTATTTGCAACATTTCGATCCTTCAGAATGACTGCCGTTCGACCAAGCTTATGGCCCGTTGCAATGTTTCCATCGAGTGTGGCCAAGTCACTGTTTTCCACCTCCAAATAATATTGATTATTCGATGTGATGTCTTCCAATTTACCTTGTTTGAGCTAAAAATTTGGAATGGGTTCAGTTGTTTTGGAATTAATTCAATTTGTATTTTTTTTCTTCCCTTTCATAAGATAAAAGTAGAAGATTCCATTTTTAATTTCAATTTAAAAAAATTTAAACGAAATTTCAATTTACCTGTAAAATTCGGAATGGAATTGAATCGCCGACCAAAATGTGCACATCACTTGGATCGAGAATAATGTTTGCCAACACAACAATGTTCACATTCAGTGGAATAACGATGTGTTGATACTCGGGATACGGTAATTCGACGCTAACTTTAGCTGAACCGGTATTTATACCCTCCAATAGAACCATGTAACCTTTTAGACCGACGCGATCGAACTTTTCTACCGTTGGCGGCACATCATGATATTTACTTTCGGAGAAGCGTAAAAAACGCAAAACTCGTTGCCAATCTCTTTCCTTCCCTTCGACCGGATGCTGTGATGAAATTTTCCAATTGAACTCGATACCTTCGAGCGTTGTAAATGCATTTCCTATCGTCGATACAAAAACATTGCAAACAATGAATTGCAACACATTTTAGAATTAAATCTCAAGCAGAAAAAAAAGGTCACCAAATAACTATTTACCTTGTGAATCTTGTGCCCATAGTTCGAATGTTTCTGGCGCTTCTTCCAGATACAGTTCACGTGTTGTTGTCAGAACGTCGAGTTTGTCGATGACATCTAAAATGACGTCACACCGCAGTATTTCACCAGTGGCTAAATCTTTAGCCAAAACAAATGCGGTGCTTCGACGTTTCTCACGAAATACGGTGGTAAGGACGGCTTTTGACGCACATTCAACGCTCTCGGCATCATCAAAAATCGGTGAAATTGTGATCAAATCAGGACGAGATGACGACCTAAAATGTTATTTTGGAAATGTAACGAAAACGGTTGTTATCTCTCTCTCTCTCACTCTCACTCTCTTTTTCGTTTCAACCGGCATTCATATCAAGCGATTTTGATCGCACCAAACCAATTACTCATCACGTAATTGCTTATAATACGATACATGACAATCTGCATAAAATTACTCATAATTTTCCATAATTCGATTATTTCATAATCATTCGCAATCATGATTGAAACACGTTCATTCATGTGAATGCTAATAAAAATGCCAGTTCGAGGTTATGTGTGATTTGTGATACATACCATTTGAAACAGCCGCCTTCGATCACTTCTAACGTGAAATTAATCGATAATTTATCAAAAATGGGTAGCAACACACGCGGATAATTCAATTTGACCGCAGCAATTTGCTGTGCACAAATGAATAAACAACAGAAAACTAGTAGAACTCGCATTTTTCGTCTAAATAAAAATTATCAGCACAGAACGATGCGGCTCACAAACATTTTCCCACACTTTCAGTTTTACGAATAGCCAATTTTGTGTGTTTGACAGCTGTTTTTTTTTCACTCTCTTCTCTTGTATGGCTAAAAACTGGATTGTCACAAATGTTCAAACCGTCAACATGTTTGTCCCAAACCTACGTATCGACCGTGTAATCCGTGCGTTTGATATCTGTCATACTTAATGTCATCACAAAAGTATTGAATATAGCATAGTAAGTGTTTGTGACGTTTGTGTTTTATTTCATTTTTTTTTTGACATGTTTCAAAATCAAATTGTTTGTAAAAAAAAAATTGACTCACAAATAGTGTAGGAGGAAAACTACAAATCCGAATTGGCCGACGGAGAGACGGAAATTTAGTGAATATTGTATTGATACGGTGCCGTGTCTTTGCACTAACGTTGTGTGAATCGATTTATTTATTCAAAACAATGCCGAAGAGCAAAGTTAATGAATCATCGTCACCACCAAAAATACAGCCAATTAAAGTGGCCGCCAAAAAACCACGCAAAGTATTTAAATTCCGTTTTTTAAACGAAACGAATCTGCACAATGTGCGGCGAGATCAGATTTTCTACTACATCCTGTCATTACACAAAAAAATTCGGTCATTGCTAAGGAAATGCAAGCGATACCGGGAGAAAATCATCAAATTAGTGAGTATGCGTGCACAACCATTGTTCAATATACCAGGCAATCAACAACAACAATGTTTGAATGAATTATTCCATTGTTCTCTTTTCATGATTCATTCAAGGATCGAGTATCTCGAAAGAACTCAACAACATCGGAGAAAAACTCATCTGAGAGAAAAACCGAAACAAAAGACACAGAAGCCACCGGCAAAGAGTCTGAAGCAACTAATTTTATAGCTGAGATTAAAAATGCGGCGCATCAAGCGCAAAATGAGACTGGATTTATCTATGAACCAACATCAGGCCTTTACTATGACTCAAGAACGGGATACTACTATAATGCGGTTTGTTCAACTTTGTCTTTAGTTGTAGTTTGATTCTATGACACAAATTTGAAATCCTATGTTCAAGAAGAAAAATCCATCACATTTGTTTTCTTCTTCTAATGTCAATTTCAGGAGCATGGCCTTTATTATGATGGGAACAATGGATGTTATTATTCGTATAACCAAGCCGAGAATAAATTTGAATTTCATTCACAAGTTTATTCCAGCGAGGATATGGCAGCGGCAAAAGACGAGAAGGTAATCTAATGGATTGAATCAAACATCTTCAAAAGTCGTTGGAAATCCTTCATTTTGGGGATTTAATTTGATTCTTCCTTAGGTGGCTGCTGTTGACACCATGATGCAACAATTTTCGCATATGAATTTAATTGATTGCTACCGAACGCACGCGTTAGGTGGGTAATTGAGAATGTGTATCCAATCGCGTATTTGTTTTTTTTATTTCATTGCAGACCGATAATCAAAATGATCGTGAGAATGCAAAGCGAAAACGATTAAAATCCACCGATTCTGATCACCAAGCAAATCCATCATCATCATCATCATCATCGGCTCGGGCAAAGGCGAAAAAATTATCCAAAACGCCAAATTCAGAGCAAAAAGAAGATGGCGAAATTTCCGATGAGAACGATGATAGTGCGGACGATGAAGACTATCGAGTGCGTAGTGATAGTCCGGTCTATCAGCGCAAGCAAATCGTTTATGACATTGATGATGACAGTTATACGTCGTCTGGCTCCGGCCAAAATTCGCCATACAATACATTCTCAGGTGAAAAGTTGTCAAACATAGAACGAAATAGAACGATTAATATGCAATTTAACAAACGAAAAAATAAATACGCGAAAACCGTACATATCAAAGACATCTCAAATGGGGAAAAATTTGATATAAAATGCGATTTTTCATCTTTTTAGATATTGCAAAACAGTATCCACCATCACTTCGAATCATCGTTCAAGAGACCAATATTAGGAAGTTGAAAATCGGAGAACTTTTCCTAATTACATACAAGGGAGGTTCGTTGGGGCGTGAAGGAAAACATGATGTTATCATCCCTGACATCAACTGTTCGAAGTATCATTTGAAATTCGTGTATGATGAGTCTGAAAATGGTTACACGTGCACGGATTTGGGCTCACGTAATGGCACATTCATGAATGGCAAACGAATGTCAAATGCCAAACAAGAGAGCGAACCGATGCAGCTAGTGCATGGGGCTTTACTACAAATTGGCCAAACGAAACTCCTATGTCATATTCATGATGGTCATTCAACATGTGGCCAGTGTGAACCCGGACTGTTAACCGATAGCACGGCATCGGCATCGGCATATAGCGAAACGGTTGAAGCCTCAACCACTGCCGCAAAAAGTAAACCAGGAAATGTGAACGATGATCACAAGCGGCAATTGAAAAATCTAAAAAAACGCTACGGTTTGCAAGATGAAAGTGAGTTATTCATAGATAATGTAGAATCCCTATTCTCTATTTCATATTTTATTCCAATTTTTCCAAACAAAAACGAATTCATGAAATCAATTTTCCAAATGTACAGAATATGTGGCACCAAAGATGGATGCCAAAACGACAGACCGAGCTGAAAAACGGCGACAAGCGGTTGGCAGCTCTTGTGAACATGAAAAAACCAAAGCTGCCTCACTTAATGCGTATGTATCCAATTACGATGAAAAACTTTGGTTGGAAATTTAAGAAATAGCTGAATGTGGTGTTCTTCTTTCATTTCGAAAAAAAAATTACAGTTCAATATCAAGCGAAAATAAAGGTTTCAAAATGCTATCAAAACTGGGATGGAGCGAAGGTCAAACACTGGGTAAAAATAATGATGGTCTTCTGGAGCCGGTAAGTCATTAATTTGTGTCTGTGTTTGTGTATGCGCAAAAGCAAAACCAAAAAAATCATGAAATAAATAATGAATTCGTATTGTAAATGATGATGAATTTTGTAGATACCGCTGAAAATGAATGAGAAAAATAAAGGTCTTGGTTGCGAGAGCAGCGTGAGTGTATCGAGTTTACAAGATCCAAAGCAAAAGCATAAGGCAAGAATATGGGAGAAAACACATCAGCGATACCATGCATCATCAGAGCGAACGGTAGACATTTTCAAAGATTGCAGTGATGAAAGCGATTAGTTTGCATCTTATTTAATTTCCCGTGACTGACTGAATCACTTAAGATATGCTCAACAAATTGGACTTAGCCTGATGTGAATTTATCTAATAAAAACAAAACACCATTTTAAGTAAGCTAAACATTGGTTTTGTCTGATCCCTTTCTGTTGCGTCGTCATTGTTGCTGTTAGTGTTGTTTTAGGTGACTTTTAAGTGTCTGATTGTGAGTACAATCGTTTCACGTGTAATTCCTGCGGCTTATTTGCTGTGTGCAAATGCAGGTGTTGATAGGAATGCCTCATTTTGGTGAGATCACCCTGAAGAGGATTTTTGCTTTGGCACGTAATTTGCTCGCTTGCTCTACATGCAAGCTTCATTTTGATCGTCGTCGCCACGCCACGATATTGACTACAGAACAACAACAACAACAAAATATGCATGAGAGTATAATATTACAACAGCAAATATTTGAATGGACACATGCTTACAACTTGATCTTGTCCATAAATATATACGTGTATATTGCGCCTAATGAGCGCACATTATGTTCAATTTGTGTGATATATAAATAAATATAAAAACAATGTATAATGAATTATTTGAAAAATAATAATTGACCGTACGTAATGTAACGATTGTCGTTCATTCGTTCGTTCGTTCGTTCGTTCGTTCGTTCGTTCGTTGCATCTCGTTTTGTCCCGCCATCGTTCAACCGTCACTGTGTGCCGGACACTCTCAGCAGCCCAGTTGCCAGTGCAAATTGCAAACACGAACCAATGTGCAATTGGTACACCGTCATCTGACTCAATAGACACAACTGGATTATAGCACGCAATTGTTATTGCACTGATTCGATGCATTTTTATTTGCTGATATAGATATATACTCCGAAAGAATTCATTAGGTATCGACGAAAACCATTTTGTTCCCATGATTTTTCTTTCAACCAAACATAGCTCTGACCAGGTCTGTGCCAGTTTTTTTTTCTGTTTGCTTCTCTGCGCGAAATCCACTAGAATTCTTCATATTTTTTTTATAAGTTCCATGATTTCATGGGCTAGTAACGAAATCGTGAGTTTTAATCGAATGCCAAGTTCTGATGTTATTATTTTGCACAAAAATTATGTGATCGTGCACAAGACAAAATTTAGATTAAGAAAAACCAATTTTCAATCAAATGAGCTTTGAATCTTTTTTTGGGGTGTGTATTTTTTTATTGAATTCTAATACGTTTTAAGTTAAATATGATAAATATTATATCAAAATTGTCTATATATCCATGTCTTGATTCATATCAAATTCGTTGGTCGCATTGAATGTTCCGGAATTCGCCAGCGAAAAATTCGATTACATCTAAACCAGCCTTAGGTTTCTCTCTCTCTATCTCTCTCTCTTTCAAACCCACAAAGGAGAACCAAAGTCAAAGAAAAAAGAATTAAAATGGATTGTATCACCGTCCTAACGTCCGCTTAATAAGAGAATAATTGTCTCAATTACACGTTAGATATTACCATAAACTTCAAAGGCGAAATCTACGTCGAGATAAAATAAAAGAAGAATGTGAATCTATACGGCGTTGAGCGTTGTGGTGATCAGCGCACTTCGACTCGGGCACCTCAAGAGATAGGTGCATTGTTTTTCCGTTCGACTATTTGCGATTGACATGAAAGCAATTTAGCCAAGAGCATGAAATGCCAATCGCGTCTTGAACAACAACAACACCAACATACACACACACACACACAACATTTACCGCCACAGCGTATGGGTTGCATTCACTCGTTCGTTCGATCGATCGATCGCTGTGACTTGGGCTGTTGTTTTTCAATTGAAATTCGAATAAATCCATTCATTTATTTATATTCGATTTCAACAGAGGGATAGAGAGAGGGAGAGAGAGAGAGAGAAAAAATATCAGTCATTTTGTTGAATTCATTTTTTTGCGTTTTAAATACTGGGTCACTGCAAATGCATAAAAGAATGTGAGAATCAGTTTTTTTTTGTGTTTCAATGTAGAACCGTTGATTTAAACTGACGCGTTGGACGTAGTTCTAATGCTACAGACCCAAGTATTCAATTTTAATCAAATACGTTCTATTTTTTGGTTTACATCCAACTGCCCGTTTCGATTTTCTTCTTTTAGCAGAAAAAATTAGTTATAAAAATTTTCTTCGGCTGAAATTTTCTTCTTTGATGTGATAAAATTTTTTGCGGCGTAACATTTTTTTTCTTTTACTACTCTCAAAAAACTCACCCGTTTGTTGTTATTGTTGACGAAATCCGCGAATTGTTGACTCAAAATACGCGCTCAAGCAAAACAAAAACAGCAACAGTGGGTTTTTGTGTGTGTGTTTCTCCTCCAATTATTCGTTGGCTTTAAAATAGCGGCAAATTATATCACCTAGGATCATATATCAATCACAACTCAAATTACAAGAATTCCTTTTGTGTGTTTCGTTCCAAATTACGAAATTCCAAAACGAAAAAAAAAACCACTCACACATTTTCATAAACCAAATATTGCACTTTTCACCGTGCATACAAAAATAAGAACAGCAGCGACCACGACAGCAAAAAAAGACAGGAGGGAGAGAGAGAGAGGCGTATCAACACACACAATATCTTCACTGTCTGTCAATCTCCACGTTTTTATTTCATCTTCTTCTTCTTCTTTTTGTTCGAGCGAAATTCATATCTTCTATGAATAAGTCATACGGGCCCAACACAGAGTACAATACGTGTAGCACCACGACGTGATTAATGATTTCTTAGTGCACATGTTGAGCGATGAATCACACACAATCTCATTTTATTAATGAATTACTTACTCATTCGCAACCCGCAAATGGCGAATCGCAAGAGAAAGACGGAATTTTCGATATGGGGCTTTTTTCTTCACTGTTGCGTATGTGCGCACATTCTCCTCGTGATCGAATGCGCGCTCTCGTTACTGCATATCATCTTCTTTCAGCGAATGTACGTGCACATGCAATGAGAACAACAACAATGATGACAACAACGAAAAAAAACAACGCATCATCATACACAATGAAGTTGAACGAACACGACGAATAAAAAAAAAACAACGAGCCAACAACACACCACCGGAGAATGCTTATCGCACTTCAGCGTGAATAGAATCATAGTATTTTTTGTAGTAGAGTAAAAACTACTCACAACTCAATTGTGTGTTGCATACAGTAAACAAACAGAGAAAATCAGTGCACGTAGTTGGTGAGTTTTGACGCTATAATTGCTAGTGATTCGCATATCGTGCCACGACGTAGAGAGAGATAATGGTAGTCCTGTTTTGCATCGCCCAGACTGGATCAAAATACAATAAACACGCTCATGCGAGCGCGTGCAACCGGAGCAGAGAGCAGAGAGAGAGAGACCAAGAAAAAGAATGAATGTGTGAGATAGGGAATGAGATGTTCCGTGAACGATACACATTGCAGCGCAAACCGACTGAATCTTTGTTCGCATTTTATTTTCGACGTTCACCTTTCGGTAGCAAGCGCACGTACTTTTGATTCGTATCCTCTCTCGCTCTGTGGGCGCGTGTGATGAATCAACAGGTTATTTCTGTGCTGTGATAGAGGGAGAGCGCGAGTGTCTCTCGTGCGCGTAAAAAAGGAGAGATAAAAGTGTTCGTTAGTACTTTGGTCGCCAGACCAAATCCATCGATTTGTATTTTGGATAACGAGCTACGACTCCGTCGTTGCTTCTTATTCTCTCTCTCTCTCTCTCTCTCTCTCTCTCTCTCTCTCTCTCTCTCTCTCTCTCTCACTCTCTCTCTCTCTCTCTCTCTCTCTCTCTCTCTCTCTCTCTTTCCATCGTCCATTCTTGCTCTTGTTCAGCTGTTTGATAATTTTTTTTTCGTTGAATCGTTGTGTTGAATTTTTTTCGGACGATCTAGCTACTTGATTTGATGGCTTAGGAACACGAATTCAAATCGTTGAATGCATTTTGAATTATTTTTCTTTCCTAAACTTTTTTGATTGTTCATTCATTCAAGACATGCTTGCGCCCAGCTCATAGGCTCGATCTATGCATCTCATTTGAATGAAATCATGAAACAGCCACATTATTATGAACGTTCAGTGCATGCTTACGACAGAAGAAACGAAAATCACTTGATTCTATCTCATGCAAGATTTGTGTTCATGTTCGGTCATCCGTCTCTGCAGTCCATTTCACTACGAAAGCGATCGAAATAAATTGAAATTTTGCATGTACATTGTGTACACTCGAACAACCGACGACCACGACGATGATGATGATGATGACGATGATGACGGCAGCACCAACAATATACAATTGTTCGTGCCGTGTCGTCATTCGCGGTCAAGTCATGCACGTAACAAGTGCACATGAGCTCGGAAAAGCCCTCACGTCGCGATACGAAGGAATATTGAATGTGCAGAGAGACAGAGCCAGCGAGTGAGCAGAAGAAAGAGAGCGTTACGCACGGAATAAGACGAAACTCGGATGCAACACATAAGTACACGCGAGCCTTTCTATGCAAATACGAATACTATTTGATATGCGTAATCCGCAGAAGGAAGATTCTCAAAATTCACATTCTCTCTCTGTCTGTCTCTGTCTTTCTCTGTCTCTGTCTTTCTCTGTCTCTGTCTTTCTCTGTCTTCGACTCTTTCTCTAAAATGTATCAAAGATATACGAAAAAAAATGAGAACAGAAAAAAGGATTCGAAGCGCCCATAAATTGAGCTCACTTGATTCTTTAAAAAAAACATTTTGTTCGTCAAGATTTTTTTTATGTTAAGCAATTACTTCCCTTGAAAAGCCGTACTCATTTGATAAAAAACCTGCTGGTCTGGGTACAATACAAAAATACTTGTTGGAATTTTACAAATTCAATTTGAAAAACTAAAATCAGCGCACGAAATCGAACAAAAAGTCTCTTTTTTTCCTTCCTCCGAATGAAATTCGTGTCGGTCTGCCGGTGTGCCGAGTCCATGGAATGAAGATAACAAAAAACAAACAAACAGAAGTATAGCCTAACAAATGAATAAACTCACAAAGTCATCGGTGAATAATCATCATTTGGCCAACGAGACAGAAAGTTCACAAAAAAGAAAGACAAAAAATACAGCGAAAAAAATCAGAGAATTTAAACCCCTCCAATATATGCGAATATGTGTATGGTAGAACGAACGCGCGCTCAACGCCAACTAATGTACAAAAAAAAACTGCTGCATAACAATCGCATGGAGCAGAAGCGAAAGGAATAGCACACTTCTTTGCGCGTGCGCGTTGTAGTGCAGGTTTATTTCGCGCGCTCGTTGATTTGTTCCGTTCTCTCACTCTCTTTTTTCGGTTCGGACGATGCGCCGTTCTTGTTGTTGTTTCTCTCTCTCTCTCTCTCGCTCGCTCTTCGTTCATATTTGCCGATCCAAAGGGATTTGCTGGACTGGCCCAATTCGGTTGCTAGGCAAGAACCGAAAAAAAGCAATCCACATTTCATTAGACCAAATGGAATTTGTCACAGAAGACGCGGCAAGACAGACAGACATATCGAGAAAGATAGAAAGACCGATCAATCCTTCTGGGTCGATTGATTGGTTGGTTTGTTGCCGGACGCGAGTTATCAATCAACCAAATGCAACACACAAATTCCAATACATTTTCAACTGCAAAGAACGTTTTCGATACTATACTACGCTGCTCACTGTGGTTTTCTCTGTTGATCGAGAGTTCGCGCGTCGTATGAGCGAGAGACAGTGAAAGAGAAAGAGAAAAAGAGCGAGCGAGAAAGCCAGAGATAGAGAGAGAGTGATAGAGAGAAGGAGAGAAAGAACTCGAAAGGCGCACGATAGACACACACACACACACACACACAGAGAGAGGGAGAGAGAGAGAGAGAGAGAGAGAGAGAGAGAGAGAGAGAGCGTGCGTGCAAATTTTCCTGCGATGAGTTTGAGTTTTATATCTATATAGTTTCACATAGCCGTGCCGTTCCGTCCGCGCGCGCGTTGCCTGCTGCCACTACAATCATACAAACAAGAGTACATTTTGTATGAAATAAATTGTGTGCATTGTGCACATTCTAAAGGTTTGCTCATATTATATTTTTTTTGTGTTCGTTGCTTTTCTTTTTTGTATCTTTATATTATTTTTTTTTTTTTATTTATATTTCATTTTAAGTGTATGTATATATGGTTGTGTGGTGTGTGTGTTTGTACTATGGTCGTGCATACATTCGTTAATATGGTGCTGCTGCAGCACACAAAATATAAAAATATAGATATCTACATAAATGAAACGAACGAATGAACGAACGAAAAAAAACCAACCACACTTCGCCAACACCAAACGGCTACAACGGCAAACACTTTTGCGTAAACTTCAAATCCATTTTTACATCTGAATAAAATTCAGTATATGTTTGATGATCGAACAAACAAGAGGCAGACACGGTGTGGACGCCTTCCTATGCACACAATTCTTATATAGTTTTTTTTCGTTGCAATATTTTTTTTTCATCTCTCGCTACTATTCTTCTCCGTGCACCGAAACGTGTGTGTTTCTGTTTTGGTTGTTAGTTCGTTTTTTTTTTCGTTTTGTCGTTCATTTGTCGAATGTTTTGGTGACGGAACAGTTGCAATTTGATCGTTTAGACGATTTTTTTTCACATTTTTTCATTGCTGTTGCATTTGCAAGTGAAACATTCCAATTAGCAATTAAAAAGAATTTGTTTATCTAATTGCTTGGTTTTTTTTTTCTCTTCCGTTTGTTTGCATTCAAAATTGAAATCAGTGCGCATTGAAAATAAATTGAATTTTTTTATTCATTTAACCGACTTTGTTGTCTCTATTGGAACAAATTTGCCGGAATTGCAGTAATTGAAAGTGATGAAGTGTGAAATCAGTGAGTTTCATTTAAATATTGGTCGAAAAAAGTAGGTAACGTGCACGGCTTTTATGTGATCGTCAATCGACAAACAAAAACGTTGCAAAAATGAACAGAAAAAAAAAATTGAATTGATGCACATGCATTTGAAAGGCAAATCGATTTTCGGCGCATTTCATCTCTCCTGTTCACATTAATCGCATCAATAATTAAACGAATCGTTCAAGCTCCAAGTATTTTTGGCGGCAGCTGTTGTGTCGTCCCCATGAGTCAATACGCAGAAAATGAGTTTTTCTAGGGAAAATCCACTCAGAGAAGAAAAAAAAAAACATTTAAAGCGCATAGTCAACAAATCCTTTTCACTTTGATTTTCAACCGAATTTACACATAATTTGTTTTTTTTGTTTCGTATTTCCTACGTTTCAATTTTCCACGTATGCTATGCAATGACCGCATTTAGTAAAGAAAAAAAAACACCGCGTGCAATCGAATTGCAACAACATTTTCCACCAAATCGGTTTTCAACGTCAGCTTTTTTAAATGAACGGAAAAATGACGGCTGTTTTGGTACGATGGATGCAAATATTTTGACACGTTCTTATTTCCAGTTTGAAAGAGAGAAAGAGAGAGAAAGAGAGAGAAAGGGTGAGTGAGTGATTTCTGAGAGAATGAAAAAAAAGAAAAGAATCAATCGATTGACTAATGTGTATATCAACGTGATTCCTGTATACATTTCAAGGAATTGAGTAAAACATCCGTTGCAAATATGAAAACATACACGAGACACGTGCGTAGAGTGCGCTCCTGTTAATAACGAAACAGAATTCAATGCAGCAATTATAATGGGAATTATGCGATTCATTGATTGGAATTGTGCACGATTTTTGTGATCGGAATTGGTCATTCGCATCGATAATTGCCTCTCAACTCGGAAAATCAATTGAAGTCTCAAACGACGATTTCGTTTATTTTTTCAATTGAAATTATGTTAGTTTGAGCATTCCTTCAACTTTTGAACTTTTTTTTCAACTGTGAAACTTCTTTTTGAAAACCAAAAAAAAAAAAAACAAAAAAACAAAAATACACGAAAAAGTCACAGGAATATCAAGTAAGTTGTACATCTCATTAAAATCATCATCGACAACGTGAAGTAAACATACGTACAGTTGAACAATAACGAATTGGAAAACATGATTTTCTGTGCGGATTTAATTAAATGGAATGTGAGATCGAAAATATGTAGACTTTTGATAAAACAAATGTTTTGCAACATGAATTCAATGCAAATATTATAAACAAACACTGAACGGGCAGCGACGATCACAACAGTGACAACGACGAGGACGACGGAAAAAAAGATTACATATTTAAATATCTATGACAAAGAGCGAGAATAACAAAAATATAAAACGCGACAAATTAAAAGAAATACGAAAAACAAATCGAAGAGAGAGAGAGAGAAAGAGAACTTGTTTTTAAATTGGACAAGTGCGGAAAGTGTTATACCTTGCCGATCAATGTGTTGCAATCAAATAAACATCAAGATTAATCGAAAAATGATCCACCAGATTCGTATCAAGTAGGAGAAGAAAGAGAAAAAAAACACCGAGATTTTTTGTTGTTGTTGTTGTTGTTCATAATATTCAAACTCAATTAAGTACGGAATACGATGCATTGGTTATTTTCTGTAAAATGACAAACACACGACACGGCAAAATACAAACAACAACAACAGCAACAGCAGCACAAATAACAACCACACCATATCCACGTTTCATTACAATAATAACAACACGGATTATACATGCGATCGCAAGCAACGATGGCGGCACCACCAGCCCCAATGATAAACATGACAATTATGATGAACATGATGGAGGTGTCTTGAAATCCAAATGCAAAACACCATTTAGTCGACATTTTACGCGCATCCTCATTGTAATTCTCATTTCATTCACATTCGCTGATATGGTTCATGGTAAGTGCATCCCCAGTCCCGTCTCCTAAAATTCATTCATCCTAATTTATTGGTTAACACACAAATCACCAGAGATAGGAAGAGAAGGAACGAATGACCATTCGAGCGAACTAGCACGCGCGTACATATACACAGTTATTTTTTAGAGACACTATCAAATTGTAGCGAGATAATGCGTGTGCTATGAAGCAAATGCAATGAAGCAAAACTGTCCACTGTTTCCGTTTTACCACTCTTTCTCTGTGTCCTCTCTCTCTCTGAGCCCCATCATTGCCATCGTCTTTGTTGACGTTTTTTTTTTTTCAATGAACGGAAACACTTGTCCATTCTCATCCCATTTTTAACGGTTCAACGATACGAATTTACGACGCATTTCAATGCTCAACATCCTCACCTGGTCACATAAAAAAAAATAGAAATTAACATCAGGAAACGAGCCGATTTACACATCGCAAAAAATAAAATAAAATGAAAACAATAAAGAGAGCAAAAGAAATAATGACCAAAAGCCGTTCGGCTTCAGGACGTAAACTGTTTGATTTTCTGTTATTTCGTGTACAGAGCGTTAAATACACGTACAACTTGTTAATTTCATTTGCTACCATTAAAACAAATTAAAATACAGTTTTCAGGGTGATTGAATTCTAATTCGCATTTTCATTTGATTGAATAAATACGGCACACATTCTCCATGCTCGGATTCTACGAATGCAAACTCTTTTTCTTTCCCTCTCGCACACACCGCGCCGCAACCCATTTGGCTTTGTGCATTGAGGTGTTGCAAATGAGATAAAACCATTTCTCTATCGGAAATTTATGGTATTTATGCGATGCATCCGCTTTTCAATTAAAATCCTTTCGAATAGCAGCAACAGCCCTCCCGAAACACATAATCATCATCATCATCATCATCACATCGTGATCGACATCATCAGCATCACAAATACCATGCATATGATGATTTATAGATATCAGATGTTTTATTGATAAATGTGAATGAAGGCGTTCGAGTAAATGAACGCGATCTTGCGCGCGCGCGCGCTCACGCTCAATTCTCTGTGTGTCGTGTGAATGCCGATGCGATGATGATGATGATGATACGAATTGTGGTCAATATTAGTGCTTTGAATGTTTCACACACACCCAAAGGCACGTTGTGTGCTCAATACAGGCGCGCGTGCAATTAATGCCACTGCTGCACACTGTTTAAATCACTAAATAGTCATTGTTGGTATGGCTTTTGATGGGAATTATTGTAAATTTGATTCGTAGAAACAATATAAGTGCGATTATTCTATTTTTAGTTTAGATGTTTCATTAAATTGTATCGATCTGATTTGCTGCTGTGGCTGCGACTGCAATTGCTGTTGTTCGCGATGCGCGCAACAATGTTGCATTTAATATAATTGTCATAACCACAATTTGCAGTTTTGTATACGTTGGGCCTCGAAGCGAACGAACCGTATTATTGCCTTTAGATTATGAAATGTGTCACAGCATGTTAAGCACGTAGTGTACATTAAGCTACTCTCTTTGATATATGGCGAAATTGATATGAAAAAAGAGAAAATTTATATGCGTAGAGATAGCATGGGCTCGTAACAGAGATATCACACAGAGCGATGGGATTAAATTGAAACATATGAAGAAATAAAACATCAAACTAATTGAGTCACAACACTGAAGAACTGTATGATCTCGCTTTCTAATGTGCAAAATGCACCGTTTCATAGTGAATATTTAGTGTGTGACATCTCTAAATCAGAATATGCACGCGTCGGTCGGTTGGTCGGTCAGTTATTTCGTTGTTTCTCATACGTATGTAGAACTCATGTGTGTGTGTGTGTGTGTGTGTGTGTGAACGTGAATCCCAATTAGATTGGTTGATTTGTGGTATGTGTGTGGTTTTGCATATATGTTTTTTTTCTGTCTATAGCTGGTACTTGTTGGGCAAAACGTACCCAAGGTGGAAAATGCAAGCATCCAATGGAACGCAATGTGTCTAGAGAGAAATGCTGTGGGGGCGGCGACGATGTCGGTTTCACGGAAAAGGAAATGACCGAATTTGAATATTTCTTTGCAACCGCATTGGGCGATGGCACTGCTTGCGGTTCATGCATCGGTAAGTGTAACAAAAAGTATTATAGCATCGTAGCATCGCTTTGCAAAATTTCTCTCTCTCTCTCTCTCTCTCTCTCTCTCTCTCTCTCTCTCTCTCTCTCTCTAAGCTTAATTACATACCGACCGACCAAATTGGTCGGCACTTATTCAGTGGCCAACCAAATAAAATTGGTTTTATGCAATTTCGAGATTTTGCCATTGATCCCACCACAACCGACACCGATCCTCACATATCATCCTCACCACAGATATGTTTCCAATATATTTTCAGATTCGTGTAAAACAGCCAAATGTGGCGCTCATAAGAAATGCGTAATGCGGTCCGGTCAACCGAAATGTGTATGCGCTCCAAAATGTAAAACCAAAAATCAACGACCAAAACGCAACGGTGGTGGCAATCATCATGCACATTCACAATTCAATAGTAACTATCAAGGACTGAACCACCACCACCACCATCATCACCAAAGTAGCATCGATGACAACGACGATACATCACATGACGATGTTCAGATTATTAACAATGATCTGAATAACACAAATCGATCGCACACAAAAAGTGATAAAATTATATCGATCATCGCACCGATTCATCATCCTTCGAATTTAAGTAGTAGTCATAGATCTAAGAAAATTCACAACACCGAACAAATGCACAACGACAAAGGTGGTGGCACTGTCAGCAATAACAGCAGCCGACAAAATATGGTTAAATCGTCAAAGCATTTAGTTGCGAGTTCAAATAGCAATTCAACAGCAAGACAACACCATCAAAGTGGCATAAGCCATCGTCATAAAATGCGAACACATAAAAATGAGTACAGCAACAGCAGTTTAATCGACAATAATATCGTGAATGTGAATCATCGTCGGCAAACATCCGTGGAACAACAGTTTAAATCGAACTTCTATGGACATGACATACCCTACCCTCCAATTGATCTGCCTGTAAGTTGATTTACAATCCGAATTTCCGATTAAAAGCAGAAAAAAAGCACACCAAATAGATGGGGCATTAGAAATGCTAGATGTTACCTATAAATTTTACGGTTTCTCTACTCCTTTTCCTCCATTCATGTTGATTTTATTTTATCTCTTCTCTTTACTCGTCTTGTGTTTTTTCTCTCTTCTCTCATCTGTTTTGAAACAGCTGTACGATAACAATCAATTTCATCGGGCAGCAACAGCAGTTTGTGGAACCGACGGGCGGACATACAAAACTGAATGCCAATTGAGAAGACGCGCTTGCCGACAAGAGTCGACAACTCTATCGCTTGCCTATAAAGGACAGTGCCAAAGTAAGTTGAGGCGATTATTGTTTTTTTTTACTTCTTCTTCTTCTTCTTCTTCCTTCTGTTCATACGCTGTTGATTCCATTTTATATGTCGAATACAATTTACATTTTATGTTTGGCTCCGTATTCGAAATCAGAAGGCCTGTGCTGGAAATATCATCCGGCAAATTAGATTGATCTTTGAGATTCAGTGGAACATGTTTTGTGGCAATTTTTCAATATAATCTAGTCATTTTTCACCGGGCTGTTTCATCCCGTTGACATCTCATCTCGTCTTTTCTTTATTTCTTTCTTTGTATCGCATCATTCTCTCTATCTATCTCGAACTCGCTCTATCCCTCTCTCTATGTTTGTGATGTTTGGCGGCGGAACGGCCATGGAAATGTTAAAAAATTGTGCGCGATTGTATTCGATACAGAGCGTGTGTGTGTGTGTGTGTGTGTTACATTGTGTGCTTCAGAGTGGAACTATTTCAAAACATCGGTGCATTTTTGTAGTTTTTCGTTGTTTTTCTGCCCGAACTGTCTTCTATTTTTCATTCTAATTTATTGTCTATTATTTGCAAATGCAAAATAGACAAAGAGTGCACGGACTTGAAACCAAATAGATGGCATAGAATTGAAGGTAATGAAACGCAACAGCAGTAGCAGCGGCAGCAGCAGCAATAACCAGATAGAACAAATATGCCTGGCGATACACAATGGATGTGTGCAGGCATAAATAATTGTAAACATGAATGATTGCGATATTTATTAACGTCTGCTATTCCACCGAAACAGTTTAAACAACAATAACAACAGCAGCAGCAGCGACAGTAGCAATAACAACGACATTAACAAGCAACCCATCCGTCTGGATTGGTCGAACTTTTCCGCAGAAACGTGCGACCCAATCGAAATGAATTCAGTCGAAGAAGCGACAACAACAGCAAAAGACCAGGAGAATAAATTGTATGCATAACATATGTAAACACAAGAAAAAAATTACAGCAATACACCGAAGTACACACTTGAAATGAAAAGAATTCTTACCTATTGGCTGTTCAACATGGTTTTTGCGCGCGTAATTGACACACTATCGTAATGCGCATGCACATGTACGACCGAAAAAAAAACAGGAGATAGCTACAATATCATTTCATTCTACCGATTTGACGTTTCGAAGACTTCAATTGCTGAATTGAAATGGAACTAGATAGATAGGAAGAAAAATCAATTACATCATTGTTTATATCGGCAACTCTTTTGATTTATGTTGATGTTTCTGTTGTTGTTCTTTCGTGGTTGACGACGGTGATAATTCGAATTGTGCACAAAATGCAAATGATAATTGCACATACATATTTTTATCAAACGATCATCGTTGACAATAACAACCGTGTGCGAAAAGGGAAGAAGGAGAAAAAAGTATGTACGCAAAAAACATTGCAATGATCTGTTCAATTAATGTCACAGTCAAAACAAAATTCCAGAACGCAATGTAAGCAATGCGTGCACAGCATTCGACAGATAATCACTTTTGGCTATCAAAACATCCGGCTAGGATGGCACATTCATTTCGAATGAAACAATAAAGTGCTTTTGCTGATTTAATCCAAATCGATTCGAAACCAAACCAAACCAAATCGAATGGCAAATTCACCCAAAAAAAACGACGTTTGCGCTCTCTTTTTTCGAAGGGGGCGGAGGGGGAGAGACAAAAATCAAACAATGGAAAATGCTGCAGCATAGAAAGATATTGTCGTCGATCGAACAAGCACATTTTGTACAGTGTCTTGAGAAGAGCACGGCAAATCGTGACTGGATTTTCACATCGAATTTTCGTATCAATCTTTAATGACCGGCTTGAGACGTTCGCTCATATCAATTTCCTATTAAAACCGTTTCTTCGTTCATTCGTTGAACGGCCGGCCGCATGCTAATCTCAATCTCAAAATGTAACATGAATTGAATGAAAATACTTGCGCTGGGCTGCTTCAATGTGATCGATTTTGTTTTTAAGGTTTTTCTGAGTACACGTCCGATGGCCAAAGCGTCGCGCGATTGTTGGTTGGCATTTTTCTCTCCAGTGCTCGCGTTCACAGAACAGAAAAACAGCGAGAAAAAAAATGCTCACCGCGTCAATCAGTTAACTGTGCATGGGCGAAGTGTGCAATTACGATATGGGCATGCAAGGAAAGCAAACGTTTTTTTTTTGCGTGTTCGGCCAGACACAATTTTCGCGTTAGAAGTGCGCGATGGCAAAATTACGCGAGAGATATTATCGCGATTATATGGGCAACGATAGAATAGTATCTTTATTAAATCAAAATAAGAAGTAATTGTGGGGATAACCGTGCGCGCGCGCGCGCTTGTATTTATATTCGAATCGAACAACAATACAAATGGTTTGATAGGGAGAGCAACTCGTACATAAAATTGGCTTGAAAATACGGTACCAAACCAACTGCATTTTATTTCCAATGTGCTCGCTCTCTATCTCTCAGTCCATTTCACTCATAGATAAGTTGATTGCTAGTTTGCGTTCATTTTTCATCATACTTTGTAGTTTCTTTCTTCGTATTTCTGCTCTTTTTTTTGCCTCTCGTTTCATTTCTTCTATGCGTCTTTTGTTTATGTTTTTTCCACTCTTTTTGCCTTTTTTTCATTCGTTGGTCGTTCAATTGGTGTAATTATTACTATTTTGCAGCTTCCTGTAAGCATGTACAGTGTCCGGTTGGGCAACATTGTTTGGAGGATCAAAACTTGATGCCACACTGTGTGACATGCTCAATAACCTGTCCACCATATGATCCTGCTGTTAAATCGGTTATATCAAATCCAGCTCGCTTAGTTTGCGGTGTCGACGGCCAAACTTACCGTAATCTGTGCGAAATCAAACGAACGGCATGCCAACTGGGACGCTCCATTCCGGTTGCATATCGTGGAGCTTGCAAAGGTACGTTGGTCTTCTTTTTTGTTGTTGTTGATGATGGTGTTGGTGTTGTTATTGTGTTTCATTCTTATTCTTTACTATCTGGCAACAAGTTTGTTGCACATCATATTTTTGATCGTTTTTGTAAACTGTGTACGGAATGGACATTAATCAAATGAGAGAGTTCTGCAGAGAAAAAACAATATAGACGTTGTTTTTGTCGTATTCCTGGCATCGGTTTGACACTTTTCACAATAATATATTTTCGGAGAGTGAAGCAAAGCAGACATAAAATGACACAAACAAATTATGACATTTTTTTGATTCATGTGATTTTATCACATTGTTGGGCATAAGATGCTAATTTTGACTAACAGATGATGTGTTGTGCCCTTTCTCAATAGCACATCAATCTTATCGCTTGTTCACATGTGAAATTTACTTCTCCATTGCATACGGGATACTTTTTCGAAATCAATTTCTCAATAGTTGAATCCTTCAGTTCGCCATCAAATTCTCAATGGTAATCCGGTGCAATATCACGCCGTGCAATAGTTCAATCGATCGATCGAAGGAGGAAAAAAATCTTCAAATGCAAAGGACTGTTTCACCTGCATATTCAGTGCATTGGCTGTAATAAAAAGAGCAACAACGGCAGCATTGAGAGAGTGCAACGAGTGAAATGTAACAGACGAAATGTAAATGAACTTTCTTGTTCAAGGTTGCCGAAGGTCATTTTTGAAGCGCTTGAATAGAAGTGCACCGCACACCAAACTCAAGTATTTGGCTTATTTACTCGGCTTATTTATACATTTGCTGAGTGAATTACGCTGTGGTCTCTTTTTTTGCATTGTCCCTCTTGCTCTCTCTCTCTCTCTCTCTCTCTCTCTGCACTAATGCAGACGTATATTCAAGGTATACACATATTCCGAGTGTGTGTCGCATAAGAAAAAAATATACGCGACACGCAAACTTTTATCATTCTAGCAAGTGAGCGCGCGCACCCGCTCCCAAAAGAGAAAAGGAGAAAGAGAGAGAGAGAGAGAGAGAGAGAGAGAGAGAAAGAGGACAGTAATAAAAAAAAGCGCAACACAAAATTGGAAAACGTGAACTTCGTGATATTGCATGCAATGACATAAATGTCCACATGCATTTGAATTAATTCTCTTCATTATGTTTTGCACTATTTCAACGAGTGAAGGATGGAAAGAGAGAGAGAGAGAGAGAGAGAGGCAGAATAAAAACAAAGTCCATGCACTTTTGTGCGCGAACCATGGCAAATTGTATATGGCCAGAGCCTCACGGTGGAAGAGAAAGGCCGTGACAGAGAGAGAGAAAAGAGGAAGAAGAACGCCAGAAGAAATAGAGGAAGATGTCCACTGGCTTGGCTGCCGTCAGCATCGCGACATCGAAATCCGTACTCACATTCATGCTCATTTAATCGTTCTTCAGAACTAATCAAATAAAAGTCTAACAGACACCTTCTTTAATACCCCACTGATGAGCCGACAATCGCTCTTCACAGGACCAACAACAACATTTCAGCAACAACCGAAACCAAGAAATTCAATTGACGGTGCTGATAATAACAATAACCATTTTATTTTATTTTTTTTCTTCTTTGCACAACGAACTGTTGCATACTCTCGCACAAAATGAGAGACGCAAGGAAAAAACGCAGAAGAAGAGAGAAAAAAAGAGGCAACAACAACTAAAGGCGAAACGATTATGGCACGAATTTGCAGCGCAAACAAATGGAATTCATGACTGCATCCTCTCTCTCTCTCTCACTCACTCACTCATTCACTCATTCACTTCATTCTCAGTCACAAGAATTATGCTTGCAATTTAATCAAATAGTCGCACACCAACCATGATGACACCGAATTAAAACGTATTTCGTCAATCGCATTTTTGTGAATTGTATACGCAAACGTTTTAATGAAAATTTATGTGTCTGTAAACATTGATATTATACGTATGTTTCTCTCTGTGTCCCGCGAGTGCACGTTTTTTTCTATCTCTCACTCACTCACTCTCTTTCTCTCTCTCTGTGTGTGCTTCTTTTTTCGAAACATCACTCGGTGTTTGCATGCAAAGTGAGGCGAAGCAATGTGCGAATGTGTGTTTAAATTATTGTAAACTATCCAAAAAGAGCACAAAAAAATGTGTGTAGATATATATTTATGTATATAAAATGAAGACGACTCAAACGTGCTGCGACAATTGTTAGTCGAACAGAGAAGAGCAAGCAAAGTAAAAAAAAAACAGTCGAGTCATAAACCGAATGTATATAGCACCTCGAAAAATGTTCGAATTCTGTGATAACGACATGTCTCGCTGCACTCAATGCTCTCGCGCGCTCTCGCCACACGTCTGGAAACACATTAGTGAATGTGTAAATTCAATTCGGCCCGTTTTGAATAAATAAATGACTTTTGCATTGCATTCACTGCTCATGCAGTGGAAGAGACGATAATTTCGTCGAGAGACGCGAAACAGCAAGCAACACACCAAAAACATAAATACACACACACACACACACATGCGCACATACACCCATTATTATGCGTGTGTACCAAGGGCACAAAAACGAAGAAAATAAATTGAAGGTATCATAAAATTGGCAAAATATACAAATTATGATTTGGATACAGCATAAATTGTATGGAAAACTGTCTGCGATATGTGCAATCGTGCAATCGTTCGTTTGATAAAATATGCATCCGCCGTTGACTTGTTTTGTTTTTGGATTAATTTTATTTTTGACCTGAACATAATTTATAAAAAGGAGACTTATTCTCCCATTCCTTCTCCCTGGTACTCTCATGTCGTATTAATTTGGCTCTCATCATGGTTTTGGTGATTTCGTTGCTGATCGTCCGAATGGAATTCCTAGAATTTTCATATCGACTCAATAAAACTCGTAGCTGCGTCGATAGAATTTTAACCGCGAAACCGAAATTGCCCAGGCGAAAGAGAAAGAGAGACAGAAATAACGAAAAAAAGAGTGACGTACAGTAGACTTTCAGTGAACCGTATCGTTTTATTTCACACTCCATTCATATTTTCAGATTGAGTAAACAAAGTTTTTTTTCTCATGAAATTGAACAAGGAGAATAAGCCGAATCGTCCTCTGGGTTGATTACATATGTCACTTTGTTTAGACGTGAAACCTCATTAAATTCACATAAAATATTTCGTCGGTTCTGTTTAGAAGTGAAATCAGCGGATCATCCAATCATTTGAATTCCGTTGAACCGAGTTATAGATGTGAATCATTGGAAATCGATACACACACACACACACAAGAAAGCCACTTCAATTTAAATTCGCGAAATATTCACACTCATCAGAATTCAACTGATCAAAAGTTTACTGTATGCATAAATATATTGGCGGTTCGCAAGAAGCCGTTTCGTAAGGTGCGCCCCAATCCAATCACACAAACAAAATGCAATTTGCAAAAATGCGGAAATTTTTTCGGACGATTCATTTTCGGCTCTTCGGATTCTCATTCTCTCTACTTCGGTGTGTTGGTTGTTTTTTTTCGCTTTTTTTAATTTTTTTATTTTGACTGTCTGCTCGCTCGTCTCGCGCGATGACGTTATGTCCCTTTGTTTGTTTGTTTTTTTTACCTCACCTAATGGATATTTCATCGTTCTCCTTCGACTTTTTTTAATCGTTCATTTGACGCGAAGGCGCGCGCGCGTTCACACACACGGGCGGCTGCATCCTCAGACAATGACTAAAAACTTATATCTTTGATGCGGTTTCACATGAAACGAAACTCATTTCACGAGAGAATCTACAATGAAATTTATGCTCATATAAATTAATTGAAGTGCAGACCGAGAGTAAATGAGCAGCAGAGAGACTGTGCAAGAAAGTAGACCGAAGTTCTCCATAAAGCAAACCATTTACAGTCACAAAGTTGCAAATGGATGAGAGAGAAAAAAGAGCAAAAAATCGTCATCAAAATCAGACAGTAAAACCACACTGAATGGCAATGTCGACTAAAAACGGGATTGCAATTTACTTTTCATCAACTTGAAACTTGGTTCATTTAATTGCAAACAATTTTGGGCCACACAATAAACTTTTCAAAATCCAACAGAGAGAGAGAGAGAGAGAGAGAGAGAGAGAGAGAGACTGGTTATCCAGATTAAAGTTACGTTGCATGAAAACTTTTAAATTTTTTTTTCATTGATGACACAAAATCTATCTAGCTTCTATCTTAATAAATTTGAAGGATTTTGTTTAAGGGAATTTTGCAGTTTGCACTAAAATACTTTTCGAAATAATTTTGCGTTCGAAACTTTGAATCGTATGCCTTTTTATGGCACACGAAACTTTGCTTCCATAAAACTTGAGCTACTTGAATTCACTCGTAATGAAACGGGTAATATTCGATGAATTTACACAAGTATTTCAACCAAATGACCAACATTTTTCGACACTTTGACTCTCTCACATTTGATTAATGGATACCATCAGCTTTTGGGCTAAATATAAATTGACAACATTGTATTTTGAATACAAATCTACCACTTTGATAGTGATTTATATTGGGAGGATTTACATCGATTTTTATTGTTCGTACTTTTCATCGTGTTCGAGCATTCAATGGCCTTAAGTCACACAGGATAAAAAGATGAATTCTATTGAAAGCATTTCGTTATCGTCGTCGTCGTCGTTTAGGATTTAATCGATAACCTCTTACCCTCTGTCGAAGATGTTTTGTTGTTGGCTAAACACTCTCTTAATTCACTACAATATTCACAACCTTCTAAACCTTTTGGCGTATTTATGCAAGAGTTTTTCGGTCAAATCATCTCCCCCATTGCGTCAAGGGTTACAATGTGATATACGAAACACAGCTCAGTGATTAATAAGGTCCAATACTCTCATTAAAACAGATACTCTCTCATTAGCCGAGGTATTTTTTGTCGAGAAGCCTGCCTTTCTCATTTCAAATTGGTACCCAGCTATCAAATGGCAGAACTGAGCAGAGAGAGAGAGAGAGAGAGAGAGAGAGAGTCAATCTCTTCGAATGAGGGAGTTGAGATAATGAGTGAATCGTCACTAATAAGCGATAAAAAACCCATAATCTTCTTTTATTATTATATGAATGTTTTTTTTTCTTTTCGTTTGTTTTGTAGAAAGCGCGAACTGTGATACCGTCAGATGCAAAGACAGACAAGTTTGCTTGAACGATTTGGTAACTCACAGACCGAGATGTGTTGCATGCAGTTTTAAGTGTCCACGACGAAAACGACCGCAGGTACGTGTGGAGAAACACGCACAAAATTTTATACTAGTGCTCATTTCTTTGAGAATCATAATAATTCCCGTGAGGCATATAACAAACACACAAAATGATGTAATTTATGATATTTTTTTTTTCTTCCCTTTTTTCTCTTCTTCTTCTTCTTTGCATTTGATGGAATCAAGCAGGGCCAACAATCAGCTTTTATAAAAATTTGCGGTATGAACAATAAATCGTATCATTCATGGTGTCACATGATGAGAGATTCATGTAATACGGGCTATTACATTGATGTCAAACATAATGGAGTCTGCCAAAACTCAACAAACACTTAACGTTCATATTTAAGAGTTTTTTTTTTAAATTTATTTTTATTAATATTATTATTATTTTTTTATTAATTTAATAAAATGTTTTTAACAAAAATCTGTCTATTAGAAAATAAAAAAAAAATGTATCCACTGTATATGTCATGCGGGCGTTTTAATGAAGAAATTTTTTTATATACAGTCGAATGCGAAGGGAAAGTATAGATAAGGTGATGTTTTTTGCGAAACGCAGAAACGTAAAGTTACAGCAAATTGGTTATTTGATTACATTGCATCAAGACCGTCGTTTGCCATCCATTAAGCCCGTTAATTCAATGAATTCCGGATTTTTTAATATCAAAATATTACTTCATTCTGCTGAAAATGTTCCTTTTCGTGATAAATCGTGCTTTACGAGCGATGCCCTTTCATTCAAAGTTTATATATCTGCGTTTTTCTTCGCTTTGCTGCATTTTAATTTCTTTTGCTTTGCGCTTTACACTGCTTTCTGGTGCTTTATTTGCTTTTTGCTGCTTTTTTTCATTTACTTTACCCCACTTGATCAAGAAATGATGGCAAAACTTTCAAGAAGTTTTCAAAAATAGTCCAAAAAATGCTAAAATTAAAAAAAAAAAATAGTTCAATTCCAAAATTGTGAAAGTAAAACCAACGTTTGATCGAATTTTAAGCAAAATTTATTCTCAATTTTATGGATTTTATTTGAATTACAATCGAAAAATGATTCCTCATATAATAAAAGATATGGTGTTTCTTTGGTTCAATTTCTGTGAGTGTGTGTGTGTGTGATAGACTGGCATATGGCAATGGTAATCTCAAAAATCATTCTGAAACACAGTATTTGCAATGAAATGTGATAGTTTCATGTTTTTTTGTAATTGTGTTAAGATTTGTTTTTGGGTATTTACAATGATTGGTATTTTTTCTCATCTGTTTGTCTGTCGTTATTGTTGATTGTAATCGAATTGCTTCGTTTCAAACAGAAATCAAAAAAATAAAATTGCAAATAAGATTGAAAACGCACCATTTGAATTAGATAAAAGTAGAGACTATTATTAGGCGAATTTGTTAATTGATCTGAATTCCGACAAGATAAATGTGTGTTGTACATTTTGTGTGCATAAAATGGGTTATGTGTGATACACCAAATCATCTACCTTTTATTGTATGAGCCTTTTTATTCCTCGCCGAACAAATCCAATGAAATTTGTTCATTGATGTGTGAGTCATTCACCGCGCATCTGAATATATATCTTCTATTTCGCTAAAAAAAAAATTCTGCTGAAAATATCAACATCGCCTTCTCTTCCTCCAATAATTTTTTTTTTTTTGACATTTAATTTTGATTTTTCATTCATAAGAACTATTTGGAAATTATTTCCATTTTTTTTTTCTTCAAACATTTTTTTCTTCTGCTTCTTCTTCATCTAACTGCCTTACAATGAGATGTCCATCGTTTGTGTATTTTTATAACCTAAATCAAGCATGATCCGAGATTTGCAGTGTGTGTGTGTCAGGCCATCGATTGATCATGGAAGCTTAGAAAAATAATGATGATTCTTTGTTTTAAATTAATCGCATCTTTTGAGATCTTGTGTGACATAGTAAAAAAAATTAGAGCGAGCTACAAGAAATTAATGTCATTTGAAGACGTTTCATAGCAACCATTTGTTAATTTTTTTAAAAAATGAAATTCGAAATGAATTCGAAAAAAAAAATCGATTTGCTAGATTCGAATTTTGTTAAATTTTAGAACTAAAAAAAGAGAACTTATTGAAAAAAGAAATTATTAGCAAATTCCAAATCCATTTTCAATGATAAAATGTAATTTTTCATCGATACAAATATTGTTTTTGTTTTCTTCTAATTTTACATCTTTTCGATAAAAAAATATTCTGATGAATAGATTCAAAGGACGTATGCAAGATGAAATAAAAAATGACAAAATGCGGCTTGTTTTTTCTGTTAAATATTTTAGTATTTTTTTTTCCTGTTCATAGTTGTAATTAGTCATTTTCGATTGAAATATTCATAATTTCATGAGAAAAACGAAATCGAGTTGTCCATAAAAACGGGACTTGTCTTCAGGAAATGACATCATTTAAATAGCAAGTTGAAGTTGATCGAAAATATATTCGATTGAAAATATTTATTTTGAAAATATATTGAGCATTTCTAGTTCATCATTCATTGTGTATCATATTGGACGTTGAATTTTCGTCGTATCTCTATATCTGTTGCGCCGTCTCATTCTCGTTGAATCGTCCCGAATATATTTAAATAGTTACTAGTTTTTTTTTTTTAATTTTAAAATATCGTTAATCCAATTTGATATATTCATTTCTTACGTGCTAGCAATTAAAAACTACAGTAAATAGTCGGAGAGCATGCCGTCAATAGTGGCCGCTTCGAGCTAAGATTTGCGAATAATAAGTAGGCCATATATGGCAATACAGAAATCAACTCTAACTGAGGATATACGTACACATAGTTGGGATGAAGAGTGAAAATTTATGAACTATGGTTCGGTATGTTTTATCCCATATATTCAAGCCTAACGAAATATAGTTTTATATTACTTTCATTTATTTATTTGAAAATAAATCTGTGTCCATTTCTTTGTAAATAAATACGTAGGTCTCTATCTTCTGTTTTTTTTTTCTCTCTTCGGTAAATCTCGATTAATTTCAACATAGAGCCGCATATCAGCTCGAATATTGTCACATATTAAAATTAAAATTTGATTAACGTAATTATATACTCTTCTCTCTTTTTTTTCATATACTTTTTGTGTTTGTTCAAAATTTGTTCTTTGTTAAAATATACATATATTGTGTCTGTATATATATGTAGTTTAATTTTTTTCTATTAGTTTTCTTAGACCGATTGAAACTGCTTTTGTCGACTTGTGTGTCACCTTAATCAATAAAATTAATTATTTGTCATTTCTTCATCATTTGTATTGCTTCATCATTTGAATATAAAAAAAAGTATTTTTGTGGTACGTGTGATCCGATTTGATTTCGGCACTTTCAGGATTTACGAAACAATAAAGCGGACGAGTGATGTAATTAATTAGTAGTGTTTGTCTAAAAAGAAACCAATTCAATTCGGTGAATGTGTGTGTTGTGTGTGGTTGGGAGGTGGGGGAGGGGTTGTAAACAAATAAATCCGTTTCCTTTGGAGATGTGTCGAACATCATTGAGACAGCGTCAAACCGTCCAAAACTATTTTACATACACTTTACTCGACTTTATCTCGGTGCTGCTGTGTTGAATTGATTTAATTTCGACGCAAACGAAGGGTAACATAATATGATGTAACTTTTCATGGCCAACACACATGCCAACGAGAAGTTAACAAGCAAGCGATGCTCCAACACTTCTCATCAACAAAATCAAATCTTACTTTGTTTAGCTGAAATTCTGTTTTATAACCAATTCAATTTCGTGTGCATAAATTACACGTCGTCGTTTCACCACAAATGCAATTACATGGAATATTTCACACATGCTTTGCTCCAACTACTATCGAAACTACTCTATATCGATTAGCCGAACATTTCAAACAGATTGTCATCTCAAAAGTGGAAAACTAATCGCAACGCAGAATGAATATGGCAGCAAAACTGTTTGCATGCAAATTGAGTAATTTAACGAAATTAATTAACGTAAAATGTCTGCGGGTATGTGTGTGCCTGTGCATAGTCATAGTTCATTATTTTTTGTTCTTCTAATTTCGGCGGCATTTCGAATTGAAACCATATTTCACCGTTATTGCGTTTTCACCCCAAAAGTTTTGCGCTGAAACTATTTCGTAGATGGGTAATTTGCGTGGAGTTAATTAAATGTTACTTAATAACTCTTGGGATGGAAGGAAAACGAAGCATCTCTTCGTCGATGGCAGAGAATTTAACAAGAGCTCAAAACAATAATCAAATGGAAACGCAATGGAAAGAAACAAAGCACTGCTCAAAGCACAAAGACGACCTAATTAAGAACAAAAAAATTATGCTCATTATACCCGATAAATGAAGCCGCTTTACTGGTGAACTACAAAAATATACGATACAAAAATATATATGTGCTTTTATGGAGGCGCGCGCACGTGCGTCATTCATGGTCCAGTGAAATTAAAAATGCAAACAGACAAATAATAACAAAGCGCCAAGGTTGCTTGGAATAGTTTATATTTGGTTCAAGAATTTAAAAAAAACACGGATTTTCTGTTTCTTTTCGCTTATTTTTTTCTTTTTCTCTTTTTCTCTTTTTTGTTGGTTTGAAAATGTGGACGAAATAAATCTAAGTACAACTTGGAACTAAATTAATAAAAATAAAAATTAAATACGACAAATAAAAACGATGATGATTTTTGTTGTTGAATCATTTACAATACGAATTCTAGAATCGACTTGTTGCAGTCAAAATAGCATCTCTATATAATACATGTATCTATTGAACTGCTTGCTTGTATGCCTAAAATGAGGTCAGTAACTTTGTATTTTTTTTATTTGCAATTGTTTTTCTTTTCCTCTTTAAATTCCATGCATCACTGCATGCATTTCGATGTAAAATTTGTTTTCTTTTTATATATCGCTTTTTTCTCGTTCGCTCAACCGCCCGAAAGCAATGAACCGCTGTAACCGTTCAACGACCACATGTGTCGAAGCTTTTATTTGTGTTTTTATCTATCAATTTTTTTTTGATATGATAACAGCACCACTCAATGCAATCGCAATAAAAAAAGAAATCATTATCAAAACATTTGTTAGTGTGGGTGTGTGTTTTGCGAAGCTTTTTTTTTTGTTTGAAATGACTACGAATATCGAACCTAAATAAACGGTATAAATCGATTAAGGTATTACGTTATTTAGCAGATGAAAGCCATCGGAGTTTGGATCCAAAAAAAAAACTAGGGAACACTTTTTTCTTTTTCATTTTAATACATAAAATAATCTGGCCGTATTTCCAGTGGGCCAAACTGTTCGCATTTGTTTTTGTTTCTGCTTTTTTTTTCGGTGTGAATGTTGTATTTTTTGAGCGGTTTTTGATACGGGTTCTCAGGTATTCATAATTTGTTGTTGTTGTTGCATCTTAAATTTTAAATGAGCAACGTTTAAACGTGAACTTTTTCAATGGGATTCCTCTGTGTTTGTATTGCATTCTGTATGATATTATTTCGGTGTGTGTGTGTGTGTGTGTGTGTGTTTGTATTTCACTTTGCAGAATGGTAAAAATATACTCGTTCAATTCCATGCAGAGCGCGTTTGAAATAAAAAAAAACAAAATATTTTTTCAAAAAAATATCTATCGCTCAGCACATGGTTTCGTTCTTGATTGGTGGGTCTGAGCTGTTTTCATCCTCTGCACTTCGATTGATGTTTGATGATAATTTGGCGATTTCATCTTGAACAACATTTGTACTGATGGTTGGAATGTCTCGCTCATCTTTCGACTCATCGGTGCTCGTTGAACTGCTAACAACTGCTGACAGTGTTTTCGTTGGTGTTGCTGGTATTGTGCTAATCGTTGGAAGTTTTAAATTGATTTTAGCACCAACTATTGGTGTACTATCGACTTTGAACGATAACGATGAATGATCAATGCTGAATTGTTTCCTGAGAGAACGTCCACTACCAACACATCCACTGCTTGCGCCACCTTCACTCTGTTGACGCAACACTTTCGATGCTGGTGTCTCAATCGGCACACTAAACGATTTATTTAGCGATGCTGTATCCGAACCGGAACCATGATCAACATTTTCAATGACAGTGGTATAATGTGCGCTTGTTTCATTCGTATCGAGTGACAATTCCTGGGCACCATACGATTGATCCACATTGAATGAACCGGTTAACGATGTGTTTGTTTCGTTTGAACTTTGTTTTATCACACGATACGGTTGGAGTGAGTATTCAGTATCGCTACTTGAATTCTTTGGCAAACTCTCAATGGATTTTCTGAATCGTGGATGATTTGGATCGGATGTTGATGGTAGCAAATATGTTTGAGCAGCGGCCGATGTTCGACCATGGCTGGGATCACCTGATAAATTTCGCTTTAGAATCGGCGACGATCGATCTGTCCGTTCATTTACACTATTCACTCCTCCGCCACCATCTGCTTCGGTCGATGTTCCTGCCACACTAGTTGATTTGGATGGTGTTATTGGCAGTTCTACAGCTGTTTCGCGACGTAACATTCGCTTATGAGGAATATCACCCGATGAATTGTCCTTTTTTTTCAATGAGAAAAACAAAAGAAAAAGCAAAACAGTTTTTTTTTAATTAGCTGACAATCAAAATAGAATCAAAACTTGAAATAATTGCTTTTATTCGACACTCGGAATAAAATAATGGCATGTGATTGAGTTAACAAAAAAAAACTAAAGCATTTAATGAAAGGTAAATAATGACATACATCTCCGAATGCGTCGTCGCTATCGTTAATGGAGTCTCGATTTTGGAACAACTTTGATAGCATGAGATAATCATTTTCTTCGCATTCATGCAAATGCTTCTTTTCCAAAAGTGCGGCGAATTCGGCATTTGAACGTGATTTCTCATTTTCACGACTGATCGACAATGTTGGTGACGTGATCATTTGACACACATTTTCAAGCTCATCAGTAATGGATGTGTATTCTGAGTGAAATTGAAGCAACATTTGACGATTTGATTTGATTGGTATGACAGCTGACTTGACTGGACCACCTTTGTGTTTGTGTGTATGTTTGTGTGTGCGTTTGTTTGTTGTTGGTTCGATTGAATGACAAAGATTATGTGGTTAGTGAAATTCTTGACATAAGTAATGGCTTTTGGCATAGTAAATTGAATGACAATTGTTGAATGGCAATTTGCAAGGTGTGAAGAAAGGAAAAACCGCAGAAATAAAATCATGTACCTGTCAATTCGTTGCCACTATCTGGTTCGGATTGTGTGAGACTGAGTTGTCGTCGTGACATTGCTAGAGTTGCGTTTAGGCTGGTTTGCGAGCGATTTAGATCGTAATTTGAGCAGCATTCCGACGACAATCGTCGTCCCATTGAACGTCGTCGCATTGCTTTTTGGCGTGCCATTTCAAAATTCAATTCCATAATATTTTCGGTTGAACCATCTTCATCCTCGGCCTCAGCTTCAATGGCCGCTTCGTGCGGTTCAATCGGTGTCAGTGTATCTTTGCTCTCGGTGCTGGTCGTTCCTTGTCTCGTTTGTATATTTAAGTACGGTGGTTTTGTCGTCGTTTCAATGGGCACGCTACCCGTTACAGCCGTCGCACCGCCAGCACCACCGCCACCGCCACCGCCACCACCGAATATTTTATTAGCGATGAAAATATCGGAATCTTCGGACATCAACGAAATCTTGCGTGAATTCGGTTTCTGCTGTAGTTGTTGCTCATTCAATGTTTCATGCGATTGCAGCAATTCGTCCTCTTCATGTACGGTTCGAACTTCAAAATGTAAACCATCATCAAAAATATATGCATCCGGTCTGACTTCGGTCAGTGAACGATTGAACCGTTTCCGATTTTGATTGGACTGTGGAAATGCGATAGCACATTATAATCAACCGAAACGAAGTGTGAGGCAAAAATCAAAACCAAAATCTAAAATACTATATTATTGGGCCTAACGCACAATGCCCGACATTCTCCACACACTACTACTTACAGTATTCAAGTGGGTGGTATTTTCTGTTTCCGACACCGTTCTCAATCGCATTGGAATGTTGTCGTGAACATTAACGGCCGATCCCTGCATGCTGTCCTGCAATGTTGTGTGTGCCGACATAAAGCGATGAATAACAGCCAATGTCGATAAAATCTGATCGGTGGACTCTTCCATTTTCCTCAAGCGAAAATCCATGGTCTGTGAATGTCAAAATGGAAACGTTGTTGGTGTTGTGTAAATGGGAAAAAAAACCATGCCATCATCAATGTCCAATGACAAATAACAACAACAGAAAAACTAAGAATAAATGAATGCCACCACGGTCATAAATGTTGATCAAACGTACTTGAACTGTGGCCGATTGTAGATTCTCTTTTTGGTTGATATCTTCAACTTTTTGTGACATATTCTCAACGCGTTCGTTGGTGGATTTGATACGTTCATCGGTGGATTGTTGCATTGCGATTTCGGTTTCACGGAAATAGCCTTCGACACATTCTTCCTCAAAGTCATACAGTCGTTCCATGTCCTCCTTCTCCAAAAACAGCTTGAGGCCATTATCACGTGGAATATCCAACCCTATTTTTGCATATTTTATTGCCATCGGCCAAAATACCATTGTCGGTTGTTTTGCATATTGTCGGTTGTCGTTGTTGTCATCATTGTCCATTGTGTCATGTGTCATGTGTCGTATCGCATCCATTCGGATTTTATATAGTATGTGTATCGTTGTCGTTTATCGTTGTGTGCCCAGCCAGTAAACACCATTTTTTTTTTCCGACAAACGGTTTTTTTTTCGGTTGTCATCGTCGTTGTTGTTGTAGTTGACGTTGTTATCATCGTTGGGTAGTAGTTGTTATTATTATTGTTTTTGGAAGAGAAAAAGAAAACAAATATTGCGTGTAAAATACAAGTGTCAAATTTAAGGTCGAACTTTACAGACATTCTCTACCTCTTGCTTTCCGTATCAGGTAGCGCATCAACGAGTAAAAATGAGAAAAGGCAATGAACGGCGGAGGTAAGACGGGTTTCTGTTGATATTCCATAACGACTGTGAATCGTTGGAACATCCACACCTATGAGAAATGCATAGAATCGAACAAATTGCCATGGTTGAATTACTCGTTTCCATCATCATCATCATCATGCAATAAAACATTCTCTGCCATTTGACCAAGGTAAACACATAAAAAAAAACGGGACGGTGGCGTTGCCATTCCGTCAACAAAATGATGAAATTGTGTCAAATTGCAAAATCATAGGAGGCGATAAAATGGTAACAACTGAAAAGGAAATCAAGGTACACCGCATCTCACATGCTCTCATCTAGATAAGGCCGCTTGAAATAAGCAACAAAAGCTTGCAATCGATGAATTTTCTTTTTCGGTTCTGTATTTCGGGCAGAATCGAGATAAAAAAATTAAGTTGAAAAAAAAAGAAAGAAACAAACAAAATGTTGACACAAAGAAATGAAAGTTTTGAATCGTGGGCATTCCATTCCAAAAAAAACGGGCATGCTCAACAAACGACCGCATAAACCATAATCTGTCTATAGATAGCTAAACTGAAAAAAATACACTCAAAACAATTGATTAAAATGAAAATACGATCGCAAACAAAATGAGATGTGAAAAAAAACGGGGAGCTTTGTTTGCGAACGGTGAATGAGTGGCATATGTTGAATTTTACCTGGTGTGAAACCGCATTAACTTCGATAAATATGTTGTTGAATACCGCAATTAGCAAATTTATCAGCAAAATATTTGCAATCAATAAATACATGGACATTGTTATCGGTGTTACCCAATGACCTAAATGAATAAGAAATAAAAATTTAATTAATTTACTCTCTGTGCCACACTCGGTGAATGCATATCAGCCGCAGAATAGCTGGACTGGATGATTTATATAAATAAATTATTAAATCAAGAGCAAAAATGCAATTGAAATGATGGAAGCGAGAGCGAGAAAAAAGGGTTAATTAAGCGGTGGTGTCAAATGACAAATGATGATGGTAGTGGTTGAAAATAAATGATGATAATGGCATACCTGTGATACAAGGTGGATGGCCTTCAACGCCGCAGGGTGGGTCAATTTCGCCAGCAAACACTTCGCCATACAACATGAAATATGGTTGAAAATAAACCTGTTTCAGGGGAGGGATGTGACGGACAACGAGAAAAAAAAGTGGAACGGGTCAAGATCGTACACATGAGCAAATTATTTAATCATTTGATTGTTTTTGCGGATGAATTGAGGCGGTTTTCTGTACTCATATGGCACTTACGTCGCGAATAAGTCGCCAGCTGGCTTCTTCGTTTGGAAACAAGATAGATTGTCTGCTAACGCCAAAACTCAACAGAACCACAAGTAAAAGAACCACAAAATAAATCATGTTCTTAACCATTTTGCCCATCATAGTTACAAGCGGACCTGTTGGACATCCAATGATAGAAAAAATGGAGAAAAAGAGAAAGAGAGCATATTCAGTTCGATTCATTTTGAAAACGTCATCGTACACACATGGTGATGGTAATTAGTTCAGTGGTAAAAATCACCACCGGATATCTGCCATTGTGGCTTCCGTAACAGTGTGTGTATGTATGTATCTCACATTGCAAATAATTATTTATATTTAATTTGTTTTTTTTTGTCTGTGTTGCAAATGTGTGCACCACTTTGTACGTAGTTATCAGTGTAAATGTGTATTTTAATGGATTTTCTATGTTTGATACAAAAAAAAATGTGTAAAAAAGTGCATGTATTTGTGTTTGTATTTAAATAGGAATTTTAATTTCATCATACCTAAGTATTTATTAACGCCTAATATGTTCAATATGCGTAAGTACCAATATATGCTATCAACACAATAAATAACACGTCCCACATCCATGTATGCGGGTTGAAAACGTAACGATAAACCAATTAAAAAGAATATTATTGCCAATGCATCACAGGGATTCCACATATTCCATGCCCATACTTGAAACTTTTGCCTGAAAATAGCCAATGATTTTATTTGTAGATTATTTTATTTTTTCTTGTTGTTTTTCACCGATTGGTTTTTCTCAGTCAATGACAGATAGCTGAGGATATATGCTGAGCATAGGATCTCAGCAAGCTGAGATTGGGACGTTTGGATTTTGTGACTTGCTATTCGTGCAAATATATGTGGAATTTTGGTGGAGTATTGAAGGAGTGTAATGGAAAATGTGTTCCAAACAGACATTCACTGTGGCTGCATATATAGCTGAGCTATTTACAAATAGCTGGCTGTTTGGTAAGTTTTGATTTTGTGACTTCTTACCATGCAAATCCATGTGGTATCTACGAATTTGGGACAAAAAATGTATGTAAATGATTGAAAAGGTGTCCCACATTCTTGGATCCCACATGAATTTGCATGGCAAGATAGTCACAAAATCAAAACTTACTAAACAGCCAGCTATTTGTAAATAGCTCAGCTATATATGCAGCCACAGTGAATGTCTGGTTCCAAACTCCGCTCCATCATAAATTTGTTTAAATAGCCCGTCACAAAGTCAAAATATCCCAATCTCAGCTTGCTGAGTTTCTATGCTCAGCATATATCCTCAGCTATCTGTCATTGACTGGTTTCTCTCTCTCTCTATTGATTGATTTGTATTCATTTAAAAACATTTTATTAATAATGAATTTATGATGTTTTAATGTTTACTGCAAAGTATTTTCAATATATTTTATACATTTAAAATTAATATAAACGAGAAAATGCTCTTCAATTCAATATTTTATCCTCCTGCCCCAAAAAAACACGTTCAAATTTATGGCAGATGGAACTGACTGCGCGCTTCTGTTTAATAAATTTAAATGCTCTCAATTCAATTTATGCGAAGCATATAAATTCAGCTATATATTGACTTTCACTCTGAAAATTGAATCTTAATACGCTCGGGTTTTTTTTGCGAACCATTCGAGACTCTTGATGTTCTTGTCTAAAAGTTCAGTCGATAGAAAAAAACGAATAACCGTCAACAAAATATACGTATATTTAGTGTATATGGGTTCAATGCTCCAACGATATTATAAGATATTTATTCGATGGGTGAACGACTAAGCGGTTGGAAAGTGTGTACACGGGTTGTGTCGCATAAATAGACTCAACATTAACTTCGGATAAACAACCCATAATATCTTATTATTTTCTGTCGTTATGTACGCGCCAGCCCGCCCGTGCGCGCTGTTTTTCTTCTTTCCATCCTTGTCGAGAGCTTGAGTTCGAGAGAACGACCGCATTTGCACACTTTTAAGAGCTACTTTTTTTTTATGATGATACGATATGTGTTGGTACTTGATGAAATAATGATTCTATGCGTATATATGTATACAAAATAGAGAGAAAGCGATCGAATCAATAAATCGCATCGGTGATAATTTAATAAACCCATCGAGTTGAATTTTCGATTAGAATAATTGACTAAATGGCTTCACACTTACGTTATGGCAACCGGTTCTGATGAGATGACCTCGCGAACTTTTTCACAGCCAAGCGTGGTGATATATGCTATTGAGTAGGCCTCTTGCCATGTCGGCGCTGGTCCCATACGAACCAGCACCGTGTACGAAAATAGCATCAAAAACATCATATAGGCAATCTATTTGAATTGAAAAAAAAAGAAGCAGCACAGAACAGCCCCACAAACACAAACGCAATTAATTTTCCAGCCAAAGTGAAGAAAAAAAAACGAAAAGAAGTGCATGGTACGCGCGCGTCGTTCTTACCGAATCAGCCCAAAACTTTGTTATTGGTGCCGTATAAAACTCGTAAATTTTCTTCTTAAGACGTAATGGTTGATGATGTCGAATTTCGAAGTCGTGTGATAATTGTGCAAACTCTTTTTGACACGCATCTGCATCAGTCAGTGACACCTGAGGTGAGAAAAAAGCAAGGCAGAGAAAGAGAGAGAGGGAAAAAGAGACCAGAAACGGGAAAAAAAATACGTAAGAAAATGGAAGTAATAAAGCACAACACTCCAATACTTGGATATAAATAACTGTTGTTGATTGAAATATATTTGGTTATGTCTTTAAAATGAGATCAACATGATTTCGTTTGAACTAGATGAATCAATTACGTGTGAATATAAATATAAAGAGACAAGAAAAGGTCAATTAGTATTATGAATGAGCACTAAAGAGTAAATAATGGATACGGCTAAGCTCACACAAATTAAATCGCTATATCAGTGCTGTCCAACTTGTTTTCTGCTGTGGCCAAAATAGTGGTCCTGAGATCAAGCCGGTGGCCACTTTTTCAAACATTGAGAAAAACCCAAAAATGTCGATAAACATTTGATGTTTCTTTATTCAATCATTAATGAGATCGTCGACAACTTTTATTTTCGGTCAATTCAGTTAAATTGGGCTTGGATTCACAAAGTTCGCAACGAATTTCCGATTCTAATTTTTCCTGAGATAATGCACTGCGGAGTTTGTATTTGCGTTGTGTAAGGCTGGAAAATGTGCTCTCACAAACATATGTTGAGCCGAACATACATAGAAATCTTGGTAAAATATCTTTGAGCACCAAAAAGTTACAATTTAATAGCAACCGCTTCCACAATGCATCACTCATTTCATTTGGCAAATGAGTTTCTTCATTTATTAGCGAAATATCAAACTCCAAGTGAGTTTTCTTTGTATTGAAAAGATCGGACAGATTTTGAATATCATTTTGATTGAAAAGAAATGGATTTTTCAAAAACTTGAATGCCAAATGAAATTTTTTTAAATCCGAAAATCGTGAATGGAATGCTTTAATCAAAATATTGAGATACTGAAAAAAAATGTCTGTGTCGTAGCCGAGCTCGAATTCTTCACTGAATTGGTTTGAATTAAAGCGAATGACGAACTCGACAGCATTGTTACATAAACAAGTCTCGACAAGATTCATCGACCGAATCCAATCAAAACAAATATGCTTGCATACAAAATTATTGCTTATTACACACTTTTAATGAAAAATTGAAATGAAGCTACAAACGAAAAAATAGCACCGTTTTTATCAAATGTTTATGTTAAATAGAGCGTTATTGAGAATTTTGTAGTAGCGAATTTATTTCTATTGCTGCTCTTTGTTCGGTTCAGTTTATCAAATTGATGTTAAATCATTGAAAATTAAATATAATATATCATGGAAATCAAATCTTCTCGTGGCCACTTGAAATTGTCTCGGTGGCCAAATGTGGCCCAGTGGCCACCATGTTGGACAGCACTGCGCTATATGTTTGGTTGTTGTTGCTGTTGTTGCTTTTTATCATGAATAAATAGGATTTGGGCCTCATCAAATTATGAAAATGAATTTCAAATATGGATAAAATGAATTTTAATGATCAAAATCGACGAGTCAACAGATTTTACATCCACACAAACAAAGAGAGAGAGATAGAGAGAGAATTTGTGTGCTATGTGTTGGATCTTGGGGAATCAGTGAGTCGGTGGGAGTCAGTATGTGCCATTCAGCCGCTCCATCGTTCCCATTTGGAGCACTCGAGGGCCCCGTACGAATTTATAATTGATGACAATTTCGTGTTCACATTTTACGAACAATATATTTGACCAAAAGAGCAAAAAAAAAAACTTCTATATCGTATGTATGAGTCACATCTCTCGTATGACAGGTTTATGGGATGGAATTTTCTCTCTGGCACGCGCTCGAGCGTTCACATCAAAAAATGGGAAAATAATGCCATAAAAAAGGAATGACTATAACTAGACGGCATGCATCATCCGAACTGCTGTGCCCGTGAATAATAATCATATTTGTAAAATGCTCCCTGTTCGCGCAAGGCAGCGTGTTAAATTGTAACGTGTTGAATCAACGTCCTCGACGAAACATGCAAATTCAATAGAGTCTTATTTTTATTTTAATGCCATTTCGAAACAACATCCAACGAAATTATTCATATACATACATATTTTCGTTCATTTTTTTCTCTTCTTTCATTTGAATGACAATTCAATTGAGGAAAAACGTATGAAACGAAGAAATCATAGATTGAGAAAAAGAGTAGTAGTAGGAATGGCATATTTTCTGATCCCTCCGATGTATTACATCATTTACACTCGTTCATATGAAACAAATACACAAATTTATGTGACAACAGGAAGAGCAAACAAACGCAATGAAAAACGTGTGTCAATCATTATCACCTGACCACCTGCTGAATTCGTTTTTATTGCTGTTGTTGCTGTTGTTGTTGTTGTTGTTCGTGTTTTTGTTGTTGTTGTTGTTGTTGTTGGTGGTGATGTTGTTGTAGATGTTACTGGGGAAATTGGTATTGTGCCTTTATTCTGTGAATTTTATGTTCACGTGTTATATATCTTATTTTTTTTATTATTTTGCATTCGCAAACAAGAAAAACTCATCTTTCTGTCAAAAAATGTGGAAATTTGAGCGAAAATAATGATCTCTATGGACGATATGGTTTAAAATGTTTGCTACATATGATTGTAATACGATGATTACGATTGATTTATGCAATGAAAAAAAAAACATTTCAGAAAAAAAACGAAAGTGAAGCGAGAGGAAAAAAAAACTAGTGAGTACACGTTCATGGGGTTGCGGAAACATGATGATATTTGAAAAACCATCAAAAACAATCCCAAAATTTCCTCAGAGAATTTCTTGTGGCGGTTAAGAAAGAAGAAGAAAAAGGTAAAAAAAATACCGCGAAAAATATAGAAGAAGATCTTTTTGGTTAGAAGAAATTTGATTTTGGTACAGAAAATATTCTAAGAAATGCATGAACCAAAAAAGAAAAATACGGTAAAAGTGTCTAAAAAAACCCACTGAAAACCATTACACACAGAAGAAAAGAAACACAAAAATAGTACTGAAGCCAATCATATTGCAATGAAAAGGATGATTGAAAGCTTGTTTCTTACCAATGGTTAATTGGGTTAGCCAATAAACATACTCAAGTAAAAAAGAAAGAGCAGTTGAAAAGGAAAGCAAAAATAAGCGCCAACTCAAAATGTCATAAACAAATTTTGCAATCAAATAAATGGCATGCTGTATAGGGACGTTCGTTTATTTATTTTTTTGTTCATATAGATAGTAGGTATCATATGTGTATAAGGAAACGAGCCAATTTAAGCTTTTTAACTTGTAGCATCGAATTTACTGAAGCGGATCGGTATTTTTTTCTCTTTAAGATAGTGGAACCAACCTATAAACGAGGATACTTGGTGTTTTGGGAGTTGTGTGTGTGTGTGTGTGTATTTGTTTTCTACGGCTAATAATAAGGTTGGGATAGTTTGTCTTTGGTATGTGTGTATGTATGTTTGTGTATATTGCATTAGCACGTGTTATTTATCCTATCAAAGTGAATGTGTTGTTTGTTTTGTTTCGTTTTCTTTTCTTTCTACATTCTATGTGTCATCGCTGAGTGTTTGTTTGTGTGTATTTTTATGCCTGCATGGTAAATTTGATGGTAATATTCATTGTCAACCGTAAAACGATCAACACGAACTGAGAGAAAGAGAGAGAGAGAAAGAGGAAAAAGAGACAGATATTAGATAGAAGACGAACAAAAAATGAATAGTAGTAAAAACTCCTTGATCATACAATTGTCGAAATGACGGAATTATTGAAACAACGTGTTGAGAAAAAGAAAAATTGGCTATAGAGAAAGAATAACCAAAGAAAGATGGAACAGAAATGCACACGATGAAAATGAAACTGAAGCGAAATGATGAAATGAACACAGGCAGATGATGTTTTATCAAAAATGGTGAAAACAAATTACAATAAACTATAGAGAAAAAAATATGTATTGCATCTACATGGTAAATGCAATTGATTATTACGTTTTGTCGCTGGATATTCATTCAATGATTTTTGTGGTGTTATTTTTTATGGGTTCAAAACAGTGTGTGTTATGTGTAAGAAGAGAGAAACAGACATAGATAGATAGATAGAGAGAGAGAGATAGATATATATAAATATATATTAGGTGTAACTAATTAAAAAAAACGACTTGAACGAAAGAGGCAAACGAACGAACGAAAATAAGAAGAGCTAAGTAGAGTTTGGAGAAACTTCGATGAGCATATGCTTGTTCAGTTTCTCCGTTCCTAACGAATTGGTAAGTTTTTTTTTGTTCTCGAATTGTTTGGTCATTTTTAATTAATTTTGTCAACATACTTTTCCATTTTCTTGAACTTTGGTGGCTTTCATCGCGTACGTATCAGCTAAAAGAGCCTAAAATATTAAAAAAAAAAGAAAAACAAAATAATAAAATCAAAAACAGATATCCCGGCAAAAGAAAAAAAAAACAATTGCTTATTTCAAAAAACGGCAAAAAATTGGTTCGGTTTTCGTGTGGGCTATCTTATTGTGCACGGTGGTGATATGTGCCAAGTGAGTTTGGCAGCATGTTTCAGCTCTTCAGTATGGAAGAGGATTTCCATCGGCCAATGCCCAAAACGTCTGTGGGTGGCCGCGATAGAGACACACAGATTGAGAAAGCAGAGAAATCCTTTTTTTACACATCTGAATCGAATACCCTCCACGTAAACGCACACGAACACATACAAGAAAAAGAAGAATGAGACGAATAAACACTAACAATCCACTTTAATGTAGCAGCTTTTGGGATAGGTACAGTAGTCTACTGCTGGGAAATTACGATACAACCGCATTTCGTTTATCTTTAGGGGAATTTACTTCTCCTTCATCATCATCATCATCTCTGTACGTTTTCGTTTCGTTTTTTTTCTTCTTGTTGCTTGGTTCTATCTCGTTTGTTTGCGGTATCTTTTTGCCAGTTTATTTGCAATATTCAATAGCATACGTGAAGTATATTCAGGAAAAAATTACGTACCTCGGCATCCGGGTGTTTATCCTGATCTTCATAATCTAGATTTTGGTTTTCTAAATGCTCCTCTTCGGTTTGCGGCATTTGTTGGAGTTCTTCTTTTGATTTAAAATCCAGCCGCTTTATGAATGGCGGACAAAGTAAACCCAAAATCACCTGGAAATGAAAATGCAATTTTTTTGTTGGTTTTTTTTTTTGGCTTTCGGGTGTTATATGTATTATAATGTTTTCGTTTACGTTAATGCAAAATCGTTATGCCTCAGCGGTATGACGCAGCGCGATACCGGATACGACCGGAGCTTTGCCGTCAAATATTCAAAAAAACAGAAAAATAAAAATAAAACACGTTGGCCAAGAAACAGTAACAAACTCGCGAAACGACATGCATTTCACGGTAAACGAAAACGAAGGAAAAAACCCAGAGAGAGAATAGCAACGTTTATAAATAAACAATGATGTGGAACTTACCTTGAGATTTGTGTTCTTTCGTGTTCGCAAACCGCCCATCCATAAATCGGCCAATATCACTTGACTGCATGGATGTGCCAAAAGCGCACGATGGTTTGCCGCCACCGCCAATGATAAACAACTTTGATTTGACCATGAGTGTAATTCACAGGTGAGCAAACGTTGAGCACGTTCAGCGTCACAACGATAGCAATAGTCCAGCAGTTTGACGCCCCTCATTTCAAAATCTTTCGCATAGCTTTTAAGCTCATCATAAATTTCCGTATCCAAATCGTCTTCGGCCGCTTCGTGTGCCATGGCTTTGTACAATTTACAAGCGACCAATGATTTGGCCAGTGATTCTTCACCGTGTGCCCACATCAGCACCGACATTTCTTGACGTTTCGTTAACACAGCCCAAATCTGTTTTTATCAAATCAAAAACAAAAGCGGTGTTTGTTTTCATTCTATTCGATAAGAATTTAATCAAAAATATGGCATGGTTTTTCGTTCTTGTTTTCTTAACCGTATATTTTGTACAATCAAAATCAAACGCATATGTCTAACATGATAAACGACATAGGAAATGGGGAAAAATGTAGATAAGTGATTGATGCGAAAAGAATTTCCAAAGTTCACACAGCCACCAAACCGAGAGCAAAATATAAAAAAATGATTGATGCCTACTTTTTTTGCGTTTGCTCTTTAAAATCTTTCCCGAGTTAGCATTTCACTTTTTCTTTCTTTCATTTACTCTCTCTTCACACTTGTTTCACTCTTTCGCATGTATACTATTACAGATTTACATTTTCGATATGTTATTAATATGTTATTGCCCGACATATTTATTATTATGTTATGTTGGAATTTTTTTTATCTTAATAACGTTATTAAAGATTTGACATAATAATAACATATTATCTTAATAACGACCAAAAAAATCGCAAAAAAATTGACATGTTTTTTACATGAAACTGTTTTTTGCGATTTTTTTGGTCGTTATTAAGATAATATGTCGATATGTTAATAAACATATTGGCCGTTATTATTATGTTACGTTGGACCAAATATACCGCCGTTATTATTATGTTATTAAGTATAGTTAATAATATGTTATTGCCCGTAAATCTGTATATACTATAGACAAAGGAGTGGAAAAAGAGTACGGATTACTCATTTTCGCTCATTCGATTCTATTTCGTACGCATCGCCAAGTCACCAATACATCGACTTGCGCTTTCACTGTAGATGTACATGAGTGACTTGCCGATGCGTACCAAATAAAATAGAATCAGCGAAAATGAGTAATCCGTACTCTTTCTCCACTCCTTTGTCTATAGTATACATGCGAAAGAGTGAAATGAGTGTGAAGAGAGAGTAAATGAAAGAAAGAAAAAGTGAAATGCTAACTCGGGTTACCGCTAAACATTTCCCTTTTTTGTTTCAATCTTTTTGATGACACGACAGCAAAAACGGAGAGTGGGGAAAAAAAAACTCAAACGATTTTTATTCAATTTGGCCTCACTTTTCAGAAGAGAAAAACACAACCTCTGAACTTTGATTCACATCCAGAGGAATGAAAATAAAAACGGTTTAATTGAACGCGGAAAAGAGTGGAGTGGGAAAAAAACACATTGCATACGCCGCGTCTGTTTTTCTTCTGTCTATTTCTGGTTTTGAATATATAGAAAACAAAAAGAAGTTACTTTTCCATTAAAAACTTGAAATGAGTGAGCTTGTGCGCTTTTGTTCACAAAAATCGACCGAGCCCCGTGCGGCACATCAATCCAAGCGGGCGAGAAGGAGAGTGGAAAAGAGCATGGAACATTGAACAAGAAAAAGGGTTTCTATTTTCACTTGGCCGCACTCACTCGTCCGCTTCTTCGCTCACTCACCAAAAATGGATCGTTCCGTTCGCAATATGCGAAAGTTTTCCATCTAATTTCGTGTAATTTTTCCTTTTACTCACAAGTAATTCATTAAATGGAAACTCGAACAGTGCCATTTCGGAAGTGAAGGGAAGTAGGCCGGTCACAAGGCTCATTGAATTAGCGCCCGGATGACGTTGAAATGTCGAAGACTTTCGATGCGTGTTCACATAGCTGTTCATAACTTTGGCGTAAATTGGCCGAAATTTTCGTCGTGTATAATACGATCTGAAAATAGACGTGTGGAATTCGTTAAGTATATTGGAACTCAATTGGCGTGATTAAGCAAAAACTTTATCTTGTTCGTCACTCACTCACACTCGCACTTGCTATCTGCTCGAAGCAAAGACAGACTGAAAACAAGTGGTTCAACAAGTCATTTCTGTGTACAAGCAAGTGTGAATGAGCGAAGAACAGGGAATTTTCTTCGAAAACGTCAATCCAAGATTTTGAACGATAAATAATGTCTTACCGATATGCACCGCCCATTAATTTATTAATGACTAAACCAATATCATGTAGCGTGTAAACGTATCCCTTGGGTATATGCGGTCGAACGTCTCGTAAAATATATCTATAAACGAAAACGATGTAAAAATTACACCGGGAAAAATCGAATGAAAAAAAAACAGCAGTTGATGGAATAAACAGAGGAAGGAAAATTGGAATTAAATGGGCCGAATGTCACTGGCAATGCTTTCCCAACGGAGTGTGCACTTGTTTCCTCTGTTTTACAAACAATTTCGCATTTCTTGCGGCAAAACATGAGGAAAACAAGATCAAACCCAGAAATAGTTTAGCAAGCAATGTACAACACACTTAACAGCAGCAAACAACACACAAAACTACAGCAAATATTTACCCGAGCGTGTTGGCTGGCCCATGTTTTGTGTTGTAAAGCTCTTCGAGTCGTGGTATGGTTAAGAATTTTTTCATCGACACACCATTTTCGAGTAGCAATTTCACGAAATCGATGCGATCATGTTCAAGCGCCTGCATCATTGCATCGTCGAGTGCACCGTGTGGCCTTCAATAAATCAGTATGGCTTAAATCAAAATCGCATCTAAAACAAAAAACGGAACAGACTTAGATTTAGCTTACCATTCCTGACCATACACAAAAATTTCACATGCTGCGATATCGACACGATTCCATGTCAATGCCAAACTCAGCTGCTCCGGCGGCGAAAGATGTTGAGATTTGAACAGTGCCGTTAGAATGGTCTGGTCAAGTTCTTGTGTTTCGCCTTCGGGCTTCTCTTGAATCCGGTACACAGTGATCTATTTGATTAAAATTTTAATAAATAAAATGCCTCGTTTGTGTGCATTTTTCCTCTCTCTTCTTCTGCTTCGTATTTCCTTCCGTTTGGTTCGAAGTTGCATCAAGGATGCAACTAGATATTCAGTAGAAAAAAGAAAAAAATAGAATCTCCCACGTTGAGAGAGAGTGAGAGAGAGAGAAAAATAAAAAAAGCGCGAAGACTACACATGACCCGGAAAAATGCAGAGTTGGAAAGGTAAGTGTATTGAGGCGTAAATTTGAATGGCAGCCCCATGTGTCTACTAAATATGTAATTAAATATTCAAACGAGGGCAGAATGACCACTTGATTGTTTGTTTTAGAAGGTATTTGTAATGTTAAACTGCACATATATGTATATCCGAAACACACTCCGAGGTATGGAATGGAATGGCATTTACCAAGTTCTTGTTGCGCGTGCATAGGAGCAACTCATGATATAAACACTCTGCCTGGTCAATGCCAACTTCAAACGTTTTTTGAATCATATTTAAGAGATAGTCACGCATCGATTCGAGCACTGTTTGTTCTTCTCCGTCCGATGCATACCTGCAAAATATTTAATCAACACATATTTACAAACATACATATATATGGTGTCATGTGCTAAATGAATGTATGCGAAAATTGATGAATGCTTCAAAAACTGATAGATACGATGATGATGATGATGATGATGATGAGTGGGGGGTGAGCTTAAAATATTTCCGATAAATTTACTTGTGAACAAATGCAATGAGATCAGCAGCACGTCCGGAACCATCACAAACGACCACCGGGACGGGTGGAGTATCGGTAACATATTCTAAAACTGCTCGAATTGTATTCGTACCTCCTTCGATGACCAAACACACGACCGGTGTACTTGAGTGTGTAACTATATATTTAAAATGGAAAATCAAATGGAACAAAAACGAAATTAAACCAAACTTTTTTGATTGGAATGTGTGGATGGAAAAGCTTTTGAATGTCAACGAGAGCCAACAAGTGACCCCTAACAATTGGGTTATTAAAAGTCTGTATGCGAGTTTGGCTACATGATGTGCCATCACCCCAAGGAGGAATTATAAATTTTAAGTGAAATAAAATTGAGAAAATGCATCTGCTGCATGCATCCAAGCCATTTAAATGTGGCTTCTATGCAGTGTGCATAATGACACACAATATTGGTATGTACGTTTATATAGAGCACTCACATGGATGCAATTTTAGGCTGGATATGAATTTCTCTAATTTCCTTCGTAGAATGAGTTCGGCACCGTATTTTCCCTGTGTTCCATTATCCACGAGCAAAAAGTATGCGTGTCGATTGTTCAATACAGCCAATTTTGATCTATTGACAAGGAATAGAGCGAACAAAATCAAAAGATACAGCAGTGTGCGGTGAACTATCATCAGAAATTATGCACATGAAAATAAATGCGTTGTAAATAGGTTTGCAAAAGCGCCTGTTCAACGGCGAAGTAAACAGCTACTGCGAATGCTTTGTTTGTGTTTTTTTTTCAGTCAGTAGGTAAGTACGAGTAATTCAACCGAAAAGAATACACCATATATACCTTGGAGACGATATACTATGACAAGGTACATCTCGATTATGTCCTAAAAGTTCGTGATTTCGTTCAACAATTCCCCACGGTGCTATACCGATGCTCACAACTCGACCAGTTCGCTGCTGTCCTTCTAAGAGCAGCGCATCGCCAACTTGTTTTGTTACGCCTGCAAATTGAATTTACGAAACAAAAAAATTTAAGTCAACAACAACAAATGAAATCAATCTTTCGATGAACGTCGAGAATTCGAACATTTTCTTATTCTCTCTGCTGCTGCTGCTGTTATGCTGTATCATACTTATTTCTTTACAATGTGATCAATTCAATTTAATTTTTAAGTTTAATCGTTATCAGTTGTTGTTGTCATAGTCAACACCACTGTCACTGACGCCCCAGTTTCAGTTTCACAGCAATTATTTTGGGTATTATAGCCATGAGAAGACTTGCCATTTTCGGATTGAAATTGTCTTTTTACCGCCAGCATGTGTCAGCTGGCTATGGTAAGCACATTTTCGGGCGGGTGCAAAAACAAAAATAAAATAATGAAACCTAAAGTCAGATGCGGAATAAGCAGCAACAACAGCAAACGTAACAATAGAAAATAGAAACGGAACCAACGGGAGACACGGAGAGAGCCTAAACCAGAGAGAGATTACGAGTGAGCGAGCGAGCGAGCGAGCGAGTTTTGGAATCTTTGATCAAAACGCACAAGATTTGTGTGAGTGATTCGTGTCCGGAAAGAAAAAATCTTTCAAACGTTTCCAACAATTTGAATAATCCGGTAATTTCAACTCTGCCGTTCCAACAGCACTAATTGAATGTCATTAAATGCGTAGCATACAAAATAGCTAAACGGATGAATTTACGTCTCTTACTCTCCTTCTCTGTCACATTCTCCTTCCGTCATTCTCTCCCTCTCTCTCTCTTTCTCTCTCTCATCCCCAGTTTCGCTCACTGTTTCAGATTTTATGATCTGTTTTACTCATTTAATAAAATCACAACACTAAAAAACTGGTACATGGGATAGAAACGCAAAAATTTACGACTAATTTATACTCTTTACGGATTCAATTATATAAGATTCTATTTTCGGGTGGTGGGCGGGGATGGTTAGAGAAAATATTGTAGAATTAGCAAACAAATTACCTGTGTTTGTGCCACCTGTAAACACCCATGCGCCCGTAGTTTTTGCCGCTTTCAATAATCCCTTTCGTATTTCCTACGTAATGCAGAAAATAAGGGAAAAGAAAAGAAAAACGAAAAAAGAGAAAAAAAAAATATTAAAAACGTTTTTAAAAAAAGGAAGGAGCAATAACACAAGTAGCGACAGTAGCAGCAGCAGCAGCAGCAGTAGAAAAATGGCTTCAGTAGGGGCCTCATTTCTCGTCGGTAGGCAATGTTAAGATGAATATGGTTCACCTCAAAGCGCACGTTATACCGATATTTATCTCAATCTCATAGCTCTTGGATGTTTTACTTTAAGCGATAGTGCCTGTGTGTGATCAACATTGCGAAACATGTGAAGAACGTCGTCAATTCGTATGCATACCGAAATGATGGAAAACTACCACCCTCCTATTGAGAGGGCGAACGATGAGAGCGAAATAGTATGTGTATATGTACCGTTGGAGTAGTGTGTACTTTGCAGCATGTTGCAAACGAAGGAGCACAATATAAAATCTCCGGGTACAATATCAGCGTACAATCAAAATACATACGCCTCAAACAACAATACCTAACTCCGAATATTAAATTGTGTCAAAATAAAATGAGAATGTTTTATGCTTAATATTAAAAAGAACAGCAACCAAACGTGCAGTGTGTGTGTGCAGTGGGAAAGGGAGGGAGGGAGCTAGATTGAGAGGGAGAGCCGGGCGATAGAGTGAAATGACTTTCTCATGCGATGCTGTTGCTGGTGTGTTAGACACAAGGTGTTAACTGACAATACCTGTGCCAAGCTTATATAGATTAACACAAAGGCATACACATTACACATGCACACACACACTGTGTTTGAGTGACGCGCAAAACCAAATGCTTGCTTTTGACGACATTCAATCACGCTCTCTTAAATATTTCTCCCTACACACAAATATATACTAATTTTTTCTTTCTTTTCTGAACACAACAATCCATGCGAAACGCACATCTCCGACTCGTTTTCATTCTTTCGTTAATTTTTCCTTTACACACTCTCTATGCCAATTTCAATTGTTTGTCGCTTATGTGTGTGTGTGAGAGTATGTGTGTCGTGTGGCAAAGCTACCATGTCTAACATTGAAGTAATGGCTTAGTTGACGAACATACCTATTCTCTCCAACTCATTTGGGTTGTCGTTCAATTCACACTCAATCTTTCACTCCCTCTCTCTCACTCTCTCACACACAATCTCTTTTGCATTTACTTTTCCTGTAAATCCAGTACATGCACGCATCCACAACACACTAACTAAATATGGTTGATGCTTTTATACATTTTCCGTCCATTTAAAATGTATGCATTTTTGATGTGGCTCATATTGTCGAAGCAAGAATTCCAACATGTTTATACGATGTTGTGCAATATATTAAACGAAACAAATTTGTTCCCATTTCATGTTCATTGTTATACAATCTACACAAACACACTCAAGCATATATATTCGTTCGCGTCCTGCTCCCGCTCTTGCTCCCATTCTACGGCCACAATGGTTCAACGAGTGGAATAAAAACGATATACTTTGAAATGCACGTTATTAAATGGTTTTAAACACTGGATTTTGGGCTTTGGGCCAAAAGATGTAAGAGATAGTATAGTGTCGACGTCATCTTCTTAATGCCACCAATGTTCATTCAATGAGAAAAGCAAAAAAAAAAACAGAAGAAGCTAAAAGAAAAAAGATAGATACAAAAGAAAATCAATTTTACCAGAGTAATAATTCGGCGTTGTTATTGGATCTATTTAAAAAAGAAAATGTTCAATCGATGCTTGTCTATTTTTACGAGCAAAAAAGAGAGACACAACACAACACACAAAGAAGAACGTCTGTTTAAAAATGAAAACGGTGAAAAAATGTAATAAAAAAGTTTTTTTTTATGTACGGCCACAGGCCGAACACAAACATCAATTTCAATGATGGCCATCGTGATTGTGTTGTGCATTGCTGTAAAAAGAAACTTTTTCAATGAAAACCATTGATTGTACAAATAACAAAAAATGCTGAAATTGAACGAAAAGAGAAAGCTCTACTCTGAAAAAAACTGATGTTGGGTTGATGTTAAACTGTTTATGTTGACATTTTTTTCACAACAAGTATTCAAAAAGTGTTGTTGTGGTGATTCTCGGTACTAAATATTTTTTTGCCGCTAGAGCACCACAAATCTTTTTTGACTTTGTAGTGAAAAAAAGTTAGAAATATATTTAGTACCAGAAATCACCACAATCTTTTTGAAATCTTGTTGTGAAATAAATGTCAACACAAACAGTTTAACATAACCCTACATCAGTTTTTTCAGAGTACTCAATGGCCGGATACGATCTTGTTTTCGCTTTTGCTCTTGCTCTTGCACTTGCTCTCTCTCTCTCTCTCTCTCTCTCTTTCTGCCTTTTCCACAGCCACTGAACATTCTGCACTAGGAATCTGAACGTCAATGTATGCTCGATGGAGATGATTTCACGTCCAATGCTTATTTTCGCAGTTGACTGAAGGACTCTCAAGCTGTCAGACGATGACGACGAAAGACGAGAGCGAACCGAAATGAAGAAGTCAGAGATAGAAATGATAGAGAGTGGAAAAGCACTCAGCGGAAAAGTGAAATTTACTTCCGGTCGATGATGATACAACAGTCGAGAGGGTGATCGAAATCAAATGCTTGGATCGGCGGTATTATCAAGTGCTTAAATAATAGAAAATGTCATCAAATGAATTGAATTAAGTGAGCAAGCACACAATCGGCAATCGGCAAACGGCATGGCCTGTCATGATTAAGGTGTTGGCATTGACTGAATTTTCAATGACAAGTTGGCACTAGTTAAAATAATAAAGGAGTTAAAGCACGTGCCCGTTTGCCCGCACTAGCTTGGGAATATCAACGCTCGACAACCACAACAATAACAACATCCCTGACAAATGCCAAACTATTCGAATCGAAAATGATATATATCGTAATTATCTTTTGAGAGGATTCTGCATTTATTATTCATTGATGAAATGCGTGCTCGTCGCATCGTCTTTTCAGCCAAGAGTCACACACACACACACACACACACACACACACACACTTTATTTATCATAATTTAAAATATCGATCGACGATGTGTTGGTGTGTTTCATACGTAAAGATTTCGGTTTTCGTTTGCATTTCGTTCGAAATGGAATGAACGCGGTAGGAAAACTGATGGAAAAAAATCACGTCAACTCATTTTTGGATTCGCTCAAGGGCCGTAAATTGCTTGAGAAGGATTTTTTTTGTTCTGTTCTGTTCTCTTTTTCCTTTATTCTTGTAAATCACGTGAATGCATAATTTATAACTGATTTACACATTGATTTTCATATGCGAACAGACAAAGGAATCATTACCATCATATATCAACAACACGAAAATGTGTATCGAGTCAGTCGGTTTGTCGGTGTGTGTGTTTGCTGTGTGACTCCGGAACATATAAAATTTTCGACGCATATGCCGAGAATGTGACGAAGTGATTATAGCATGCTTGGCACGTGTGCACCGTGTGATGAAATGAATGCGCGCGCGAACGAACGAAATGAAATTGAAACAATTTTTTATGATGTATTTTCAAATCATTCACCATCAAACTATCGCATTTGCATGTTAACCCAAATCAACGCGGCCACTTGATTCCAACGAGAGATAAGTGAAAAACACAGCAGCAGCAGCGCAACAATCACTATAATCCATGCCAATGCACTGTTTTGCTCACGTAGTGTGTAAACTGTCGAACGTTTTAAACGGCGAAACGGAGGAAAAACCAAAATTGGTGTGATTATTTCACTAAGATTACTTTGTTAATTAGCCGACCTCAAATCTTACAAGGATATTCATTCATAACTCGCATAGAAAAACTATTTAAATGGTTACGGCTTTCACAAATACGCGCGGATTCACGTGCTGTGTAACCGCTTTTTTTCCACTTTCTCTTCGTTTCACATCTTCTTCCGTTGTGTGATCGGAAATGAAAATAAAAAATGAAAAACAAAAAAAAATTAACATCCTGGAAAAAACAAATGCCGACTCTTTTTAATCAACTCACTTAATTTCGAAATTAATATTTGGTCATTTAAAACGTTTCGAATGATTTTTGAAATGCCATGTAATGTGATGGAAACGAGAACAAACAGCCTAGAAGAGTCAACTGAAAGTGAATATATGCGAAGTACACGGTTGAAAGCGATATACATACACAACCGGAGTGTGGAGTGGAAGAGAAAATGGTTAAATAAAGGGAGAAACGAAAATTAGTAAATCATACATATATGGTGTGTAGACAGCGAGTCGATGTGAAATGGAGCCGGGGTCAGATACAAAACGAAAACTTTTGGTTTACTTGTTTGAATTTGGTGATAAAAGTCAACAAATTCGGTTTGATGGCACGAGGCCGAGGCTTGCTTAAATGAATGCCAAGAACACTGTCTATTTTTAGATTAGTTTTCTTCTTGCATGTATGTGTGTGTGTTTGTTTGTGTGCGCTCACTCGCGCCCATCCGCCCGCGTGCATCATATATACGTATTCACTTGCTACTCTGTATTTCTTCTTCTTCTGGTATTTATACAGCATGTCATCTCTCGTTGCGTGCTTAATGCTAATCTGGAGAAGCAGGCAGCCACTTGAAATCGTGCCATTTGCATTTTTTTTTCCGGGGCATAAATTGCGTTTTTGGGCATATATTGCTGCTTCGGGATCGCTATAACACTACACGTAATTATTGGAGCAAACTACTGCTCGCTGGCTGGCTTCATGCATGAAGCACCACCATGGTGGTGATGGTGGTGGTCGTAGTCGAGTGTAGTATGTGTGTGTATGAGTTCGCATATGCTGTGAAACGGTCGTGTGACCTAGCATTTGGATTTATCTGGATAATTATGCAAAGCCTAATAGAACGTCGAACCTATTTATGACTGATAAATATTGTGCCAAACTAAATCGTTCGAACGTTTCGTGTGTTGGATCGCTCCGTGCTGTCATGGGTCAGTGAATTTCGTTTCGCGCCGTGCGTATGTCTGTCAAATTTTCAACAAGATAACTTTTGCAGCTAAAAGACAAAATCACCACTCCTTGAGATTACTCGTTGAAATGAAATTGGAAAAAAAATCAAATGAAACGAAATGTGAAAATGCTTTATCGAAGTTCAGAGGTGTTTGTTCGCCCTCCATTTGTATGTGTGTGTGCGCGTTTCTTTCATCATATTGTGTGGCGCACGAACAAGGACACAAGATTCCGTCCATTGTTTATCATCATTTTTATGGTAGCCACAAAAAGTTTGGCGATTGAAAGTTCTGCATTTAACGTATTGTCATTTTCTGCACGCCGTACATTATTTGCGTACGCCGAATCTGTCCCCATCGACATAACGAAAATAAAAATAAATGCCCAACTGGTGCAGCTTGCGCTGTTGCCGCTGATTCTGTGCCACTTGATAAATCTGTCGATATTATGAACTGATTCTAATTTAACATAATACGTACCTTTTTGAGTTTTGGCTGAAGTTCAAAGTTCGCTTTGCCACCCTGTACGGTGATAAGAAGTTTTGGCAGCTCCAAATTCCATTCTCGTGTGAAAAGTTGAACCAACAATTCAGGTCTCGTGTCATACGATAAACGAACGTACTATATATGCCGAGATTTTATGTCATCGTTATTCCATCAAATACGCATGAGAGCACAACATTGCCGCCGCCGCATCCAAGTGTATAAGTGAGAAAAAATGAAAAAGATGGAACACAGAAAAAGAGACAGAGAGTCAGCAAATGGAATGAATGCGAAAGATGAGAACGATTTTTACGTGAGAGGAAAAAACGATAAGATACTCGGCAAATGTCAGGATTTAAACGGGATTCGTCTCGGATTCTTTTATATATTTTGTTTCTCTTCCGTTGGCTTGCCGTAGCCTTTTTCCGTTGGCCTTTTAAAACAATTTCTTTAAAATCACCGCTTTATGACTTTGAATGTTTGCTTGATTTGCTCACGCACGTGAAAAAGCAAGAGAGAGGGAAAGGAAATCGTACGGAAGGAAAAAAATATGGTCGAGCCAACCACTTTTATGCATTCATATCTTCATCGAATTCAGGGGCAATGTGTGAATGTGTACAAAAAAGTAATTTAATTGAAAGTGCCGGAGAGAGAGAGTGAGAGAAAGAGTGTGTGTATGTGCGAAAAAAAAGAACCGAAGCCGAAAACCCATAGATTCTGGCAGGCGCAATTTTGCTGACATTTTTATATAATTTACGCTCCATTATACAAGTATTTCGCCACACATTTTCCTTTTTCTTTTCCCATTTTATCGCTAAACGTACGGAACATAAAAATCAAAGGCTCAGCTCAATGCGTGAAAAATACACGGGCATAAAAGCTAGAAAATGAGAAAGAGAAAAAATCTAGAGAGAGAGAAAACACATGCACACACACATTGTCCAGTATATTGAGAGTTTGTGGGCGTACGTTACACTCTAGGTATTTTGAAATGATACTGCCAATAAATTTATATTAGCGAGGAAAATTCAATCACAAAAATATTGTTTGGAAAAATCGAATTGCATGTGAACAGATAAGCTGGTTTTGGTATTCAATAGTCTCTCTCTCTCCTCCTCCTCCTCTCCCTTCTTATTCGCCGTTGTCGCTGGTTTTTTTCTGCGGCTTTACCAATCGATTGCAAAGTGTGTATTTGGCTTGCGGCTGCGTTTATCCTATAATCATCTAGTTCAATTTATTTCCTCGTCACTGGTTCATTAACGGATTGCGTTTGTTGAAATCTATATATCAGCAATGTATTTGCGGTTGTATTTAATCTTTCTACCGAACCCACATTATCGATTCAATTTCTGTTCTTTGAAGAAGAAAATACACAAGAACGGCAGCATTTGTCTTTTTTTCCTTCACTCATCAATTTTTCCAGCCATTTCGTAGCGCATACAGTAATGGCAAAACTAAACGCACAGAAGCGACAATAAGTAAATGGAAATTCGCTTGTTATGGCTGCTGTGTGTGTGGTGCACAATTATTTTCTCATTTTGCATGACAAAGCCACGAATCGAAGCCGGGTGGCTTTGCAAGCGGAATGAATTGATTCCAATTCAATCGAGCGATTAGTGCTTTATTTAATGATTAAACCGAACTGCCGTCGGCATGGCAAAACTACTGTATGACAGCAGACACACACACACACACTAGATGAGCAATTAGTTCCAACTCTCGGTGGATTTCATTTCGAAAATCTGGTGCTCTCATTTTCTTCCTCACTCTTTCTCTCTTCACATCTCCTCATTTCCTCATTTCCTCATTTTGATTTTCAACTGAATTTTTGATAGTTTTTTTGTTCTCTTTCTGTTATGGCTGTGTTACCTGTGCTTTGGTCGGATGTGCTCCACCTTGAAATTCGATTGTTCCGTATGCATCTGTCGGGTGCGGTCGTGTGTGTTTGTTTGGCAACCAATCATCTCCTGGGGAACCAGGCTCAATTCCAGGTATCGTTGGATGCGTTTGACGTGCTTGACCACAGCAACATCTAAACAAAACGAATGTATACAGTTTTACAAATCAATCTCAATTATACATAAAAGATAAGGAAAGTCAAGTGAAAATATTTGTGTGTTGCCCAGGATGAAAGGCAATCAGTTTCATAATAGTCTGAGTGTGTGTGTGTGAGAGACAGAGAGGGAGAGAGAGAGAGACTAACAATCGCACAGCAGGTGAAAGCTACTGAATCCGTGTATCAATTTTGATCTGGATGAAAAGCTCATTTTCAACACATAATACTCTTGAGTCATACTCAGAGCCCGTGTGTATTTACAAAAAAATACCCTTTTCAACTTGATGAATCTATGGAAGGCATCACTGACGACGACGACTCTCTCTCTCTCTCTCTCTCACACGCACCATTTTCTTTTTATTGCTACGGTTACTGATCTACACTGGTACTTACTTTGTATCGTCTTTTGGGTTTGGTATGAATTTAACACAGTCTCTTTTCTGAAAGTTCGCCTCGATCCAGCTTCGTGGAGAATGCTATTGGGTGAATGGAGGAAGAAAACGAAACAGAAAGAAAAATACGACATGAGATTAGAAATGCAAATGATTACAACATTCAAACTTAATGGAGACAGTGTCTGCGTCATACTCATCATCCATTTATTGTATGACAAGACACAGAAAAAAAAATATGAACACAGAAGCCCCAAACTCTGCTGCAAAAAGAAATTACAACAACAACAAAAACAAAGAAAAGGCATTTTTAATTCCATTTTCCCTTCATATAAAACAAACTGAAACACCCTAAGTATACAAACAATCAGCAATGCTTCAACAGACATTTTGATAGAAATATGACGAAAAGATTAGCCAAAATTTGATCATAATCAAAAGCTAACCCTTTCCTTCAAACCCGGGTCTATCAAGTTCTCGTTCTTATCCTCGTCCATTCGAAGATGTTTGATAATAAAATAAGCATAATATTTGTTTAGGTCTTTGCTTCTCGTTCGAATCGTCTGCTCGTTGTGCCGGGAAAAATTGGGTGTGAAGCATCAAATAAAGGATATGGCTCAAATTTGCCATTTATTTGCAAATGTTAACCAAACCAATCGTTTGGCCGAACCATTCCAGCCACTCAGAATAAATTGCGCTCATTGAAATCTTCAGCATTTATTTTTGACGATAAATCAATTATATCGAATCAAATTGTATTAGAGAAAATGTATTGTTTTCTGTTTTCCTTTTGTTGTTTCGTGTCTGGATTCAGCTACAGCTACTGTTTCAGATCTATTCGATTATTTATAATTCGTGGCGTTGAAATTGTATGGTCTCATATAATGTTCCAAGCAAACGGGGCATTACAACCAAAATTATTGCAATCTGTTTCCATTTTGTGGGCAAATTGCTCATGAAAATGAGATGGCCACGTGCGGAAATCTTGATATTTGCTTTGATATTCTCAAGAGGAGACAGAGATGCTTGTTGTGCTCATTCTTTGAATAAGCAAGAGAGCGAACGGCAAAACTGTGCAAAGTGGAGCACATTAGAAAAAAACCTGGTGGTACACATTCCATTGACCAATACTACACATTCATAATAATAGATGCAGTCCTTCCTTTTACTTTTCCGCAAACTTTGTTTGTATGGAAAAGTATTGGTTTTACTAGCCAAAATTTCATGACATCTCCTCTTTCGGACCACTATAACGTCACGCCAAACTTCAAAAAGCACATATCTGTACACTAGGCAATGTAGATGGGATCAAATCCTATCGATTAAGACCCATCTGCCTCCAAAAATACGTTGTTTCCTATGAAAAATGTGTAAAATAGCGATGTTCGTATGGCGTCGTCCGCGTTCGCGTTCGCGTTTTTTGTTCGCCGATTATCTCAAAAAGTTGACAAGATAATTGAGATCTGTAAAAGCCAAAAGTTTTGGCATGTCGAGACAAAGCTTCGGATTGATCTCGAGCCCATTCTGATTTACCAATTTCGTACCATAAGCCTCCGACTGAGGACCTGAAAAACCTTGAAAAATGACACTTTTGTACGGGAAGTACCCGAAAAAAGCATTTTTCAGGGTTTCGATCAAGGCAAACTGCCTTTTTTTGCAAAAATAATAGGAGTCTGTGAACAACCGAACACCTACTTGCCCATAAATTTGGTCCAAAATCGACATTTCTTGAAATTTTCCTCAAAAAATAGACATTTATATGAAAAATCACACAGAAAGCCATTTTTTAGGGTTTTGGTCAAGGCAAACTGATGTTTTTTTGCAAAAATAATGCGAGCCTTCAAACAACCGAACACCTACTTGCCCATAAATTTGGTCCAAAACGACATTTCTTGAAATTTTCCTCGAAAAATAGACTTTTGTATAAAAAATCACTCAGAAAGCCATTTTTTAGGGTTTTGGTCAAAGCAAACTGATATTTTTTTGCAAAAATAATGGGAGCCTTCGAACAACTGAACACCTACTTGCCCATAAATTTGGTCCGAAATCAACATTTTTTGAAGTTTTTGAAATTTTGTTCGAAAATGACACTTTTGTATGGAAAATGGTCGAAATAGTTGTATTTTAAGGTCAAAAATGCTATGAAAAAAGGGTCTATTGAAATTTTGGTTAAACATTAAGCGGGAGGTAAACTAAATTGCTGCGGAGCGGAAAAGTTTGGATTACTTATGTAATTCGTTTTATCCTTCTTATTTCTTTTGCTCTTTGCAAGACATTCAGCAACGCGATCGGGATAAATATTTTATGTGCACATGAGCTGACCATTAAACATTTCATTCATATGGTGGTTGATTTGCCCTTATCACATGCACTCTGTACACCAATCTATGGGTGGAATGTGTATGCGTTTCAATGTGCTACGAATGGAATGCAATGGAATAAATCAAACGGATTCGAATGAAAATGCACTTAACTTCAAAATCCGACAAAGTTTTTCGATTATACAATTCCACCGAGAAGAGTGATATAATCGGTTCGAAATGAACGCGCGCGCCCACACTCAAGAGTTTGCATTACATTGACGAAACATAACATAAATCCATGTCGATTTTGCACATCTCAAGTTGTGGCTGCACAACAACACTAAAGTAACACACAGCCATTTAAAACAATGTTCGGAATGAACTTTTATCTTCACATGGATTTGTGGATATATATATATATATATATTTATATCGAAATGGAGTTGTGGTGGCACATTCCCAACGGGCAGGGTGGCGGGCGAAATCGAACATTACAAAGCGTGGGAAAATTTCATTTGGCACAAAGTTGATGAATGAAAATGAAATGATTTTAGCACGAAGGAAAATCAATTTGTATATCAAAGCATTGTAACAAGTCGAGATTAATCATTGAAAACACACTTTTCCACGACAATAAACATTTAATGCTACCATTAAGCCAAGGAAACGGTGAGAAGTGAGTCAGCTGCTGCATCGAAAAGCACAATGTTTACGGTTTTACCACTGCGAAAATCACAACCGTTATGCTATTGATATGGACGGGGCTGGTGTTTTGAGGATATTAGAGAGAACAAGAGTGAATGAGTGAGTGAGAGAGAGAGAAAGCAAGCGAGAGAAAAGTAATTGCAACGATTTATACAATCATCATACTTCAACAAAACAGTCACAAGAATACAGTCAATTAATTTGTTGTGTGAAATATTGGAGCCGCAAAATCGGTGCTGTTGCTGCTGCTGTTACTGTTGCTGTTATTGCTGATTCTGCTGCTGTCACGCCGGTGTGTATGTGTGTGTGAAAATGGAGCATAAAATGTAGACGAAATATTATGAAATTCAATGTGCATTACACAATCTCACCTCAAAACGCAAGTCTCCAAGGAATTCAATTGCTTTAAACATTTCCGCTCTCTCTCTCTCTCTCTCTCTCTCACTCTCCACCTCACTGTGTGTTTCTCACTCTCACTTGGATTTTCTTTATCTTCTACTCACGAGAAAATGTTCTGCAATTCCACAGCAATGAATTTTAAATACAGGCACGCACGAGAAGAGATAAATGCTCATTTGTAAAATTACAAAATATTCGGTGAATGCTTGTTCGTCTTTTTCCACATTTCTGCGGTTTTGGCACAATATATTGGTTTGAGTTGCAATATACGATAGTAGGCTGCGCGTCGCCTGTAAACACATAAAACTGAAATTCTCTCATTTTCGTTAATTTCAATATTTCCGTTTTTATTGGAATGAATGTGAATGCGTGTTTGAGTGTGACAGTGTGAGACACACACACACACACACACATACGTAATCTCCTTCATTTTGAAATGAAACAATGTTTTATGCAAATCAGTCCAAGATAATGTGCAGTCTTCGTTAGTCATTGTCGCGATGGCGACACATACGAAATTGCTTGGAAAAAATCGCAAATAGAGACACATTGTCTGACTGGGTGCGAGAATTTGTAACGAATCGACCGACAAAAAAAATTAACACATAAAATCTAAATTTTTGACTAGCTAAAATGAGCAACACAACACCATACAATAATGTCGTTTTTATTGTTTCAAGATTAAATCGTGCAAAAGCTGTATTAGACCAAATAGGGATGTTCGAAAATTATTTCACTTGACTCCCACTCTGCTGTCCTGCTAACAGCAATTTGGTTTTTTCGCTTTCAACACAAACACACTTTTTTCGGTTGTGATAAGGAAAAAAGTTTTTTTTTGCACCATTTGGCGACATGTCACACCCGAATATGCCACAGCCGAATCGCCTTTGAATTTAAACGGTTAAGTGTAATTTGCGAGAGATTTTCTTGCTTCAACAATAATCTGTCACGAGTAGCGCGCGTCGTGAATTTAGATCGTTTACTGTGTGCCCATGCCCAAATTGACATCCGCATGTTTTCGTATGTCCCACCACAACACACCTCCCTAACCCCATCCCCCAAAGAATTCATAAATTCGGCACGTCGTTTGGTAATTTATGAAAATTATGAAACGATGAGTTATCGCTAAAGCGATATTCATCTAGTTTTAGCTATTCAATCGTTTTGCCATTGTTTGCGAGACAATCTTCCACACAATTAATCACATATTTAATCGTCAATCTCGCTCTCTTCCTCTCTTTTTTTTCCATTCCAAATGACACACCGGAAACGGGAAGAGATTTTCACTTTTCCAATTGTTATGTACACATCGTAATTGAGCTATTATGCTTGTTTTCTTAAATAATGAACATCACGTAAAACACCCCAATGAAAATGGATAATTTCTTAAATTAGCCTTGTTTATGGTTGTGATAATGATATTTGCAGAGTGGAGAAGACGGAAAGAGGGTGAGAAAATGCAAAGTGCAAGACAAAAAGTCAATGACGAGGTTTAACGATGTGGTGGTCTCAATACGAAAGCTAGCTCCGTCCAAAGTGGCTTGCAATGCATAATAACGAAAAAACGATGACAACGACGACAACGACAAACTCACTCACATCAATTCCATCGTCATTGTTGTTGTGCTTTTGCGTTTGCCTTTTTTTCAGCTCCCTTTTGCTCTTTCTCGCATCAAAGTGAAACATAAATAATACCCGCAACTAACAAAGAAGTTAAGCCTTTGCTAGCAGCAGCCTTTGGTATGCACCTCATTGCATGCCAAGGCAAATAAGTGCAAATAAACTATCATAATAAAAAAAAGTAAGAAAAAAACAGTGGAAGAAAAAAAAAACACGAAACTTTAAGAGCCACATGTTCAATATCTTCGGTTGAATATGGCATGCCATGGTTTGCTGTGGATGTATTGAAGGGTAACTGACCATCACTTTCGATATATATATATATATATAGCTTTCAAGTCGATTATAAATTGCTTGCATTGAATGTTCAAATGACTTGTATACGAGCAAAATGGTTTGCTTTTCATTCACGGATGACAACGGGTCTTTTGTCATTTCGACTTAAGGGTTTAGAATGCGACGCTCTTCTGTAGATTATCGTTTAGCGAAGGTGACTTCGCATGTTTAATAAATGTGACTCAAGTTAAGAAAGTGAAATTTTCTTCTTCAGCGGCTGATTTGCTTGTTCTCTCATTTCTTTTGTGCTTTCAGTTTTTTGCGTTTTGGAAATGTTGAAAAAAAAACCAACAAAGTCGAAGGAAAGAAAGATGCAGAAGAAGACAGGCCATAGGAACCGAAGCAGAGTGCACCGCGTTGTAAAAGAGCGTCGTCGTGATTTGATTAAAACAGCTTCGGTCTTTGTTATGTTCACGTAGATGTGCTTTTGACAGATCATTTTTCTCAAAGTGGATTCCATTGTGCTTATTTTTAAAAAGGCTACGACGACTGTTTATGGAAATATTCAAATGAACAATTCTTATTTATTCGCCTCGATATTTCTCTCTCTCTCTATCTCTCACAGAACAAGGCAGCAACAAGAACACGCGCGCGCGCTCTTCATTTTCTCTTTCTTTCCCACTCGATTTTCTCAATGGCGAGAACAGAAGGAATACCTTGAGTTTTGCGCCAACTGCGAAATTACATAAAGGATCGCGCGCGGACACACAGAGAGAAAAAGAGAGAGAGAGAGAGAGAGAGAGAGAGAGAGAGAGAGAGGGAGAGAGAGAGAGGGAGAAAGAAAAGCTTTTAACTTAAATTGAAATTGTGCAAATTGATATATAGAATGAGCAATATTGCTAACGAAATCGAAAACACACGCAGAGAGAAAAGAGAATAGAGAGAGAGAGAGAGTCAAAATGGAGAAAGAGAGAGAGAGAGAGAGAGAGAGAGAGCAAAGGGACATAAACAGTGAGACGTTAAATGGTTTTATCCTTTTGAAAGTATGCCTTTGAATAATTATGCATTTATGACACAAGCATTTGTTAGTCCGTTAAGCTCACAAGCTACTTGATAAATACTGTTACTGTTTCTGTTGGCGCTGCTATTGAGGCTGCCGTTGCCATTGTGACTTTTGGATGAAAAGGGCGAAATAAAATAGTGTGCGTTTGTTCATGGTTGGTGTTCACTACCAAATACACGAATATGTAATTATTCTTAATGTAACTATTCCCACTGGTTTTTCTCTCATAAGCCGAAAAATAAATTTGTTTTCCTTTTTATAGAAATACATTACATCGAGTGCGAAACACACGGGTTCGGTCGACTCTTTTTTTTTATTTTTGGCCTAGAATCCAGGTTTTGCTTCACCACCAGAGAGGCACTGAGTAAAAAAAAAATGTTATTACCTGTGAATGAGCATCGCCACATGTTTGTTGCCGTAGCAAGTCTCGTACGTTGAGCAAAAGGAGTTTTGTAATCGTTGTGTTCGCCGTATTTTTTGTCATGATTATTACGATTGACTCATATTTTACTTGTTCCAATTTAATTGTTTTTCCACTTGTCTCTCTGTCTCTGGGTCTCTCTCTCTCTCTCTCTCTCTCTCTCTCTCTGTCTGTCTCTATCTGTTTGGTAGACTTGTCCTTTTGCACGTTTTGTTCGGTAATTGAGTGAGCTCAAATTGATTAAAAACCCGTTTTATTTATTCAGCACTTTGTGTCCCGTCCGCACACGCGCATATTCTACACACTTACACGCACTTACTCATAAAAATGTAACGAACAATATAATCCCACGTTCTAAACAAACAATTTTATTTGATTAATTATTATTGTATCAACAAATGAAAAAAATGGGACGAAGTCTCCCCTTTTTCTGTGTGTATCTCTTGGAAGTGAATCACTCTTTGCGCGTTTGTCATCCGTGAAACTGAAGATAGAGCATTTATTTTTCGGTCGAAACTAACTACGACGACTACGATGATGATGATGATGACGATGATGACGACGATACTGAGAAGGCGCTTATAAAGTGCGCCACGTCCGACAATCAAATTAAATTGGATTGGCCAGAGTAAATATTGGCACCGTGTTCGATATTCAACCACTTAATGAAACGACATTGATTACCACCAATATTTTTTTTAATACTCGAAACAGCCTTAGATTGATCAATTTATTGGTTTAAATAACACAAATGAACACCCTTCTATAGCTCTTCTTTTGTTGTATTTATTTTCCTCTTTGAAGAGAGAAAAAAAAATGAACTCACAAATTGATATATTCGTTATTATATTTTTGCTTCACTCATCGACTGTGTCCCTGATTGGGCACGACTTTAAATGAACAACCGCAGTAAAAAAGAGTAAACGCCAGACTAACAATTTACGATTGATGAGAGGAAAAAAAAACAACAAACACACATGCGAGAAAAAAAAAAACAAAGATGATATACGAAATCAATATCAATACAATAAAAAAGAAGTATGGCACGGATTTAAAGTTTTCAATTTGCTTCAAAGACACACTGAAAGTGTTTTGTTGTTTCGATTTCATGTATCGCATGTTTCGTTGTCTCGAGAGCATTCGGTCGTTCGTTATCATTGTACGAAAGAGAAAAAAACTTGTGAGCGCTCCATTACACATAGAAGAAAAAAAAGAAAACACTTGAAATATCAGTCTTATCGACCAATTTCATAGATTAAATACAAACGCCAACTTACAATAATAATAACAAACCGCCTTCCGTCGCCGACACCGCCACAACATTGAATTGATGAACACTTGCGGTTTCATAATAAAAATCTTAATTAATTCACAACCAGAGACGTTTCTTGCTCGGTGCGTATTAATTTCTATTTTATTACGAGACCTATACACAATGATCATCGACATTGAGAAAAGAGCGAAAGAAAATGAGCGCGGGTGCACACTTGTTCACTTGCTAGCACGCACGCACGCAAACACTTCAATGTTACGCTTCATTAAATTGAAATCCAGCCACTCGACGATGGCGGCGGCGGTGACGATGACGACGACGACGACGACAGCGATGCTTTTGCTCAACAAATAATTGCACTGAACGACTGATCGAACTGGGGCCACTCGGCAAAACAACAACCAACAAAAATTAATAACATTCGGCATTAACAAATCATTGTGCCAGAAACTCTTTTCTTTCTGTTTCGGTGATTTGGGCGGAAAAACAGTACTAAACTTCGACACTTTGAAACGTGCTGTTGTCATGTGTATTTTCGTGCATGAATGCTTCGCAGAGCTTTTTCGCTCGACCCCCCCAAAACGAGTTCCTAACAAAATACACACACACACAAACACACATACACGCGCACATATACACACGTACTCACAACTCAAACGCATTTTGCCATCGATAATAATTGGATGAGTTTTCCGAAATAGGATGAAGATTGTTTACATAACACCCATCCACCCCGGCCGTATTTATTGTTGCTTCGATGGGAATTGTTTAACGTGCTACGTTTTAATAATCGAAATATTCGGAAATATCACTTGAAATTGACATGATGTAAATCGGCTAATGTCTATCACTATCACTATTCAAACAAATGGAATAACAACATGCACTCGTGCAACAAAACAAATCATATATCCGAATTAATAAGCGAGCATTTACAAAACCATAAATTGAACACCGAATACCGTTTAAACATTATCGGCTCACTGTCAATGCTCGACTGAACGGTGTGTGCACATTATTTTGCATCACAATAGATGCAATTTGGCATCGGAATTTGCCTATGCGGCAACGGGGCTGTCCAGAGAGAGAGAGAGAGACAAAGTTAAACACGTTGCGCACTGTGTTTATGGTTCGTAAAATTTAAAACATCATGAGATGCCAATAATTATTTATTCGTTTTTGTGAATTAGGTTTTTAGCACGAAAATTACTTCCTCACTTAAAATGCCCCGGAAATATTTTGTGGATGTGCTAGCATAAACAACACACGTATTAATGATGTGATGTAAGCTTAACGAGATAGAGATAGATACTGCGTGCTTGATTTTTTTTTCACAAAAGAATATTAACATTGAAATGAGATCAAACGAAATTTTAGTTTGTGAGTGAGTGAGTAATTGCATTTGTGCGCAGCGTACACACCTTGTGTGCAAAATGCGAACCGTTCGTTCATTCGTGTGTTGTTGTTGTTACCGATTTTAATGCGATAGTGTTTCAAAATGTTATGTACACACAATACGCTATGAAAAGGTTCTATGTTGATTTTGTTGATTGCATTTCATGTTCACAATTTGATTTCGATTTGAATACGCTTAATTACCGGTAGTCATCTTTATTTCGGTATTTGATCGTTATTCACGGCCGAATGAAAATTGCACAACTATATGAACTACCCAATGCTCTCTCTCGTTATATCTATCAACAGCATCATCATCATTGCTGGTTCACATCAACAAAATCATTTTCAAATAAACCTCCCCGTTTGTTTAGCCATAAAGTTTTAAAGAGTAATAACTTTTTTTTTTAACATTTATCAGTTAAAATAACGTTTTAATATGCGGCTGTATGTAGTGAATATTTATTGTGAAAGTTTGCAAATTCGACTAATGTATCAACAAACAACATCTAACGAGAGTTGATAATTTGGGCAAAACTTTGGCAAAAAGCTTGTGCTCATCAGTATGTGCCCATCTTTGGATTGGTTCACTTCTTTGTGAAACTATGTGGAGTTTTTGGAACATTCCGTTGCAGAGTGGGCCATATAGCAATGGCAGCAATATTCTTTTTTTTATCCATTCAAATTTAAAGTCCATATAGCTAAAGTCCATGTGGCATTAAGAAAATCAGATGAAGAAAGGGAAAATTGAGATACGTAGGCATAATGTACATATGTTGGTCCAATGGAATTTGGCATATAAACCAGATTTCGGAGATAATAAATATAATGAATGATGTTCTCGGCCCATTTTATGGACAAATCAGATACGTCGAACAGAAGAGAGCGAGATAGAGAGAGAAAGATCACTGATGCTGCCGTTCGTTTTTTTTTCTCATTTGGACAGCCAAAGTATTGCTAGCTACTAGCATATAAAACAAATTGCCACTTCTCGCACTTTGAAGAGTGCGGATGGCCAAAATTGACGGATCAATGAATTTTCTGTCGAGCAATCTCATCAAAATGAATAACTTTTTGGGCATCAGAACATTTCAATATTAGATTATCAAGTTCGTTTTTTTCATCTCCATCACTATCATCGTCGTCCAGCTTCGTTTTTCATACCGGCCAGAAAATTCAATTTGCCACAACACGTGCAACTGTTCAATCATTTTTTCTCTCTCCCTCTCCCTCTCCCTCTCCCTGTCTCTCTCGTTTTTTTTTTGCTCGCCTTTCAAATTTCTTCGACTTCTCTGGCCGAAATGAAAAAAATGACGATCTATATAGATTTATGCATATTAGAGTTGAAATGAAAACTGAAATCCAATTTCCGTAACTACGTTTGTTGTTGTTCGTCTAAAAAAAAAACGGGGACTCACAGTGAAGAATTGCATAATTTTTTTTCTCGTTCAGCCGAGAACATTGCGAATTCAAAACACTAACCGTATAAATATGTACATTTCGATGAATGTCAGTTGGTTTTGTCAACTAGTGAGTATTACCTTCAATTTTAAGCGTCATTTTTTTTCTGTTTCAAAATGGGGTTTTCACCGAAGGAGAGATGTGATTGTTTTTTTTTCTTCTTTTCATTCTGTTTAGTTATTCATCGAACATATGCATATTACGAACTATTTTCCTGACATTTTGAACTCAATTTAAATGCAAACATTAATATGGATTTCACATCACATTTGGATCGACAACGACACATACACACACACATACATTATGCCATTCATTCATTTGATCACCATTTAACATTCGGTTGAAGCTTCGATGCTGCGCAATATGTGAAAATCACTGAATTACAAATACATGACAAAGGATACTAGCTGTTTTTTTGTTTCGGTGGTTAGTTTTGACACATCTGTTCCATAAAACATATGTTATTTGTTCGAATTGTGCATTGTGTGTGTGTGTGTGTGTGTGTGTGTGTATTCATTGTGAACGGCGTTGTGTGTACATTTCATGCTCGATCCTTTATCACATCAATTAACGAAAATTGATTACCCATTCAATCGAAAATTCCGTGAAATATTCACTCCTTCTTTTCCCCCGGACACATACACTTTGCTGTTCCTTATTCGTTCTTCGTTGTTTGCACACTGTGTTTGACTACGATACAAACAGCTCTGATATTAAGTACACTCAAGCGATATCGATGGAAATGGATGAATCGATAGACTCGTTTTGGCAATATTTCAAAATGCACATTATACTATATAGATTTTTAATGCTGAACAAATTGACCATTAGTCAGCAATATCCCGACATCATTTCTGTTGCATATGATTCAAGTATTGCTTCTGCTGCAATTGTTGTTGCCGGTTTTTTCCATGTAAAAGAAACAGTGTGCTCGTTCAATTTTGAGGTACTTATAAAATGAGTCCTTGGAGCTAGTGCGATTCATTGAGCGTATCGGGGTTTTTATACAATTGTGAGAGTGGATAGAAGCGCAGCTCGTTGGTTTTTTTTTTGAAATACTTGCTCTTATTAATTTGCACTATAGTGAGGAACAGTTCAAAAAAAATTTTCCAACAGATTACGGCTTGTCGATTGTTCGGAATGAAAATGGAAATACCCAAAAGTTCACACACACACACACACACACACGCAGCAGCAGCATCAACATGCAACTTTGTATTTACACAATATGATGCGGGCGCGATCCATTCGCTTTTGACGAAAATACATCGCATCGTGCAACCATGGAGAGGGAGAAAGTAGAGATAAAGATGGATTCGGTTTCAAGTGGATATAAATTAGTTCAAATACAAATACAAACACATGTACACGTACGCGTACACGTACACATACACAGCGCAGTCATGGGTCAAAATCATGACGGAATTTCGCATCGATATTCATGGTAGTTCTAATGATCGTGGTTAACATGAACCACAAAATATCAATCAATTCTTCAGTGAGCTCTTAAAATCCACAGATGAATTGGAAATTTTTGGTTTTTATTTATATTTGTGAAGATTCTTCTCTTTCTCACTGTGTGTGTATGTCTTTCAACGTCAGTGCAAACAAAGTGTGAGTTTGTGAGATAAGTGTCATGAGCGAGAAAATCGCAACCGATACAACACTGCCTGATTGACTGACACACATTGAAGATGGCTTAGAGGTGTATTGTTTTCATGGAAGTGGCAGCAATGCGAGCACAGACTCTCGTTCTCGTCCTAATGAAATGGGACATTAATATTGCATAATAAGTTTGCATCAAATAGCAATTGAGGATTTGGATTAATTTCCATAATGCGAAACGAACGTTGCAGGTAGAGTATTTTTCGCGTAATTTTTGTGTTTTTGCAAAATAAAATCAATTACAATTCGAGACACACGCTTCCATGGACTTTAATGACGGGCACCCATCTGCTTTGGGCTGATGTGTTGACGCGTGAGTGCGCGACGTTTTAGAACATGAGCAATGTACGGAGGGGGGGGGGAAGGTGCCGAGCACGGCTCAAAAAGAACATAAATTTCATTAATGTTTTATGAGAGGAGTAGGTGAGCATTAAAACTGGTAAAACCTCCCGGAAGGGACACGAAACAAAACCAAAAGTAAAACACAACAGTTGATATGGTACAACGTCTGAATGCAGGTGTGTTTTCATTCGTCATGCAAATGCTTAAGTTGTCAAGCATCAAATGCACGATATTAGCATCTTAAGTGCAAAACAACGGAAACGAACGTGAATAATAAATTCGTCAACTGTTTTTTTTTCTTCTTTCAATGACGTGCCCTCTCGTACTCTTTCTCAATGATTTAACCCATTAAGTGGCTTGAATGAGATTTTCTATGATTTTTACTTTTCCCGTATTCTCTCTCACTCTCTCTCGAACACACGAGCATTCACATTCGTCTCGATTATCCGTTGGTAATCCGCGCTAAAATGCTCCATATTATCAAAATGGATAGTTACTCAACAGTGTTGAGTCAACACACATCCACTATAATCAACTATTCTGTTCTCGTTCTTCCATTGCACTGAGTGTGATCGGCCGAATGCTTCACATTTAGCACGATGAACGCTTTACTTATTAGAAGTAAGTAGAAAAAGATAAAAGAAAGAGTAAAAAAAACACGACGAAAAATTCCACCATTTCGCAAATTTAATCCCCGGAACATTCGAATCGAACAAAGTAAAGCTCATAAAATGAAAGAGATTATTGCACAATTTTTTCCACGCTCGATGTTCATTAGAAAAATATATACGGCAACGAACGAACGACGATGGAACGAACGAACGAAAAAAAATTCTTCATTAAAATTGTACTCGGCCACTGAAGAAGTAATAAGAAATGATTGCGCTGTTGCTCAATGCGGCTGCTGGTCTTGCTGCTGCTCTTATGGAATGTGTGTGTTGGTTTGTTGTGGGTAAATAATATCGACACACCGAACAATTTTCGGCAGCCCAATGGAATGAGCTAAATCTATCAGTATTGTTACCGTTGGTAGGCCAAAAACCTTTTGCAATGCTTCAAATCAAGCGGATTTATCTATGCAGTAATGCGTATATGGGCACAGCCACGTAAGACGAAACCACGGAAAAAAAGTTAAAAGTGAAGAAAAAATGGTCTTAAAGTTATTAGATTGCTATGAAATTTTGCACCAAACTATTATTTCATAAACTCAATATATTCTGAGAATTTCATGGAATTTGAATTATTTTTTCTTATCAAAATTGTCGAATTTGCAATTTTTTTTGTCATTTTTCGACTTTTTGTGTACTCTTTTTCGAGGGCGTAAATTTCTATCAAAAATTTACAAAATCAGTAGGTTAAATAGATATTATTAAAGAAAAATGTTCAAATTTTAATATTCAGTCGACAGAAATCACATTCTTCTTATCGCATCCTGTTTTTTTTTTGTCACGAAGTTTGTAACGTTACTTATAACTCCGTAATCACAAGTGATAGACAATACTTGAAGCCATTGAATTATCAGTCTTGAGGAGTTAGATCATATGCAATAGAAAAACTATGAGTTTTAATTATTTTTTGAAGAGATATGAGCAAAAATGTGCAAAAAAATGTGACGTTACTGACGATGGCCGTGACCATATACTCTCTCTCTCTCTGGATTTGAACGCTCTAAACCATGTTTCCGTTATGTGAGTGAAGAAGCGAGAGAGAGAGAGAGAGACAGAGGGCAAGGTAAATCTCTTTAATAAATATGTGATTTACAGTGTGCTTCTAAATAATAATGCAATGGGGTGGCACCGTAATGAAAATAAGCGGATAAAGTGAGGGAGGATGAATCGAATTATGTGTCGAAATTGATGAGATCGCAATGTAAAAACATCTAAAAAAAACTCTGTCTCTCCCACTCACTCACTCACTCTTTATTGTTCGTTTACTTGTTTTGTCGAATACAACGCACTGATAGAACGACGATAGAAAAGAACAGCCACCAAAACAAACCATTGAATCGAAATGAATTTTATACAAGCAGATAATAATCTTTGGTCAAATAGATAAAAAAACGCACAGAGACACAGCAACAGAGAGAGAGAGAGAGATGGAAAGAAAGTGAGATTTGTGTGTGCGTGTGCAAAAAATGCGTATGCATGTACATATGTGAGCGTGGGCGCGAGGAGACGGGGAGAGAGAGAGAGAAAAAAAAATGTTGAGAAGATAAAGAATGGAAAAAAATGTGCGTGTGTTTGTGATTCAATATGTTTTTACCAATTGATACAATCGTATGATGCTTGGGTTACGTCTGATAAGATACTTACTTTTACTTCGTACGTATAATAGGAAAATCTTCTATTATACATTGTGCTGCAAATAAAGTGAAAAAAATAGCCAATTTAAATGAAATCGAAACAAATAAATAAAGAAAATAAAAAATGACAAAAAATAAAAGAATAAAGAAAAAATGAAACAGGAAAAAAAATATACATATTTGTGGGTTTGTGTATGACTGAGACCGAAAAGCTCTCATGTCATGCTGTCCGCCTTTTTTAGTCTATTGAATCGTAAAATAAAGGTAAAAAACAAGGATAACAATAAAATATTAACAACAACAATGACGACAACAACAATGACGACAACAATAACAATTTTCTTTTTTGATAGAACATAAAATATACAAAAGACAAAACAATGCAACGAAAAATGGGTAATGATAAGAGAACCCACGGAAAATGAAT